CAGACCCGAGTGCTGCGAGTCAAGTCCCCCGTTGCCCTGATTAACTAAGAGCATCGATGTTTTGTGTTCACACTCGTTACGGTGACACTGCATCCCAAACGAGCTGAACGCCCGGGACTGTTTTCATCCCCGCAGGAGACCAAGCGGCTGGTCCACGGAAACGTCTGCGCCAAGAACATTCTGGTGGCGAGGCGCGGTCTGGAGAGCGGCACCAGTCCTTTTGTCAAGCTGAGTGACCCGGGAGTTTCCCTGAGTGTCCTTTCAAGGGAAGGTCAGTGTCTCGGTATCACGAGCCCAGAATCCACCTGGCTTTGTAGAAAGTGTCCTTCAGCTGCAGGAGGTTCTGTCATATCTGTGCTCTTCTTACTTATTTTAATCAGATTTAGGAAACCGCTGCAGCATTTTGAGATAAAACTGCAAGACAACGGGAAATAAGTCACGGGAAATGTGTGACTTATTTCCTGTTGTCTTGCAGTTTTATCTCAAAATGTTGAAGTCGGAAATTTGGTCAACAGAGATTAGAGCTCAATATTTCTTATACAAATGTAACTTAGTTTAATTTGCATATCCAAATGAGACAATACTAATAAAAAAATGTCTTATTGATAACTATGGACCTTATTTCCCGATCATGCACTTTTTGTTTTCATGATTTTATTGCTTATTTGCCTCTTTGGAAAACCGTTTGCTCTGTTGTTTCGTAATCTGTTTTCTCTTGAATGTGAGAGACATTTTCCTTTTTTTGTTCTTGGGCATCAGCCAGTGAGTTTGCACACAGCACAACGCGTGCCTTATTATAACGTACATCATGTCAATATAATCAGCCACACAACTTGAATTTATCATCAAGTGGGATCCGATATTCAAAACGGCTGATCCAGAGCCCGATAAGAAAACTGTCAGGACCAACTTCGTTTACTACTTTATTTGACTGACGCGGGTTCCGTTACTCTCGAACCAAATTCTTCACCCGGAGCTTGAGATCGCCGTGACGTCATACGTGTGCCTCGATTGTAAACCGCAGAGCGCCTCGAGCGCATTCCCTGGATCGCCCCCGAGTGCGTCGACACCGGCTCCCACGCCGCCAACGCCGCCGACCAGTGGAGCTTTGGCGTCACGCTGCTCGAAATCTGCTACGACGGCGACCTTCCCATGAGTGGCGGCACGTTGTCAGAGGTAGTACCTTTTTTTTTTTTTTTCTCTTCCCACAGGAAGTTGTACCTTTTTTTTTCTCACTTCTAATTACAATCCCCCGAAACAGAAAGAGCGCTTCTATCAGCAAAAGGGTCGTCTGGCCGAACCTTTGTCCCCGGAACTGGCAAAGTTCTTCAGCATGTGTCTGACCTACGAGCCGCTGGAGAGGCCTTCGTTCCGCACCGTGCTCAGAGAGCTCACAGGGCTCATCATCATAAGTCAGCGTTTTCTCCTCAAATGTCTTATTTTCGTTTTTTTTTTATCCAACCTATCTTGGCTAACGTGCCGTTGTTTCTGCTTCCGCTCGCAGATCCCAACATCTCCCCCAGCGAGGCTCTCCCCGACACGGACCCCAGCGTCTTCCACAAACGCTACCTGAAAATGATGCGGCACCTGGGAGAGGTGAGTGTATAACCACGTCGCCCGTAGTTCACTTCTCCCCGTGACGGTCGGAGGGAGTAATCCACCTCTCGTCGCTCTCGTCCGCAGGGTCACTTCGGAAAGGTCACCCTCTACCTGTACGACCCGGCCAACGACGGGACGGGAGAGCGCGTGGCGGTCAAGGCTTTGAAGCAGGACAACAGCCAGGTCCTCGAGGGCTGGAAGAAGGAGATCGAGATCCTGAAGTCTCTCTATCACAGCAACATTGTCAAGTACAAGGGCTGCTGCACTGAGCTGGGTGAGGCCTCAGCTGACGCGTGTCCGTTCGTTGAAAAGCATGCAACAACATAGTGTCTCACGCGCAGAGCTCGCTCGGTGCTCGCGGAGCTTCGGCAGTTGGCACGTGATGGATTTCTGATTCATGCTTTTCTCACAGAAAAGAATGAAAAATCTATTCAACGCGCCACACTGTGTACGTCAATATTGTGAGCTTTCTACGCGCAGCCTGCTGAGCACCAGGCAGCAGGTCAATCTTCCCTTTTGCGAGGTAATGGAGGTGGGAGGATAAGCCCTGTTGCGTTGTTTACTGACAGGAGGACAAGCTGTGCAGCTGATTATGGAGTACCTTCCCCTGGGGAGTCTGCGGGACTACCTCCCCAAACGCAAACTGGGAGTGGCCCAGTGTCTCTTGTTCGCTCAGCAGATCTGTCAGGTGAGGTTTTGTGCTGATCTTCTATTCTGCTTGATGTTCCAACATTCCTGGTGCTGCAGGATAAGTTCTCCTGTGGTAGATGATGCATCACATTAAGCTTTAATATCTCTGTGTCTTGTTGTTAATTCATGATGTCTTTGTTGAGTAATTTAGTACTTGCATGATGTTTTTCTCCAACCAGGAAATAATCACTTGGCATGTTCTTCACCGACACGTCGTTTGCATCACATTTGCAGCTGACTGTCACTTTCATGATTGAAGCATAATACACGTTGCGTTATTGATGCATTATGTCGAAGAAAGATGTTTAGAGCCATGCAGGCTGCTCTGTGCTGTAAATCATGCTAGCATGCTAACATGCTCACAGCGACAGTCAAAAGTCTAAGTTAAAGTCTGTAATCAGTCCAATAGCTGTGGAAACGTTTCAGCCCGGACCAAAGCGATGGACAGACCGGCCTGATATGTGCCGCGATTATGGCGCCGCAAAGGATTACACTCTATAGGAAACTTAACAGCGGAACCTTTTCAATAACATTGAACTCTTCCGTTCCTTTACACACAGCGACTTGGTTTAACATCCACATTTTGCCCCGGTAATTGCATCCAACTTCTGTTCCTGTTCCCTTTTTAAGGGGATGGTGTACCTGCAGTCCAAGCGATACGTCCATCGAGACCTGGCTGCCCGTAATGTCTTGGTGGAAAACGACAGTTTGGTGAAGATTGGAGACTTTGGCCTAACGAAGCACATCCCCGAAGGCGAGATCTACTATCGTGTTCGAGAGGACGGGGAAAGCCCGGTGTACTGGTGGGTTCATTCCGCACTTATCAGTCTCATTCAATGCTTTGTCTTATGACTTTGGCAACTAAACGGTATTTCTTTGCACTGTGCAGGTATGCCATTGAGTGCTTGAAGGAGAATAAATTTTCCTTTTCCTCTGACATTTGGTCCTTTGGCGTCACGCTGTATGAGATCCTGACCCGCTGTGAAACCCGGCTGAGCCCTCCAAACGTACGTCGTGGCCGGCCTCTTATAAGCAGCTCAAAACTGCTTCTTTGTGCGACTAACGGAGTGCATTTTGAGTCCCTGTGTTAGATGCCTAATGGGCTCTGTTGTGTTTTAAGGTCTGTTTTGACAAGATGAAGGAAATCAAGGAGGAGAAGAATGTGATGGTGCTCATAAAACTGTTGGATACACAGTGGCGATTGCCTCGTCCCAAAGGCTGCCCTCATGAAGTAACATCTCCTTTAAGCACTATTGACATTTTATTGGCATCCGGAGTAGCCAGATTATTCTGTAATGAATTTTTTCCATTGAACCAACAGGTGGGGATGTTGATGGAGCAATGTTGGGCTGCGGAGCCGGCCAAACGACCGTCATTCGGATCCCTCATCGAAATGTTTGAGGCTATCCGCCAGACATACAACTGGCAGCCGCACATGAACTTTTCTTTGGCTTAGATTTGACTTTATGTATTTATATGTCATCACACTGCCATCGTTGCGCCAATATATTACAGGAACGTAGAGTTTCCCGCTGAGCAATGCAGACTCCCCTTATTTTCACAGACGTCCTTGCCGGTTTAATTTTGTTTGTCACACCGTTATCCCCTCAAACGTGATAAAACACAGTGATGAATCTCTGTCTTTTCTTTCTTTTCTGGTGAATGAGTTGTACTTGAAAAGAGTCTAGTCCTTAGGAAAGTATCAGCTTCTGCCTTTAAAAAATTCTAGGTTTGCGCGTATAACAGTTGGTATTAGGAAAATGTAGGATTACTCTCATTAATTTACAGTTTGTATATTCATTTCTGTGTATGTTAATTTTTATTTAGTGTAAACTGAGAGAACAATATCTAATAAACCATTTTATACAGGACTGAAATACATTGATGTATGTGTCAAACTGTACACAATTTCATATCTGTGTTTCCTGTTCACCTGCCTCTAGGAAGGAAATTAAAAATACGTCCAATTTGTGAAAACTTAAAAGACCCACTCGACTGCACCCCTTTAATCAATCTGTGGCCCTCTTCACCATGACCTTGCTGCACAGCGGGAAAAAATTAACTACACTGCTGCTTGAAAATGTACATTATCCTAATGTGCACATTAATCACCCACAAATAAGTGGGTACAAGAATAGCCAGAATACCACCCAGACACTAAAACTTACTGTAAAGATCGCACTGTGTGTTTGAAGGAAAGTGCACAAAGGACAAAAAGCTAGTATGGTGAATGTATAACTGGAGAGTACAAAGGAACAATTCCAAATGTTGTCACAGTCTGCTGAGAATCTGCATGCGTTCAGACTTACCGTCCCCTTACCAGCAAGCCAAAACAATTACAGGGGACAATTCCATGTAAATCTCTCTCTCTCTCTCTCTCTCTCAGAGAGATATAAATACACACATATGAATAAAGAAATATTAATGCAAACAATGTCTTGTGTTTATAACTGGATGCATTCATTGAAGTGTGTTTTTGAAGTTGCTTTGTAACAGGCCTATATTATGTTTTTTAACATTTGGTTCACCCTGTATCAAACCTAGGAATCTATACAATGGATGCTCGTGATGTGGTCCCCACACTGCTCGTGGTCAGGGACCTTCTGCAGCGAGTTGGGCCTTTGGAGCAGCTTATCGTGGCTTCGCCCCGCCCCTCCCCCCGTTACGTCGTAGTCATGGAGAATGCGTCCCGCTCTCGTCCAATGAGGAGCGGCGCCGGGGCCATGTGTGTATTGTTTAAACTGCTCAAATCGGGCTGAGCGTCCGGACCGATACAACTTCCAGCCGAGCGGAGTGATGGCGGCCGTCGTGTCTGTTGGCGCAGCTGCCGGAGATGAAAGCGCAGACGCAGGGCTCAGTTTCGCCCCTCGTCCTCACGCCGATAATCACGACCCCGCTGCGGCCCACGAAAGCTCGATGTCCGGAGACCGCCGGTACCCCGAACTCTCACCCGTCGAGGAGGACTCGGCGTCGGAACGCGAGTGTCAGCGGAGGGTCGACGAGGACTTGACATCACTGAGCCCCGAAGAGATTGAGAGCCGCCTCGAGAGAACGCGCCGGGAGTTTTACAACCGTAGAAAAATAATCATAAAAAATCTACCATCCGACGTCAGCAATCAGGTACGAGCAAAACTTAAAACTTTTTAAAGTTTTAATTATTTGATGATTGATTGACGGGAGGCGGTTGGGCTAACTTTAGCATAGCTCCGATATGCTCTGCCATGCTACCTGCGTTAGCCTGCTAGCCATTTAACTCGTTAGCTGTCTTTTTAAATTTGATTGATGCGACACTTTTGCGTAACTAAAACTGCTTTATTTAAAAGACAATACACTGGCGCCCCCCCCGAACACATTTTAACACATTTTAAATTAGTTGAAATGTGTTTTTGTGGTTGGGATAACCGCCAGGTGGTCAGAAAAACGTTAACTGTCAATAGTGGTCATCTGTGGCCTGTGACCTGCCTCCGGCCTCGTTGGCCCCAGTTTAAAAAAAAAACTTTTGCTGTTCATGATTTTCGTTCACTATCAAAGCTCACAAGCGATCAGTCCGCCTGTGATTCTTCTCCATACATACACCTTTTACAGGTGCACTCGGGTTGTTGTGTCGTCGTACCGTAGTGCAGTGATTTTAATCATGATGCCACACTTTTTTTTTTTTTTTTTTTTTTGGAACGTGCCTGACTCGTGGGGAGCGTTGGGCCTGCGGGCGGTACCATTGTTCACTGGGGGGTGGGGGGGCAGTGTGAGTTCGAGATGTCAGTTGCAGTACAACAAAAGGTGGAAGGTGTGCGGACAAAACGTTTCAGAAAATGCTAGACGGCATCGCAGTTTCGTTTGTGAATGGTCAAAAGCAGCGTCGAACAATTTCTCCTACAACAATGGATCGGTTATTAACCTTTCACCCCTCACAGGTGCAACTTGTTCTTTCCCAGAGGACACGAGTGAGCTAATTATGCGATGACCAAAATATACAATTACGCACCCTGCAATTGTGTAATGGCCAACATACAATTCAGTAGTCAAATATTGGTCAAGTAATTATTTTTCTTCCTTATTTTCTAATACAGGAGGTCCATGAGCTGTTGGGCAACTATGACTTGAAGTACTGCTTCGTTGACAAATACAAGGGCACAGGTTGGTCTAACTGCTGGTCTGCTATGTTATGCATCTCGTAAACACTTTAAAGTGGGGAAAGATCTATCACGGATGATCTATAAATGTTTACTAAAGAAACAAGCCACTAAACTTGATCGTCACATAAAAAAACATAGGTTGTCAGTATTTAAAGCAGTTCATTTGCTACTATATTCCAATGCTTTGCTCACCAAGCGTTTTTTGATTCCCAAAGATGGATCCAACATTATTCGGGAGCATCGGCATTTACAAATTTGCCGGTTTTTGATTGGTATAAGTGCATCAAAGATCCATTAGAAGCCTTTAAAAACAATTCTCTACATAAAAATAGGCCATAACATTTAATTAGTTCAAATCAAATATGGGCATGCTTGGTGATAATTGCATATAAAAACACAGAAGTTATTTTTTTAGGTAAACATTTACATTGTTAAATAGATACTCAATGTTTGGGGATGTGGTTTTAATCCTGACTTTAACGCTGACTCATCAAATGTCCCTCCTTCACTAAACACCAGATTGTGTCTACTGTCTCCTTTCCTCTGTCCCTCCACCACCCTCAGCCTTTGTGACGCTGCTCCACGGGGAACAGGCGCAGTGCGCCATCAAGGACTTCCACCAGCACGTGCTACGGGACCGGGAGATCTCCGTGCAGCTGCAGCCAACCGACGCCCTGCTGTGCATCGCCAACCTGCCGCGCGCCTTTACCCAGCAGCAGTTTGAGGAGCTGGTGCGACCCTTCGGTAACCTGGAGCGCTGCTTTCTGGTCTACAGCGCCTCCACGGGCCACTCCAAGGGCTACGGCTTTGTGGAGTACATGAAGAAGGACTCCGCTGCCAGGGCCAAGTCGGAGCTGCTGGGCAAGCAGCTGGGCACCCGCATGCTGTACGTCCACTGGACGGAGGTGGGCTCTCTCACGTACCAACTCCTGCACTCCAAATGCCTGTGTGTGGACCGGCTGCCCCCGAGCCTGCTGACGGCCCAAGATCTCCGCAACGCCCTGGCGGACACCCACGCGCCGATCTTCTGCCAGGTTGGCTTCTCCACACAAACCCAGCGTGTTCAGTAGAATGCAGGAATAGCGCACCTGTTTGGATCAGTATGGATTAGCCCGTTGATCGATTAGTCCAAAAATGAACCTGCGGCTGTTTTGATAGTCGAGTAATGCTTAATCAGGTAAAATACTGTAAGTGGGTATAACGCAAGTTTCAGTTTGAGGGTTTTGGTGCTTCCATGTGTATCTGAAAGTTGGTGAATCGCCACTGAATATTTTTTGATCTTTCTGTACCTTTTCACCTCTACCCCAGTTTTCCTGTGGCCACTCAAAGTTTCTATAGCAATGAGCATTGCTGGTTTCTATGGTGATAACCACCTGACTCCCCCAGGTGGTGTCATTCAGAAGGCTTTTCTGGAACGAAGGAGAGGGGCGTCCTCTTTAGCACAGCACGTACAGTTCGTTTTCCGCTGGTTCAATATCTTTTTAGGATTTTAGCAGAGGCTGTATAGACCATATAGTGTCATCCGATAATTTAACAAATTGATTCATCATCCCAGCACTCGTTTCAACCGGATATACTGGCCTGGTTTATAAGCTAATAAAACCAGGCGGTGCTTAATCAGATTTAGCTACTGATGGTGAGCTAAGGGCCTGGGAAGGAAATTCAATACATAGCAAAATAATGTGACTGAGTTGTAAACATTTTAAGATGGTTAAAAGATCTCTAACACTATTGACAAGAAATCAAATGCAGCGGATTGTTTAAAGGCTCTTTAACTGCAAAAAAGTAAGTTACTGGAACAGTAAATCCTTGGTCTCTCATGCGAAGCTGCTGAACCTGTAAATGCTAGAAAATGGCAGAGTCTACCTGTAAGGAGAGGCACTAAATCAATGAACACAGCTGCACAGGCTGTGTTTAAAAAATGTACAGCAGTGATTTGAGAACAAATCACAAATGAATGTGCTGGTAGTCTACAAAGATCTCTTCACTTGATTAGTAATTTTTCATGCTGAACGACCTATTTTTAATTTAATTTTATAATCACTGGTAGAAGCAAAAATTAAGATCCTGCTTAACTGTTTTATAGAGCCGTCAATTTCAAATCTGCTAATCAATTAGTGGACTACAAAGGTGATCTTGGCATATTTTCTGCTGATTGCTACTAAAGAAATGATTTCGGGACACTCCTTCCTGCATTAAATAATAAAACTAATTTCTTGTCCTTTTTTCCCCCCAAAACCCCCCCATGTTCCTCTCCACAGTTGGCTCAGGGACAAGACTCGAGTTTCCGGCGGTTTACGGTGTTGGAGTTCTCCTCAGCTGAGATGGCCGAGGAGGCTCAGCGACTCAGCGACGGCCGGCTGCTGGGCGGGACGCGCATCCGGGTGTCCTTCTGTGCCCCCGGCCCCCCAGGAAGAAGCATGTTGGCTGCCCTGATTGCTGCTCAAACCATGGTATGTGACTCAGAAAGACCGTAACGCAGCTGCTGCTGGGTTCGCTGTTGCTCGTGTGCTCACTGCCTGACTTGTGGCCCCTCCCCCCCTCAAGGCTGTGAACCGGGGCAAAGGTCTCCTCCCCGATCCGACGGCCATGCAGATACTGACGGGCCTCAATAACCCCGCCACGCTCAAGATGCTGCTCAACCCTCTGTCACAGGGACCCAAACAAGGTGAGGACTCCCCCAGTAGCTCTCAGCGAACGCCTTCGTTGAAGGATCAGTTCCGCTGCGGTGGATCCTGATGGCCCCCCTTTTTGTGCGCAGGCCTCCTTGGGGCCGCCCCCACAATGCCCCTGCTGGCCAACCCCGCCCTCTCCGCCGCCCTGCTCCAGCTGCTCCTTCAGAACCAGGCCAAGGCCCAGCAGGTACATCTGCCTCTCTGCCCGCTCCCTCCGGAATGGGCTTCCTCTGCTGCTCCATCCACCCCCTCGTGTTCATACATCCTTTCCCAACCCCACCCCCCCTCCGCTCTTTCTCTTTACCATCAGCAAGCCTTTCTGGGAAATCATCTCCTTTGGGCTCAGGTGCTGCACAATAAAGAGAACCCTCTAGTGCCTTGTGTGAGTGATGATGGTGTTTGTGTGAGGTGCTGGTTAGGTTATTTCTTCTTTCTTTTTTTTTTCTTATTTTTTTTGTGTGTGTGATTTATAAGAAAAAACCCTGCAATGCCTGGGTGGGTAAGCTCTGGCTAGGAGATTTGTTTTTGTGTGGGCTGTACTTTTGAGTGGTGCTGAGTGATGATGTAGGTGTGCTTCATTATGCACAATGCATTAAATGGCCGCCCTGTAATGACGTTTTGCATACGCGGTGAGACTCCTCGGTGCCGGTGCAGCGCAGCAGTCTTATCACAGCTGGAGTGTTGCATCCCGGCAGCGTGACCCTGTAGTGACACTGAACTCTGCTCCCTGCTTTTGCCAGCAGGCAGGACTCATTGCGGAGAACGCCCTGGCTGTCCAGCAGGGGGTCCATCTGCTCGGCGACCTTCCCCAAGGTTTGGCATCCGCCGTCTCCAGCCGTTGCTCCTTGAACCCCAGACGGCTTGTTTTTGCTTTGCCTTTGATGCAAAACATCTGCGTCCGTGTTAGCCTCTTGATCACGGTGCCTCCTCTTTACTTGGGTCAGGACATGTGGCTCACAGTGCAGGATAATGTTGCCAAGGAGAAATCTATATTCACGTTGGATTGAGTGCTTTGCATCTGTCGGTTCAACGAATATCTCTGCTGCAAATCTGACTAACTGACTTTAAAAAGGAACGAGGTATTCTAACGGATCAAAGCATCGGTTCCATTTTACAACTGCACCGCTGTCTCATTTCCTCTAGGTGGTGGAGGTCTTGGTCTTCAGACGGATGCTTTGGCCCAATTAAAGCCTATGCAACTTGGCCGAGGGCTGACACGGGAGCAGGAGCCCCCCACTGCGGCCTGCGCCTTCCCCCGGACTTCCTCTCCCACCATGCACCTGATGGGCGGCTTGATGAGCGCAGATGGCCACACGGCGCAGGGGGTGGGGCCGCAAGTCATTTTCCATGTTTTCTGCCTGCGTGTAAATGGTACGGGTGACTCACCCTTCCCCCCCCCCCCTCCCTCCCCTCTGCTAAGGTGTCCATACTAGGAGATCCTCCCAAAGATGGGAGCAATCCCCACAGCGCCTTCCACGGTGTCCACAATGTTTTCGCCTCAGGTGAGGCGCTTTTTCCTTAATTTATTTTTATAAACCGATTTTCTGTCTTGGCAGAAGGTTGTATGCTGCATGAAATTCCTGAGATCTAAATCAACGTGTGTCTCTGCGCTACTCGAGCAGGAAACTGCAGGACTCACCCCTACAGGAAGAGGCCCACGCTGAGCAATGTGTCCAACCAGCACGTTCAGCCAAACTACAACCTGCGCCACCAGGAGTCCTACAGCCCCGAGTATCCTCCCCTTCACCAGGTGACCCCCGCGGGTTCATATGGATAGCGGCCGCTTTATTAGACCGGCTTCCAGTGTGGTGGCTGGCCGCCCATTCAGCCGCATATACGTGATGGGATCTGCTGTCTCTCCCCAGGATCCTCTGGCCCACTTGTACGAGCAGCAGGAGAACCTCAGCGCTGAATCCTTGGCAGGATTCGGTCAGCAGGTAGTGCGATCATTTTATTTATTTATTTAAAGCCCATTTGCTGGTGTGCGCGCTGCCCTGTGGTTACACTGTGCCTCTGCTGCTTTCTCATCAGGCCGACTACAGCGAGCGTTTCCCCCTCTACAGTTACCCTCCCAGCGAACACATGTCCTCCTACTTCGGCTCAGGCCCCGAGGCGTCCTGTGACGGGGGACTCGCTACCACCCACCTCAACCGGGTGAGGCTTGTGTTTTTGGTTTCAAACTAAAAAGGTTGGATTAGGTTCCAAGGAAAAGCCCGTGTTTAATAGCGAGTGCTGCGGGTTGTTTGTCCGTCCTCAGGCTGTGGGAATGCCCCCTGTTAGCCACACCAACGGCTACCCACCAGGCCTGGGGAGTGCTGTGAAGGTCATCCAAACACTTTGCCCTCTTTAGTTGTAACATTCAGTGTAATTGCTTTGCACTTCAGACCCAGCTGCTCGGTGTTCACTTTGTAAATCTGTTTTTTTACCTCAGACTCCCATCGGTAGCCACAAGCGTCTGTTCAACCGGCTGATCCCGTCTCCGGAGCCGAGCCCCGAGGGCGGCTACGTGGGCCAGCACTCCCAGGGCCTCGGGGGCCACTACGCAGACTCCTACCTGAAGCGAAAGCGTATATTCTAACTGCAGCCGAGCGCTTCCTGCTGCAGTAGAAGCCTTCCAGCAGCCAGGACACAAGGGCGTCTCCTCTGACGTCTCCCAACACGCCGCGTGCCGTGTGTTGGTCCTTGGATTTGTCTCCCGTGTCCCTCTGCAGCCTGTTGCTATCTGGGCAATTGTCACTCCGTTGGAATTCTTGCCGCTTGTATTTTTTCTGTTTGTGCATATATATATGATTTTAGTGTTCAATTCAGTTTTTATTTGCCTTTTTAGTTCCCTGTTGAAAAAGTTGTACAGTGAGAAAAAATGGTTAAAGCAAATCAATTATTTCCTCTTAAGCATTTTTTAAAAGTTTTTATCCCTGTATTGAGTGTGGTGTATCAGAGCTACGCTAGTGTGGCCAGTTTTCACATTTTTGACATCTTTCTAAAGTGATGTTGTCTCGACCGTCAGGACAAGGGACTTATAATAGAAACAGGCTTTACTTTTTAAATGCCCCTGTGAAAAGGGCAGGTGTGTGTGTGTCCCCTCCCACTGGGTAGTTAATGTTGCTGTCAGCCCTAATTCTGGATTCAGGTCCCTCCTCATTGGTTAACATGCAGCTTTCCAGCCACCAATGGTGGCTCTATGTCCCCGGCTGTGTGTCCTGACGGGGAAGCTTTCTCTCACTCTGGCAGGTCTTCTCGAGCCTTAACTTTTCCACGTCGTTTGTCTTTTGATCCAAACCCTCCAACTTGTTCACGGAGTCAGTTCTTCTACACTGGTTGTTAAGTGATGCACTTAGAGGTCTCTGGTCTGTTCTCACCTCTGTAATATGCCCCTTTTTTTTTTTTTTTTTTCAAGCCTCCTCTCGCTCGGATGTTCAGGAGCTGAATATTTTCTGTGTATTTTGTGTGAGTTCTGTTTATCATTTTGAATGTCTTTAAGTCCAAACACCTCACCCCGGTGGTTGGGCCGGTGGACACGTGCCATCCCTGCAGTGTGGGGAAGTACTTACGGGAGCTAGTGGCAGGCGACTGGTCGGTGATATGACTGTCTTTTGTTTTAATTCTTTTTTTTGAATTCTCTGGTTGACAGTTTGATTGTGAAAACCCATTACCTCTGACTTCTGCTAGGAAATGCAGCTACACTTGAGCCGTAACAGTGTTTTCTGTGACGTCATCCTGCCCTGTGTTGGCTTCCATTTACATTTTCCTGTTATTTGCTGTGTAAATAGTTGAGCGTGATCATTTTTGCCTGAGTCCAAGTTTTTTTTTTTCTTTTTTCCTTTAATCTGAATGGGTTTGTGGTTGTGCCTGGCGGGCCGCTCATGCTGTGTACGGACCCAGAGATGCAGCCGTCCTGTATGGCGATCATTCAGTGTGACTCTTCTTCTCATGCCTGTACCTCCATGGCTGTCTCTGTATGTGATGTGAGCAAGTAAATGTTATTTAAACTCATGTTGTGAAGTCGTCTTTTTAAAAAGTATCTTAGGACATCAGTATTTTCACAAAATTCAAACCAGATTTTTTTTATTTTATTTCTTCTGGGAAATGCTCTTGTTTGGTTGAGCACATAATTTAATTGCCTTGAAGCACAGCTTAAAAAAAAAAAAAAAAAAAAAAGATTAAACAGTCAATTTCTGCTTTTAAACCCAGAGGGCTTCACATTAGTTTGATCTGATTTGAGGCTTCAGGGGTACATAGTTGTAGCAGTTTTCATTAGTGTATCGTTTGACGCTAATAGTTTGTTTTCGGTACATTAGAAACCGCTTAATATCTATCGAGGCAGCAGATCCTCTTCCCAAAGACCGCTAATACCACGAGGAAGACCTCCACGTTAAGGTCACAGTGGTTCTGACACACGATGTAGTGAGCAAATAATTATTCAGTTTGATGAAATCTGCATCCTCACTGCTAAATTTAACATAAATATTGTGAACCGCGCTTTAGTCCTTGCACGGAAGGGACGAAAGCATTTGAGGAATACAAGAACCATGCATTTGTATGCCACTAAAAATGTCTTGGACGCTGTTTAATTGTGCCTTAGAGCCAAATAAAGAGGCATGTCACACTGATCTTTTAGCCCGAATGGGGGGAGCAATGCACCAGAACTAACTGCACGCACAACCAGCTGATGTTTTTGCATTATTGGCCCAAAGACTGAACATAAAAGGAACGCTTCTCCTGCACGCTCATCTTGAGAAATGGGTGCAACAAAATCTCTCGGAGGCTTCTTACTTCAAACAACATTTGTGTTAATGTTCCACAATGTAGATAATGACTAATAATAACCTTTTGACTCCCTGTGTGCTCCAGCTAAATCACGTTATCGGGGAGCTCCGGTTGGCTCCATCACGGCGCTGCTGCTGTGACTTTGTATGAATGTTAAACAAGGACTTACTGTGCGCCTGAATTCTGTTCCCTGGATGTGTAATTTACCCGCAGTCTCAGTCACTTATCAGCTCCAAAGGCCAACAGGCCGCTGAACAAGAATAAAGCCGGAATCTGTCCGCCTGAAAGGCATTTTGCTGATAAGACTGAGAATGGTGACATTCATATTTAATTAAATTTAGAAAATAAAACAAGCTGAAGAACGAGCCCAGGCCTGTGTGCACATGATGGCAGGTGAGATGGAGCCCCAGATGATCTGCCCCGCTGATTGGCTGCTGGGATACGCCATGCCTTTTGGTCGGGGGGGGGGGGTAAGAGGCTGTGAAGAGCGCTCCTCTTCCTCCCTCCCCCCGCGGGGTGAACGGTTCTGATTAGCTGCTGCTCGCCGACCTCCTCAAGCGGATGGAGCTCTCCGCCGACGGGCAAAAAAACCCACAACTGCAGTCCATTAGTCACGAAACTCTGCTTTCCCCAACGTGCATATTGTGTGTGACGTTCGCCTTTGTGTTCGCGTCCGCTCAGGAAATGAGTCCAACCGAGAAGCATTCTCATTATTCTGTGAAGAACGATGGAAACAACAACACTGAGGCGGCTTGTAGGCCTATGCGTGTTATTTGCAAAGCTTCAGGCACCGTTGGATTAGACTCCTCACACCTGCAGCCGGGCTACCCAGAGTCCTCGGCGGACGCTGTGTCAGACACATTTAGATTTCTGCCTTTTATACTTCCACCCACACAGTCACCCTGCACAGCAGCTGGTGAAAGCTGCTGAAACTTCCCCCCAAAATGCAGCTCCGCAGGAGGAAGAGCTCTGAAGGCCGAGCGCTGCGGCATCATTTATCATCTTTTACAAACACAAATGAAGGGAAAGTTATTGATTACTTTGTGTGTGTGTGTGTGTGTGTGTGTGTGCTGAGGGGGAAACACGCCCCCTCTCCTGTGTGTGTGTGTGTGTGTTGAGTAGAAATAGGTGTATTAAAACATACAGAAATGATTCTAATCTACATGTAAATCACACACTAAATTAAAATGTGATTTATTATGTTTTTGTTCCAGTATACGAGCAGCGAAGAGTAGCCACGAGAGGGTATGTCACAAGCTGTTTATAGCAGGATTAGTCATAGAAAACAGCCCACTCCCCCCCCCCACCCGTGACAAACAGCCGATGAAGCAGTCGAACATCCAGGAGAAAGATACGGGTCTGAGGAGACACGGAGGTGCTCCTGTTTATACACCCAGACACGATTATATTATAGCAGGGATCACAACACAAACCTTTATCCCCCTGAAATAAGCTCTGCTGTTGTTTATGCTCTTCCCTTTTCGTCTTTTACCACTCGATCCTCTGTGTAATTGTGTATCGCCGTGGCACAGAAACAAGATAAGATTCTGGTTGTTATCAGGAAATGAGAGCAAAGTTTTATTGTTCTGACGCACTGAAACAACACATCTGGTTTCTGACTGAAGAATGAATGATCACAAAGATTGTTGTATGTAACAAGGGGGGGAGGACACCTGTTTTTGCCACATATCTTGCTTTCTACACTAGTGCCAGGAAAACAAAAGGAGTGAACTTCACAGGGAACCAGTGGCTCAATGGCTGGTGAATAAAAAAGAATCAAAAAAAGAATCAAAAAATATTCACGAAAATATTCAAGAAATATTCAAAAGAATGATTAAGTACAAATATTATTATATGTAACAAGAAGGGAAGGAAACCTGTGTTTACCACTCGATCCTCTGTGTCATTGGGTATCGCCGTGGCACAGAAACAACAACAAGTTAAGATTCTGGTTATTATCGGGAAATGAGAGCAAAGTTTTATTGTTCTGACGCATAGAAACAACACATCTGGTTTCTGAAATGAAGAAGGGGCTGCTTCTGTCCCAGACATGAACTTTACAGCCACAACACTTTCATCAGGGGTTTATACAAATCGCGTCTCCAGCGAGGACGTTTGGAAGTCTTCAAAATCTTTCCAACACTTCTGTCCCAAAACGTCCTCTTCGCTGAAAACACTGATCGCCGTCGCTTTAAATTCAACACATGAGTAATGTAAAAGACACCGACAATATATATGTGCCAAAAGATACAAATCACTCTTAGAAATACCTACTGAGTGCATAATGAACAATGAATCTTTCTAGATTTCAACTGAGATGATCAACTATCACGTTGTTTCCGCTCATTCAAACCGTTAGCCGCCGTTAACCACTAGCATCATGTGGCGCACAGTTCCGGGTTTGTGTATCGCGCCAATGTTTGCACTCATTTGGTGGTTGCCTAGCAACAGTGCAGGAAAAAAAAGGATGCTGCAAATTGCCCAAAGGGGTGGGTGGGGGTAAGAGGGGGGGCGCTGACTCTCAGAGCGCCGGCCTCCTCGCTGAACCGTCTCCGACATCAACCGACAGTCAACACTGACAGGCTGAGCCCCCGTCTGCCGGCCCGGTGTGCAGCCGAGCCTTTCAAACAGAGAGGCCTCCATAAGCAGCCCGGGGGCCCCTTCGTCTCCTGTTCCCTGGCAGTTCGCCCCCCCCCCTCTTACGCTGCCACGCCTCACACCATTGAGTGCACATGAACGAGGCGGCGGCCATTCTGACACTTGATTCGTATTTCCAGTTGCCGTTAGAGCTCCACAACATCATTAGCAGAAGTTTTTAGAAGCTTTCAAATCAGGTTACCAAGTCGTTCGAGGTCCCTGAAGTGAAAGCTTCCCGCCCCATCACAACAATTTCCCATCCGGACTCCACTCCTCTTTCCCATCCTCTGCCTTCGACCCGGACCGGACGTGTCAGCGGCCTCTCGTTGGTTTGGAGGAAGAATCCAAACGTACTTTTAAGTGAAAAGTGGCGGCTTGTAAGGAACTCGTCCCCCCCCCCCCGACCACAAAAAAGATCATCTAAAACGGTTTCCTTTCTAATATAAATTGCCTGAAACGCTGTTACACATTGCTGCTCTCTCTCTCTCTCTCTCTCTCTCTCATGTGCTGCTGAGCTGCCAGACTAATGCTCGCTGTCAGTGACGAGGTGTGGAATACTATTTCATGGCTCTGGCAGACAGTGGATCCGTTTCTTGTGGTCCCCTGGTAAGCGCTGTGTGGACCCGGTGGGGGCCAGAGGCCAGACAGGCGGCCGCTCGACGGACAGAGCTTGGATTCCTTCTGGGATTTGCCTGTGAGCCGGAGAAAACGGTCTCTTTTTTGATCATGACTGCAAAGATCAAGTATTCATGTGTGATGATGTTAGTTCCCATGCAGCCAATATTAGACTTAAGTTGACTAACTGTATAAAATGTCTTCACAGGAGAGGCAGAAATCTCTAAATGTGATGTTTTCGTGTGATGTCTCGTATTTTTCACTGCATTTTTTCCACCATTTATTATTCATTATAAATTCTCGAGAAAAATACCCTTATCTTGAAAACTGGACCCATGGTGCTGAGCTCAAAAACGCTCCTAAGTGTTTAGGTGATACACGACTTCTGCGTGGCATCTGCTGTTGATCCGCTGTCCTCTTCTTAATGTCCCCTGTCCCCCACCAAAGACAAGGGTGAATGGCAAAGAGGGACGGAGTAGAAGGCTAAAACACCACAGAGCTTTTCCCTCTCATCCACCTGCACTCGGCTTTTCAACAGTTCCTCACTCCGATGAACCAGAGCATTTGGCGAGGTTGATGGCGAGTGTGCAGCCGACACACACACACACACACACACACACAAACCACAGTGGATCAGTGCATCCTCCAATCATTGCTTTCTTTATTTGGCATCGAAATGATTGACCTTTTTGAACAAACAAAAAATCGACTGTGCCTTTGGTATTCAAGTGTTGGAAAATGGAAATGGACCAAATGAAAGCAGAGAGAAATAATTATGTGTTACATTCCAATGACCCGTGTTGTTTGTGTTTTTGGTCATTACTGCACTACGTGTGGCTTTTCCCTTTGTAGGAAGAATTTTTCAAGGTTTTTAAGAGGAAATGAAAGCCAGCGGTTCCTTTTGTAAGCGTGAACTAGAACTGCTGGAGTCTCTGTGTGCTCATTCGCATCCGACCAAGCGGCTGAATCGTGTATTTTAACTGTGCTGAAATTGTTCTAATTGTCCTTAAGAGAGGAATTCCTCACAGAGCGATTCAACCCAATTGTAAATTCATTTCTCTATTTTCAAGGCCTGAGGGTTTCCCAGAGAAACTATACTGTAATATGATGGAGATAAATATCCTGTAGTTGCTCACTCGTGTTTTTTGCTGAATCCGAGCGACCTTTTAATGAAACAGGATCGTCTCGGCTTCGTCAGCTTCAATTTGGAAAATTGAAAATGATTTCCTTTCACTTTCTAAGGGCAGGTACTACAAACGGACACGTTTTCTCTCAAGGAGAGACTATTGACTGCACTTTAGAACCCCGGTTTCTCCAGTGCTGCGACAAGGATGTTCAGTTAGAGCCGAAAGTCATCAAACCCAGTATCGCAGTCCAAAGGGCTTCTTATCGTTTTTAAGCTAATTCAAACATTGAGGAAAAAAAGCATCCATAGATTGATTGTTGCTCCAGCAGCTCTGATGGCCGAGTAAGGAGTGTTATTTATCTCTAAGCTCAATAATTTGCTATTAAACGTTTGAGACACTACTTATTGAATTAACGAGTCCAGACGCCAGAAATCCAAACAATCCAAACTAGACACGATAGTGCGATAGTGGGTGTTTCCTCATGTTTCCTCAGCAGGGTTTTGAAAACATGTTATTCAGGGTCTTAGTTTCAAACTTTTTTTCTCATATAACCTCTTACAAATTAAATAAATCTCCAGGGAAAAAAAAAAGAAATAGACACAATTTAAATATAAGTTGATCATTATTCACATACAAGAGTTGGATGTTATATAAGCAGATTAATGAGGAAAGTCGGGGCCCACGGTGGATTATGAGGTATCCCCAGATGATATACTAAGTATATAATATATGCATGAATATAAGTATATAAGTCTTCTTGGTGCGAATGCTTCTGTGTTGTGGTTTAACCTTTGCGATGCTCATGTACATTCACCCGCCAAGCTGCTTTATTCATAATGCTGTCCTGCTTTTCTCTCAAGGTCGCCACAAAAATGTTCAAATGACTTCAAATCGCTTTGATTGAGTACCGCAGTGTGCGAATACATTTAGGTCTGTTAGGTCCTCAAGACGAGAGTTTTAGACGGTGTTTTTAGTGCTTAATATGCGATGCATGCTGAGATATCTGATCACTCCAGGAAAACAACATTTTCACAGTGTAACTATTTCAAGTATTTCTACATTATTAACCACCCAAACCTCTCAGGTCTGCTTTCTGTCCCCACAGTCCTTTTAATGCTCAATTATATGTGGAACAAACTCCCAGAAAACCACAACTCTCACTTCTTTTCAATCAGGCCTTCATTTATTGAAGAAATTCTTGTACACTGTAACATTTATTTTTGTATTTTATCCTGACCTTATTCTATTCTATCGCTTTCATTTATAGCCGTATAGTTTATAATTGTATTTAAATGTCCTTCTATCCTGTGTTTCCTTTGCACTTTGTCTTAATGCTTTTGATGGTTTACATTTAAAGCTTTTAATTGTTGCGTAAATGTGCTATAAAAATAAACTCGCTCTGCCTTACAGGCTCATGCAATATCAACTGAGCCTGTGCACACATTTCAGCCTCTTTTAAGTCTTTAAGCATGAACCAAACTGCACACACTTTGTTGTAAAATCACAGCTCAAAGCAATATTTCTTCATTTCAAACAGAACGCAACATTGGTTTTGTCTGAAAATGAGCACCGAGGCCGAAGAACAAGCGATGTGGACAAGTGGAAAACCACTTTTTAGAGTGTCAGTCTATTTCTAACGCCAGTAATTACAGTATGGATAGAAACCAGACTGAAAATCTATGACCACACAGTTGATTTATTGCCAGAAAACACCACGGGAAAACGTTCCCTCCTTCTCCTTTCTGGTCACGTTCTTCTTCCCTTCTGTGTGAGCCGAGGCGCCGCCAGCGGGGAGACGTGAGGGAAGCCTGCAGGGCACCCAAAGGACAAAGTGGACATTTGCTTCATTCTTAATGGCGCCACTGCTTCTCCAGCACAGCTTTTCTTCCCGTCGCAGCTCGCCACGCAGACACAGCAGGCGCTGGTCTCTGGCGGCCTCCGGCTAATGAGCTCCACTCGCCGGAGGCCGGAGGTCGCAGCGGCCGTCCAGCATCGGATGGAGGCCCGCTGGCCCTCACCGCGTCTTCAGAGTCATGGAGTTCCATTCGTGTTTTATTTAGTTTGTCTACTTCGACAGCGTCGTGGTTTTAAATGTCGCGCTCTCTCACACAGTAAAGAAAGCACGTCGTTGGCCCCGAGACGTTGGGTAGGACAATCGTTTGCTTTCCGGGGCCTCCGATCGCGCTACTCGCAGCATCACGCGGGAGGATTCGAGACTGAGCTGTAGCAGAAGAAGAACGGAAACCATCTCTCCAAGGTTCACAGCACGGCGACACGCTGCGGCCGTCTTTTAGCTCCTTATCTGTGTCAGACTGACCGGAGGCAACGCGGAGCCCAGATGGGCTGTTTCCCAGCAGCCCGCCGCCGCTCTCCTCGAGGAATCTGACCGCGCTTCACGGTCAGCTGAAGCCGAGCCGAGCGCTTCCTGGCGGGCTGGTCACCAAAGCACGGAGAGGAAGCGTGCTCTGACTTTTTCACCGCTTTGATAACTAAGGAACAATGCCTTTCAACTTGATGCACCCACGTTTTAGATCCATCTAAAAAATGGCACAATGGTTGAGGAACGAAACGTGGTCTCGGAGGTGGTCTCCTCCGATGCAACGAGGAACAAAGATGCTCCCCCATCGACTGCAAGCCTGTCTAGACTGCAGTTGCACGTTGATTAGTTTGATATTTAATCAGGCTTCATTTTAGACACTTAACATTCTCTGAACTGTAAATGGCCGCGCTTTATATTATATGAACCGTAAATGAATCACATGATCACTTTTAGGGAGCATCATTTGGGGGAGACGAGTTTGTCTTTTTCTGCTAAATGCATCTCAAGCCTACAATTTAAACAAATGATAATTGTTTTTAAAAATTAATGACCCTAATGTAATTGAGCGATGTCTTCGAGACAACAGAAACGTTGTGACTTTAATACGGCAGCTATGTCAAATAAGCCTGAAGTCAACATTGATCCCAAACTGACAGAAGTCATCATCATCATCATCATCATCATCATCATCATCATCACAGATGCCACCACTCAGGTGCTGTCATCCAACGTGTCTTTACAGCTAATTAGCTGCGGTGGTCCTGATGGGGATGTAAGAGCTTAAGACCTGGTGTGAGCTGTTGTTCCTCATCTGAATCACTGGCTGCGTGAACGCTTGACGGGAGGGACGCTCCAGAGGACAGATGGATATCAAACTCCCCGGGCATGGACATGAAAGCCAAACGTTCACTTCCAAACAGGCAGTGAGTGATAAACAGTGGCATGTTGAACTGTCAGTCATCTTGCCATCATTTCAGCCATTGGCATGCGTCTTGTTTCCTGTCATGGAAATGCGCAGTGAAGCCACGAATGGGGCAAAAAAAATGGATGAGCACATAAAAAGGTTGAAACACTTCCAGTCCTGGCAAATCACTGAGGAGAGCATCCACCCAACCACAGATAGACTAGAGAGAGAAAGAGAAGGGGGAGGGAGGGAAGGAGGGAGGGAGACAGAGAGAGAGAGAGGGAAAGAGAGAGGGACAGAGTGCGTTGTGGTGAGCGCTCAACATTAGTCGTTGAACTCCAGCAAATAGGAGAATGGAAGGATAATGGCCAACCGAGAACAGGATGACTGAACCTCTGCAATCATCAGTTTGTGTCCTTTTATGATGCATTCTGGCGAAACCAAACCCGGAGAGTCTGGACAGCGAGGGACAAAGGACCGCTTGTGTTTTTTTGTTGGACATGTCCATTCCTCACGCCATCCTCGTGTACTGAGAAGGGATGCTAATTGATCTCGCTGAAATCATTGGATTCCACATCTCCATGGAGGAATCACTGGAGACTTCTGCGGTGTGTGTGCGCGCACAGGGATCCCGAGGCTCGTGATAAATTGAGCACTTTTTATGGAAATTGCTTGGAAATTTCGGCCAAGCTGAAAGACATACGGGCAGCAATAATCACACACACGCACACACACACACACACACACACACACACACACACACACACACACACACACACACACACACACACACACACAGATGCAAGCGCCGGGGATCTGTGTGTCTCTGCAATAAGTGGCTAATAAAAAGCAATAAATTGTCTTGGATAAATACATCCATCCGGCTGTGCGCCATGGGCGACGACGCGTCAAACTTCAGGGGAGGAAGCGGGACCGGCGTCTCATCCGCAGAACCCCGGACGGCTGAGGATCGCGGCAGAGTGGAGAGTCCACTGAATTAAAACTGATCGCCGCAGAAAAGGATGAGATTAAGGAATTTTCGGATGACTTGTCAGATGAACACTGTGACAGTTTTTGATGTTATTCGGAAAACAGAATCCCAATCGGGGCTTTGCCGGACTTGGTCACTTTGATTTGTTCGCGCGGAGATCAAGTGGCGGAGATGGGACATGAGATGTTTGGTTTTGTGCTTGAATCCAACGAATACAGCCATATGTCATCGAATCAATAAGTTCAAACGGGATCTTTCATTTGATCGTATTTCTGTGCACTATGATGGAACCGTCACCATGCGCGAAGAAGAGCCTGTCCTTGTCGCTCCCGGTTCCGCGGGAAGGACAGGCGACCCTGAAGCCCCCGCAGCATCTGTGGAGACAACCCCGAACCCCGATCAAAATCAAGCACCGGGGGTATTCCGACACCGACCGACATCACCACCGGCACATGGAGCGCTCGGACGCCGTGGATACGAGCGACCGACCCGGACTGAAAAAGTCTCGGATGTCCTGGCCGTCCTCTTTCCACGGGACCACAAACACATCCATCGGAAATTGTGTCGGGAATAAACGGTAGGCGAGGGAGGGGGTGTGCATTCCAAACCTCCCCATAACAGCCCATGTCAGCCCACAAGGCATATGCGTAAACGGGGGGATGGGGGGAGGAGGAGGTGGGGGGGCATTTTGACGAGTGCGTAATAACGCAGTGTGCCGGAAGGGTTAACTGATACGAAGCGCTTTCTGCCGGGAGGCGGGACGCGTGGGTCGGTGCTGACCCGTTATGAGTCTTTGGATAGACTGTCAGATGGGTACGAAGCGCACACCAGTCCGCCCACTCGAAACGCAAGAGCAGCATCTGTAAATACCAGTAACAGTTCTAGGAGCGTCCACTTCTCCGTTGATAAGAGACACGATCGAGGCCCGAAGTCGCTTTAATGGCACCAAAGTTCTAGTGGGTGCGTTCGACCCTGCACCACTGAAATATGCACGTCCAGTCCAGCCATTTTCAGCTTGTTTGCAGAGGGAGGTTTGGGGCCCAGTGGGAAAAAGTCCCCCCCCCCCCCCCTCATTTTACTAGGTTACACCCTGCTGAAGTGCCCTGTAGCCCTCCTGAGCTGGATTGGGGTTAGATGAGGTTGTGTGGAAGAGGCCGATAAAAACTGACTGAAGTCCTGAACCGTCATAGAGACGGTTTCAGACATCTGATCAGATATCACAAAACAGGTTGAGGACAGATTCATATGATACGTAAACTCCCCCAGCCGACACCAAAATCAAATTACACCATGTATGTTAATCATACAGATTAGATTAAAGGCATTTCATGAAGTGAGTCACGGAACGACACAAATCTGATACAATTACTGTGTCGTCGCACAACAACCCCATTTGTCTTCCTGAGAATGCGGCGCCTGCTTGTTGTTGCTACCGTGGAGGACCCATCTTAAAGACCAGCGCTCGGGTATTTGTGTGATGTTTCAGCGTGGAACGTTGTGAGACGATGTGGTGTGAAGTGTGCATGGATTTAAGAGAGGAAAAAGTCGTAGTTATATAAAAGTCGGCTTCTCCAGGTCGCTCCCTCTTGCACTCTGTCCTCTGTGTGACCTGGAGTCCCCGGTTGGTTCTGCGAGTGAGTCAGTTGACATGTTGGACTCCTGTATCATCTCCCATCCTCGAGGAAGCCCAAACGGGCCTCTACCAAAACAACACCTCAAACACGGTGATTATCAGACCAACAACACATCCCTGTGTGTGCCGGGTCTCAAGTCGGGAGTGTCGGGGTGCTGTTTTGTTTTTTAAAATCCTCTTCTTTTATTTCTTTAAATGTCACAGACGCCCCCCCCCCCTTCCTCCCCCTTCCAGCCGGCAAGCGCCTGTGAGAATGGCCAACTCCAGCTGAGTGGGGGAAGGACTGATTTGTATTTTAGTCCTCAGGACACGCTCCGGGGCGGTCCACTCTCCAGTGCATCGGGACTCACTCTGCCCTTTTCCTTCTGTAGGCGGCAAACGAGAGACAGAGAGAGAGAGAGAGCTCAGAACACACCAAGCTGGCTGTGTGTGTGTGTGTGTGTGTGTGTGTCCATGAGGTGACGTGTACAGTCTGTGGGTGTTTGTACTACACTTTGGTCAGGAAAAGAAGGTGCACGGAGAAATGGAGGCTGCTAGATCAATGTTGTGTGTCATGTGTAGTGGTTCAATGCGGCGCGCACAATGGCAGTGTGTGTGTGTGTGTGTGTGCGTGTGTGTGTGGGTAGAGGTAGGCTGACCTGTCAGTGTCTGACCTGTAGCCCATGTGAATTGCAAAAGGCCTAATTTCATCTGCTTCCATGTGGCAGGTCGGGCGGATTCACGCTGTGTTGATATTCTTCCCGTTTCTCTGCATTCTTACTCACGGCCCAACGACGGAGGCTTCGTGCTGGACGCTTCATCTCCTTGCCGCATTTATCAGGCTTTATGAGCCTCTAGCCTCCCTTTGTTTTCAGCTCAAGGCTAACTGGGTTTTATTTTCCTGGCTTACGAAAGGCAGCTGCGTGCACATCTGCTCTCTCTCTAAAGCACTAAATGTCTTCAATAGATCCTAAAAGATAAGGACGAAAAATAAGTGAGTTGTCCCCTGAATCCTGCTCTGATTGACCGAAGGTCCAGATGGTTTTGAGTACTACACACACACACACACAGAGTAGCATTCAATGGGACCACGTGACAAAAATGGAATAAAATATGATCAAGAATCAACCCGAGTTGAAGAATTGTTGTGTTTCCTTTACCTTGGAACGAGCCAAGTTTTTTGCCATCATGAAGACAAATATGGCACGGCCGCTTCTATTTGCAGGAGGAACGTGAGGCGACTTTGTTTGCTGGGGGGAGGGGAAAAAGTAATTGGTCTTGGATTGGTTGGGGTCTCTGACCCCGCGACGACCTCCCGCTCTTGGCTCTCGGCGGACCGTTCCGCCCCTGATGGGTCGGTCAGGACCTTATCCGAAGGGTTGGAAGCTGAAATTGTTGTGGGACTACGTTCACGGAGGAACAGGTTGCACCGCGCTGCTGTAAACGATACGCTCGCCTTTGAAAAACGCTCCCAGCAGCCACCAGTCTGGGGACGCGTAACAGCAGGCGAGGATTCTGGGTGTTTAGCATAATGCTTTGAAGAATCGTTGTCTGAACTGTTTTTCGCTTGTCTATTTTCGTCATCGTATTGTATCCCACAAAATGGCAGTCTTAGTGGCAATCAGCGCGCACCGCCCCCCCCCCCCCCTCCTCACCCAAGAAGTGTCAGTCTGCCTCCTCTTCCCACCCCCGGGTGCCCTGTCGGTCCTATTGTCAGAGGATGCTAATACGAGCGTATCAGTCATCAGGTCCCATGCCCAAATACGCTGTGGCAACCCCCCCCCCCCCCCCCCTCAACCCTCCCTTCAACACTACAGATCTTCCTCTCAATTCTGTTGCTATGGTTACTTGTTTTGTGCATTTGTAGAATTGATTTTATTTACCCAAATAAAGGAAGAGCCTGAAGGCATTTGACAGGCTTGACTGTATAATTTGTCGGTATGCGGCGAATCCCACTGGACCTGCATCATGACTTGTGTGTTTATAAGGTGAGAAAGTGAATATTAATGTTATGCCTCTTCTGAGGAACTGCAGTCTGCCGGTAGTTTATTCACAGCACACAGCCGGTTTCCTGTTCGGTCCTCTGCAACAGTTTACAACCAAAGCTTCCCCCTCTCCCCCTCCCTCACCCTCCACATCATACATTCTTTACACCCTCCTCTCCCCCCCCAAGCTGCGATCTGGAGCTGATTTGTAAGCCGGAGCTGCTCCTTTTCCCACCAGCCTGTCTGGCTGTATTAATAATTTACTTCCTAATGAGGTGCAGCCCCTCTTAATTACCACAACAGCTTCATTCTGTTGACATTTCCAGAAACAAAAAATAATGCAGAGATTATTCAGAAATTATCCCAACAAATGTGTTTTAACGGCGTTAAGTAATAGAGCCTTTATCTCGTTCGTGTGTAGTGGAACCATCTGTTTAAGCTACAAATTGCACTGTTCTGTGAATACTTTGTGCACTTCTCACTCCTCTCAGCGCTAATTAGTATCCCAAGGCAGTTCATGTAGTGGAACATGCAAGTCGGCTCAGGCGGATCCCAGAGACCTCAGGTAAAAATCCCACCGAGATCTTAAAGCATTCGCACCAAACCAGTGGGTTTTTCGTGAAAAAGGGGATTTGTCAGGTCGGTGGTCGTGCTTGTTCTCCTCTCATCGCTGCGGCCCTCACAGCCTCTTCAGATGCTCGGGCCAGCGGTAACCAAATTTAGCACAGTCGCTTCGTGAAACCTTGGCATCTCTGCATTTTAATTACTTTCACACTGAATCCTCTTGAAGTGGCGGCACACTAGTCATTTGTTTGGCTTTTTTGTGTGTTTTTTTTCCGACAAGTGTGGATGGGCAAGAATCCCAGCAAGAAGTAACAAAGGGATCCAAGAAAGATAAAATCAAAGTTGCAAGTAGTCCAAGCGTTACCGACCAAATATCGGCCAGTTTCAGTGCAACTGGTTTGCTTCCATTTAGTCTGTGATGGCGGCCGGCCGTTAATTCCTTTTCATCATCATCCCTTTGTCGTGTTCATTTAATCACATTAACCGAACTCTGCGGCAGTTTATCGTGCGACGGTCCCCTCTCTCAAGATGTCCAGGGCGATTGCAGTAATCCTCTTTTTTTTGTCTCTTTTCTGCTCTAATAATATGGTTTGAGTCACTCTTTTGTCCATAAAAATGACAGCCTGTGATTGCTACTCTTCTTCTCTCCTTTTGATCCTCTCCGTGCTTCATTTCACCCCGGTGTAAATAGGGAGCATTGATTCCATCTCTATTTCGGTTCCCTGCTTTTGTCTCTCTGCTGTGAGGCCCGTCTCGCTGCTTCCCCGTTGCTTCGGAGATTCTCTCTGATAGCCTTGTCCTTGCTTACAGCGGCATTAAGTCCATCCATCCCTTTCGTTGCATCCCACTCTCCCTCTTGTCCACTGAGATCATCAGCTGTTTGCAGAGTCTCTCCCAGCTCCGAGCCATCTCTGCGTCTCAAACCTTCACATCATCGCCTCGTGTATTCTTCTCCTTAAAGGTATTTTACGCTGACGCAATCCTACATTCTCCATCCTGCAGCTTTCACTTGTAAAACAGCAGACTTCAAGGGCCCAGCGGACACAAACACCTTCATCGTGTATCCGGCGATCGGCTGCGGTTGAAGAGGGATTTCAAACAGAGTGCATCAAAGAACAGCTCATTTAAAGTGGAGACGGCTAATAATTATATTTTGTGATGAAAATACAAACTGAAAATCATCCTGTGTGAAATCCGACTGAACTTCTCCTCAGATTTATTTTAATATGTCAAAAAAAGATAAAGCTTTTTTTTTTATTAAGTATTAATAGTAGTTTATTTCAAGCCCATAGGCACTAAGAGGATGAACCTTTTTTCTGGAACCGAGTGCACTGCCACAACAACAAGCGCCGGTCGTTCACCTGTGTGTGTGTGTGTGTGTGTGTGTGTGTGTGTGTGTGAGCGAGGATATTGAGTGCACGGCGTGCGCCCGTGGCTTCGGGCGGCTGTCTGAGCGCCGACCTGTCTGACTGACTCAGGCAGACACACAGTGGAGCAGGGAGGGACAAAAGGCACACGGGGGTCAGACTAATCACTCATGAAGGGGGAGGGATGAAGGCGCACCTGAGCGCCGCTCCGGCCCGGACGGACCAAGAGCGCTCAGCAGTTGCCAAAAAATCACTGGCACATTACCAGCATCACTGGAGGATTATGAAAGAGTGTGAGTCCCACTTAGAGAAGAGGAACAGATGGCATTTTTGGTCGTGACACACACGTCTTTACTGTAACATTCTGGCCCAGACTCAGTCAACATGTCCAAAGCTTTGTTCAGGAGTTAACTATTGTTCCGTTGTGCAGATCCCACTCATACGTGCCCGTATATCATCATTTTATCCCACCACAGGGCTGAGATAAGCCAAAATACCCCCAAAACATATTAGGAAACCGTTTCCTTTTCTCCAATCCGGCTCCGCTTGTTGTTGTGTGAAGCTAATTGGAGAAAACGCTGCAAACAGCAGTCAATCATTATTGGATGCATCAAAACAATAACGGGGGCCTTGCTAAATGTGACACTAAATATTTCATAGCCTGCTCATTTGGAGAGCAGAAATCAAGTCAGCCAGCCCGTATGTGTTTCCATACGAGCTGTTGCTGGATCGAACCCCAAGCGCAGACGCTCAGGTCTGTTGCTATATGTTCATTTTGTGGCCTGGTGTTGCATTTTGGATGTTTTGCTTTGCTAAATCTGGTTGTCTTTTTCGCCGGGTTTCTTCCATTTGTGTGTAAACAGGATGATTATGTTGCCACGTCTTGGTGTTTACGTGGCGTTTTGTTGCAATGTGCGCTCGGGTTCAAAAGGCTGTTGTGTGAAGACCTTGCCTTTTTTAAGATATGGTCTTAATTAGAGTGGATTAAAAACTACAATATTTTAAGTGAGGTACTACCTGAGGACTGAAAATTCTACTAAAAATGGTTCCGTTTTTTTCTATTACAGGCATTCGTGCGGTTTCCAAAACATTCCTTGTAAATGATTGATCTGTAAGATTTACAGCCGCAGTGCCTGGTAGAATACAGCAGTGTGCTTGTTACAGTGTGTTGTTGTGGTGCTGAGGCTTCTGCTTAGAAAAGCGCAACGTGCGTTTCTTCCTGTCGAAGGCGAATGGGTTTCTTCTCGTATAAGTCGAGGACAATATGCAATAGGTTTGTGGGAGGGAAATATAGATGTAAAATCACATAAACAAGGTTTATGGGGACGCTGGAGAACTTGCTTTACTTTGAAGGTGTTGTGTTGCTGACTCTCATCTTCTGTCGGGCACAAAGAGCTCCTGACCTCCAGCAGGTCAACCTGTGAGTGTAACCTGTCTTGTCAGATCAGTGAGCCCATTTCTGGTGGGTCGTGTTCATGTTCACACATTAATACTCAACATTCAAGCCGTTAGAGGGCAGAGAGGGAGAAAAAAAAGAAGAAGCATCGCCTCAGGGTACACAATGGTATTTTCAGTATGAGATCTGGATGTTTTTCACAGATTGAGTGCTTTAAAAAAAAAAAAAGTGGCCATGCTTCACCGCAGGAAGTTTTGCTGCAAGGAAAATCCATCTTTATTCACACCTCGATTCTACGGGATTTCTAATGATGCTGACACAGACTTGGAGGGTATTTTACCCCCAACACTGCAAAGTAATTAGCACCACTGAGGCCCTTTCACGGCTCTCCGTCTCTCATTGTTGTTGTTTGTGTATCGGGGGGCTTATAGTGTGATTGCTTGTGGGGTTTGGGGTTTTTTGTTATAAGAGGTTTCCTCCAAGAAGATCAGAATTGAGTCTCCTCTCGCTCAACGCAGCTAAGCTCCACAGCCTTTTAGATTTTTGTAAAGGCCTCTTTTTAAGAACTCGAAGGGTCTCTGGTGCAATCTGAAGAACTGGCAGTGCCCAGCGAAAGTTTTAAAGGGTCGCTCGACGAGAAAAGCCAATCCTCGTGACACATTCTCAATCGTATTTTCATCTTTCTCCTCACAACTGATGCTTGGTCAGTGCTGCCTGATGTGGACATTACAGTCAGAGCGCCTGAGTGAAAAAAGTGAAGAAGAAGAAAAAGAAGCGAGTATCCCCCTTTACATAGATGCTGCCTGCGTACAGCACACAGTCCCTGAGCCAAGTCCTTTCTATCAAACAGGTGGGACGCAGACACCAGGGAGAAGGTGTGAAGATAAGGAGAGTGGAGAGGAACAGAAGGTAAATGTGGCAAACGAGGAAGCGTGCATGTGTCTGGAGAATAGAGAACGAGGGCGGTTGTCTTCACAGATCCTCTGCAACTGTGTGTTGTGTCACATCAGATTTGACGCGAGAGCTGTCAGCGCGGCGGCCGCTTCCCTCGCCACTCGCCACCGCGGCTTGCACAAGTCGCCGATGCTGTGTAGATGGAGGCCGAGCCGACTCCTTCTCAGGGTGCTATAAATAGGGGGAAGAGAGGCCTCAGGCTCTCAGCGTAATGAGATTAAACCAAACCAGCCTCAGCTCCCAGTGTTTTATTGAGCTTCATTACAGTTTCTGTTCCATATTCCAATAAGAAAGATATTGAGTGTGGCTGCTTCTGCGTGCTCGGGTCCACGTAGAAACACTCGGTTGGGCGTCAGTACGTCGGTGTGTGTTTGTGTGCAAGCATCTGTGAGTATGTGTGTGTGTGTGTAGTGTCCTCGTTTTGCACCCTGCAGGGCATGGCGCATCTCCTAGACGTTTTCATCATGATGGAAAAGCGTTTGTCACTAAAATATTGTGCTGAACCTCTCGAACAAAGTCGTCACGAACCCGCACACACGCGCACACACACAGAAACACGCGCACTTTGCTCGCTGACTTTTCCAGCAGTTTCCGCATTCTTCACGAGCGACGCGTCTGTTGCCGCGAGTGGAGAAAGCGATCAGTGCCCGGCGTGTTTGTCGAACGCCGATCTGTGAGAGGCAGACAGAGGGCCGCCCGGTCACAGCTACCGTGGCTGAACGCCTGCGCGCGCGAGCATGTGAGACGGAAAGTGTCTGGGGACATGCAGAGTGGGAGACATCCGTTCTGTTTGGACATACTGCTGATTCTCACAGCCCATATTCACGGACTGCTAGAGTCTGACTGCTTTTTTTTTCCGGCTCAGGCCCCATTACCCAGTCGCAGCTTCTCCCTCCATCACTTTGGCGTCAGCGAGGGAGCCCTCGGCTCCCCGGGTCCACTCCATGAATCTATCTGTTTTTCGTCTCCTGGCAGACGGAGAAAACGTTATGAACGTCATCTGTACTTGTGAGACGCAGAGATGCATCGGTGGTCAACGGCAGTAACGCAAGTTCACTGTATCCGGCGTTTACAGAGATGTTGTCTTCTTCTCCTCCAGATTTAGGACATCAGAGCACATTTTAAATTATAGTGAATATAATGCGTGTGCTTTTCGTTCTTGTCAGACAGCTCGTGGGATTCACTGCTGCAAGGCAATGGCCCTTTGGAATGAATCCACACCGATAATCCGGTCTTTTCCTCTCCGATGACATCACACGGCTATCTGCGATGAACATACTGATGCTCTTATTGTTCTCTTGCTCACACAATTATTATAACTGCACTATAATTGGAGTTTCACTAATTGCCCTTGTTAAATAAATGCATGGTATATTTCAACTCTAGGGATGTATCATAAAATACTCAGTGTTTAATTTTGCTGGTATAATCTTTAATTACATAAGTTCATAGTGTGCACCATGGTTGGTGTTTTAATTACAAGCGGCTATAATTTACACTACGTTATTATAGCATCGAGCTTTATCGCATCGTTCAGCTCATTGTTTTATTTCACGCTCTCGGTTCTCATGATATCGTTTTCCGCTGATCTGAAATCGCTAAACACGGATTAAATTGACACCTGTTGCCGACTTTTGTAGGAAAACGCGTTTGAAATGAGGAGTAACTTCATGAATGAGGAGTAACTTTCAGACCAATCGTTGTATGAGGACACAATGCTGCAAACCACGTCGACCTTTAAGCATTCTACATTGATCTGAGTCTACATACCAGTCGGACATGGATGGGAAACCGGCAAGAAGAGCTCTCTGAGGAGTCCTTGTCCGATACCAAAAACACCACTTTTAGATATCCCTGAAGCGAAGGAGTGGCAGCTTTTCCTCCGTGCTCCCTCCGGATGCTTCTCACTTTATCTCCTAAGGTGAAAGGAAAGTAATGTCGGCTGCTTAAGTCTGCCATCTCACTCTTTCGGTCACTACCCAGAGCTCATGAGCACCAACATAAAGGCGTTCTCAGATTGAGTTAAATAGATTGACTTCATATCGCGGGCTGTTTTTAGCAGTACTCTTCCCCCGGAGGCTGCATTGTTTTTCACATCCGTGTTTTTACTTTATGGAGCTGCTATGGGGTTAATTACGGAGGCAGCAGAAAAAGGCAAACAAGGGGGAAGCAATTTATTGACGCATTTACATTTGTCCGTCCGCGGCATGAAAACCATTTCGGAACAATTCCGAGCATCGAGCTATCCGTGGAGCATTTTACTGTATTCAAATCAAGCTTGAAGGATCTCTCCCTCAGCTGCACCCTGCTCAGGGTTTGTCTTTGCACTCATTATAGCAGTAATTGCCATCATTTCAGGGTAATACGCAGCCAACCATGTTTGTGCTGCAGAATATGGATGAGGAATAGAATGCCAAGACTGCTTATTAGTCTGCATTTCACTCCTAGATTGGATTGAATTGGACAGGATCTGAAACACGGAATGGTCGCGCAGATTTTAAGGCCATGAAACGTACACGTGTAGACGGACAGAAGGACAGACCTTCACATTAGCAAAGAGCGCCAGACTCAGACTGCAGAAGAGATGGAGAGAATTTCGATGGTGTTAGTTAGACGGTGAGATGGAACAGGGACACAAAGCCATCGAGGTATCTCTGGATGAGTCACTCTCTTCATCTCTGTAGTCTGGATTCAAATGAAAGAGCCCCAGCAGCCCCGGCCTGCAGAGAGGGAGGTCCACGCTCCATCTCAGAGATAGTGTGATACACTAAAAATAACACTCCTTGTGTGGGCTTGTGGGAGGGCGGGGGTTGTGGATTCGGCGGTACAGTCGAGACAGCAGCACTGTCACTATACCTTCTACATACCAGCTTGATTGCATTTGGAACGGCTCTCGGTCGTTTCCTTTCTCGTCATCGCTGCATGGGTTTGGTGACAGCTCTCCTCTACAGGAATGCTGCTCATTGTAAATTAAAATGTAGTAGTTCTACTCCATGCCGCTTTTAACCCCCATTTTTTCCATCACACCCCCCCCTCCCCTCCAGTAGCGGTTCCTCTTTGAGAGACTCCATTAAACATCAAAAGACGGTCAATATCGTTACACGTCTCTCGCTGCCGCAGTTCGTCTCGTCATCTATCTGGATGCGAGATGCCCGGAGCACCAATTGGACACGTCTCCCCGTCTGTCATCTCTCAGGACGGCTCCCTGTCAGCTGATCCGTCTGTTTATCACAGCATCCGCCTCCAGCAGGGGGGAGGAGAAACACGGCGGAGACACGAACCCGCCAGGTGCTTTTCGAGAGCAACAGCGCTCATTATGAAGGCTTCCTGGTTCCAGTCGGTCGGTCCAATGTGTCCTCTCGAGATTTCTTTCATTCGGTCGGTCCTCCTATTTCATGCTGGTAAACACAGGATCAGTTAAGTTATTCTTTATGAATATAAATACGTTTTACTGATCTGTTGATTCAATGTGGTCAATCAATTCGACGTTAATCATCTGAGAGTTTTATTAGTGGAGGACGGGCCTCGTTCAACAAACAGCTCATTTGGATTCAACTGATTTTTTGTTTGGGAAGTTATAAAAAGCTGGTTGTTTGTTGGGCTCCATGATTATAAACTTTTACCTTTCACACTACACAGCCTCTGGGGACACAGGGGGGGGATTTACATACAAAACAGGAAAGAGCTCCTGTAGGGGAAAGGATGAAGAGCAAAGAGAGGACGAAGAAGAAGGAGAAGGATGAGTTCCTTCCAGACGGAAACCACCGGTTCTGAAAAGTGAAGCTACAAACTTGCATTATTTCTCTAGTGAGCAGCAGGGGGCGACTCCTCTGCTTACTGATAGAAGTCTATGAGAAAATGAGACTCTTCTCACTTGATTTATTAGCTCAGTAGACATTTGTGAACGCGACTTTATGGTCTCAATCACTAGTCCCAAGGTATTGATTACAGCACGATGTTCATTTAGCATGAATGAATAGAGCATAAAGCCCAGTCTGCTTTAGTGTTGGACTCACTTGTGATTGGAGGTCCTTGCCATGGAGTTGTTCAGGCTGTGTTGTCGTGTCTTCTTCTAATATCTTTAGTCCATAGTTCCTGCAGTGATGTCCAATCTAAGCTGCAGTGAATCCCTTTCTATGTGACCAGGGTCTGAAAGAAGATGGACTGAAGAAGAAGGTCTGACAGGCAAATGGATCGATGGATAAAAGAGAGGACAGAGAGAACAAAACAGAAAATAATCCAAGCTGTGCTGACCTCGTTGATGCCTGTTTTTTGATACGCGCCACTAAAGTGCAGCAGAGTACAGCGCAGTCTAACAGAGGTCTTTCATTCTTTTGGCTTTACAGCGAGACTGTGTCTGTGAGGATTTGCTCTTTGCATATCATTTAAGGACACTAGAGCAGGATAAAGACCCTAAAAAAAGCAGACAACCAATGCTTTTTTTACGTCCCAATAGTGAAATAGTGTTGGCTGGACAGGTCAGTCATCTGAACGCTGTCCAACTGAGCATGTGTTTGACTTCCTGCAGACCAGATTGAAGGCAAGCGGGCCACAAAACAAACAAAAAGGGAAGATGGCTGCAGTACAGTGACGCAGCGTCACACTACCACTGCATGGGCTTTGCAGCAATATCGAAAAACACAATTTTGGAACAGGCTGAATTAATGTAATGCACAAAGCTCGTGATTATCACAAGGTAGACGCATCGTTGATGAAACCCACTGCATTTCAATTGCTTGGTTAAAATATTGTCAGTCTCTCAGCACTCAAAGAACACGCTAATGCTTTTTAATACTTTCCCACTTCCCCCCGTGATGCCGCATTCTGAATGCAAAAAACATGAGCCGGGGCTGTGCATTAGGCCATGTCACAAAGGTGAACCTAAACGGAGCTGAGAGTCGAGCGTCCCGTGAAGCCGACGCGGGCCGTGACAAGAGGACTCTCCCGGGTTCAGAGGCCTGCTGATGGGGATTCAAAGTGACGGGCGCCTCTGGTGGGCTTCAAAGAACACAAAGTGGATCACAAAAGCAGCGCAACAGAGCAGCGGAGCCCAGAGTTCTCCCGGAGGAAGAAAACGCGGCGCCCGAGAGCATTGCATGACTAATGCGAAGCATTCCATCCAGGTGGAATGGATTAGCTGTGGGGCGTTAATAGATTGAGACGGCCGGTGGTCGCCGTCGCCTTCCACAACGAGGACGCCCCGCAGAATAAAAGGCCGGTAGTCCTGTCTTGTGTGGCCTGTAAAACAAATCCCTTTCTTGTGGCATCTGCCTGGTGTGTCTCTGAATAAAGGCGGAGCACACGGCCTGTGCCCCCCCCCACGCCTCAGAGTTGGAAAGTTCAGTAATTTTCTGCATTCCCGCGATTTATAAGATAATCACAGCGCAGTTCAGACCTGGATTGGGTGGGGGCTACAGGACCCTGCGGTTTAACTTAACATTTCAACGTTTATGGGAAAACCAGAGGGAGGGGAATGGGGGGGACGTGGAGCGAGGGGGGGGGGGGGACTCAGGGACGATGGCAAGACGGTTTCGCAATTTAATCTGAAACCAATTACAAACTGAGTCATGGTCCAGAATGTGATTGTTTTCGTTTCTGCTCGGAGTGCGAATAGAAACCAGAGTTCCTCCAGTGACAAAAACTTTACCTGCAGCCGCTCAATCAATTTAGGATCAGTTTACAGGGATCATTTATTCAGTCTCTCTTTTCCGGCTCAAAATCAGAGTTGGGGATTGTTTGAACAGCGGAAAGCCTGACAAAGAAAGTTTTAATGAGTTCTGCTTCGGGGGTTTGAATGAGTGTATTTCGGTGATCCGCCAGCTAAAATGACTGTTGTCTTCCTGGAGTCTGAGGAAGCATATTAAGTGCGCGCTCTTCAACGAGCACCACCTGCAACTCCACTGTAACATCTCTGAAGACAAGAGCCAGATGTCAGTGGGTTCGTATTCAAGAAGAAAAGGGGTTTCACTCAACCACAGTTCGGAGATGAAGGTCAGATGAATCAATCCCTCTCGAATCGATGGACTCACGGTTGCAATAATGCACAGTAATGAGCACAACCTCGTTCAGAGCCGCACACACAGCAGCGCTGCTGGATTATAACACAAAAGTATTGGGGGGGATTAGAATTTTCCCCGGGTTTAGTTTTGTTTCCAGTTGTATCTGGGAAAATATCTGTGACTCACCTGCGTGACGCAGCCAACACCGTCGATGGGTTTAATGAGCCCCCCGGCAGCCAGCTCGCAAGAAGCCACACGGGCCGAGTACGCGATCGCGAGCTCTGGAACGGTTGTGATGGGGACGACCAAAGTGTCTTTTATCTCCTCACATTGAATTAGTGACAAAAGACAAGTTGATTTCCAGAAAGATCACATTCAACAATATGGCTACTGACCAACCCGCCGCTGTTACACTGTTTATTTCCCTCCCCGTGTCTGTCACTGTTCCCCTCCTCGAGGCCAGATGCCCTCTCTTTGTCCACGTAGCGCGGCGCCAGCTCTTTCCCTCCAGCGCTCCCCCCCACTCACCCGTACACGCCGGCGTTAGAACACCAGCGGGCCCGAGCCCGCTTCCGCCTTCCTGTCTCTCTTCACGGCGATCGCCCGAGAGGCACCCGGGGGCGAGCGGAGAGGGCGAGCAAGGAGACGCCCGGAGCGCAGCTCCGGATGTTGTCATTTGAGATGTGTCAGTTACGGGCGCGTCGCCCGCTGAGAAGCGAGGCCCCCGGCCTGAGAGAGAAAAGGAGCAGAGCGTGCTGCACGTGCCGGGCCATTCAACCGCAGCAGTGAGAGAGCACAGCTGGGATTACACGGTCGGCCTAAAGTAGGACTCCTCTCCAAATTTGCAAGCGACCCCCCCTCCACTACCACCCCCCCACACTGGGAGCAATCAGGCAGGTGCCAAAGGCCCTGGTGAGGGACAAGTCATGGGCGGATAGGGGCAGTACCAGAGAAGGAGAAGGGGGGGTTGAAATAAGCATCTGTGCTTGCTTAGCAGAAGAGGGAACTGTCCTTCTCTGTTTGTGTCGCGGGGAGACGGAGGCTGACGGACTCGGGGAGGTTAATCATTGACCTGAAGTGAAGCGGAGTGAAAAGCATGGCGGGCCGGGCTTGACTCTCGGAGCGATTCCCCTTTTTTATTTTACTTTAGAAGTTGAAATGAATGAGGGCCGCTGGCGGCGCGCGTCCCCCCTCAGAGAGGCCTGATTAACTGGCACCGTGCGGCGGGATGGAGGGGAAGAACAGCTGACACCAACCAGACTTTTTTGGAAAATGCTGATGTGGCAGCAAATAGCACCACCCAGGGAGAGAGGGAGGAGGGGGGGGGGGCGTAGGTGGGGGAGAAGGGAGGGGAGCTGCTGCCTCGTGACGACTGTTAATGAATAATCGATAGCGAGAGTTCAGTCGATGAAGGGGGATGTATGTGAATCTCTTCTGCACCCTCATGTGGACTTAAAGGTTTAATTAAACTAATCGCTGCATTGACTCGGAGCCTCGAATCCCTTTGAAGCTCCCAGTATTAACGACACGAAATCAAGCCCCCCCCCCCCTCCTTTTGTTGCAGAAATGAGAGAAAATGAAGTGCTGGTGCTGAACAGTTCAATTTCCCCGGCTTATTCTGCACACAAGGACTCTGCCAGAAGATGCATGTTGTAATTTAATAAGCACACCACGGTAATGGCATGACGCGTCTTTGTTAGATTAATTCACCCAATGTGTTATCGAATGCTTTTATTTTAACGGATGATCATTGATGATGATGATTTTCATTTGTTGCATTTTGTTTTACAAAGTTTAGGAAAGCCGTGTTTCATCCAACGCTGGTGCTGGATCGGTGCTCCGTGTCGGAACGGTGGATGTCGGGCTTCGTCGTCGCGCACCTGCTGCACACTCGATAAATGAGCTTCGCGCGTTCCAAGCCGGGGACCCGCATCTGTCCGTCGTGTCCATCAGCAGAGGTCCGTCTCGGGCAGCGCCGGGGCCTCTGATGGGCTTTTCCTCTCCTCCTCTGCCGTGCATGAAGAAGTCACTCGGCCGACACAAATCCGCTTCTCTCTGAAACCTCTGATCATCGCGTCATTGTCCGCAGCGAGAAAACACTGCAGGGACTGAAACCAACAGCCCACAGCTGGTTTTATAATCACCCAGTGTGCGTGTGTGTCTGTGCGTGCGTGCATCCCGTTTGACTTCTTGCAGTGTTTGAGTGAAAACAAAAGAACTTTGGTGTGAATACTCATCTGTGTGCGTGTGCGCCTTAGTGCAACATGCCTGTGTGTTTTGTGTGTGTGTGGGTGTGTGTGTGCGAGCATGAGTCACTTTGAGAGGTTCCTCCAGCTATTATTGAGCTGGGACTCGTGTATTTAATAGGAGATAGAATAATTGTCTCCTCATCAGCTCTCCGGAGATCACAATAGAAACTGTCATGAGAATTAGAATTCTTGACATTTTTCCAAATGTCTGTCTTAGAAAAGCACGACTCAAACACTCTGCACTTGTGCGAGACCCTTCCATAAAGCCCCCCCCTGTGCGTCATAAACAAACGATAGCTACCATCTCTCTGGCAAGGGGGGGTAGCAAGACTCAGAAGAAAGGATGAGTGTGCTAGGCAGGAGGAGAGAAGGAAACAGCTTGACAAGGCGTCTCACCCTCCCTGCGTTCCTGTCTGTGTCTTTCGCTCACGTCTTTCTGTTTTTTTTTAGCTGCTCTGGTGGGAAAAAGGATGGTAATGTTCACAAGTTGACTCATTTGTGCGCTCATTCTGTACGTGTGTATTCACATGGTGATGGGGGGGGGCAAAGTGTGAATGGCAATTTCCTCTTTAGTGTGCAGGTCATCACACACACGCGCACAACACACAATTTAAAAGGTTCAATCCGTATTTCCAAACACAACCAAAGGTCAGCCCCGCTTCCCAAAACAAAACGTGTTTGGAGGTGAGTTTTCCACTCGGCCGAGCAGAAAGTGGGAATCAGATTCCATCGAGAGTCAAACAGCACGTGACGCTGGATCGCTTGTTTTAATTTGTCCTCCAGCAGCCATGCTGTGCTGTGCAGACATTTAAAATGGGACATTTCTGAGACATACCGTCTTAAACCACAGCTTGTCTTGTCTGTTTCCTTTCTGTTTCCATTGAGTTGCATTAAACAACACTGGACTGCTGTTGTTAACTGGGGTGAATCACAGGAAAGCCCCAATAACTGTATTACTCATAATGTCTGTTTCTTCACAAATAAGGTAAGAAATGTGGATATCTGGTGCCACAGGAAAGCAGTGGGCTGTGCAATCACTACTTCCTCAGGTTCAACATCCTCACCACTTCTTTAGGAAATTGCCACACTTTGTTTCCCAAATGCAATTCTGGTAATTCCAGCATTATTATAATACTATTAATCGATGACATTTACATTTATTAAAGTAATAAACCACCTAAACAGCTCAGGGGATGCAGGCAAACCAGATAAACAGCTCCGGCTGACATTTTACCAACAGTTCTGCAGTCAAATATTTCCGCATTTTGAGTTGCGGCGTGTTGAGGAACTCTGCTCAACTTCTCCGTCAGAGAAGTGGTGTTGATTGGCCTTGTGCACCTCATTTCAAAGCGGTTTCACGGTGGCATTGTGGCTCGTGCAGAAAGTCAAGGGAGAGCCGCGTCTGCTCGCGTCCAAAGGCCACGGAAAGTGTTGTTGGTGAGCGAGGCCGTTGATGACAAAACAAAATGTGTTTAGGGCGCAAGCCTCGCACGCTCTTCAGTAGAACATGTAAACATTTACACAGGGGCAGGAGTCGAGCCGTGTCTCCGGACTTTCTCTCTCTGTCTGTCTCCTTCTCTTTGTGGGTCATTTCGTATCTTTGGTTGCACATCTTCTTTCTGCGTGTTGCTCGACCCGAGCGGCTGTTGTCTGTCGCTCTTGCTGATCGGCCCGGTTTCCTGTTGCTGCAGAGGAACTGTGAGCGGGGAGATAAGGCCAGTGACAGCACATGCCTGCACCCGGGAGGCGGGGGTGAGATGTAGAGTAACAGATACACTGTGAAGGGCAAAAGGCTTCCTAATTGGGACATTACCAGAGATCATCACAGTTGTTTTTTTCGCAGCCACGAGTGTCTCCAGGGAAAGGAATGTGTGACGGCAGCGGCTGCAACAAGGAGACCAGATGGGGACGCGGGTCCAGTTTGGGCCGGCTGGTCCCGGCAGCAGGAAGCAGCTGAGTCGGTGAAATATCAGAAGAGCTCCCCTTTGGGAGGCTGAGGAAGAGACAAACAAACCCGCACGAGGGAGGATTAAGGAGCCTCGCTTTAATCCAGGGAAGGAAGGAGGATCTGAGAAGGGGGGGAACTGGAGTTTAAGCATCCAGGGCGCCAGGATCACGGCGCTGGATATGCATGTTTATGCACTTTGCCCTCCTGCAGCATAACACAGGGGGGGGGGGGGGGGCTCAGACTCAGGCATTGCATTGCTGTTAGAGCTCGCTCTGGAATTCAGGACACTTTGCATCCCGTAGGGCAGGTGCTGCGGTTCCCGGCTGCCTGATACGTGAGTGGACGCACTAAAAGGTGGTTGAGGACGACCGCGGGGGAGGGAGAGTCTTCAGGCGGCTCGAAGAAGGAAGCTGAGGGAGTTTTTCTCCACCGGGTGCCGGAGCGGGCGGCCATGAGTCAGAGGAAGCTGACGCGACAGATGAGGTTGTGGGAGAGTCCTGAGGGGCCACCTCCTGCGCCCTCCCTCACCTCACCCGTGTCCCCCGGCGATCAGTGCCGAGGACACTGGGGCTCCTCTTTGTTTCGCCGCTTGAAACTGAACCGCAGCATTCAGGAGCGCAGACGCTCGTCGCACTGTAGCAACACATCGCTCTGCAGGTAAAGTTCTGAATGAAAGCCACTGGTCAGTCCTCGGGAGTATTGATCGGTTCTGCATCAGTTCAGATGCACGGCCCTCTGCAGAAGGCCCTCACGCTTCCCCCACGTTGGTGTGAGACACACCTTGATTTTCTGGTATTTTTGCATCTCTTTGCAGATGTAATGCGTCTCTCTCTGGTTGTTTTGCATATTTCTGCAGACATTCTGCTATTCTTGATAGTGTTTGACAGTTTTTAGGTGAGGGAATTTGAGCCTTCTGACACTCTGGCCCCCCGGGCTGGCGTTCGGTAGCTCTGTTCACTAATCCTTGTTGATGGGAGGTGGGAGCATTATGAAAGTGAGTTATTCCACTCACGCAACTAAACACAATCAGATGGATTAGATTGTGGAGCCTCATAATTATGCTCAAAGTTTGCATAAAATAAAAAAAAAACAGGGATTAGTGCAGCTGGCGGAGGTCCCCCGGGTGGCCCTATCACGCTTCAATTTAGTTTTAAAAGTCAAACTGGAAAACTGATCTGAGCTGAGTTGACAACATACGTTTGAAAAGCTTCTGAGAAATGGAGGAGATTAAAGTTATCGTTCATTAAAAATAAATGCTGCAACTTCACTGCAACCTGCTTCCCCATCTGTCGTTGTCATCGCAACATCTGACTGCCGCCCCAAAATGTTTCTCTGTATGTGGAAGAGAAGCATCTAATGTGATTAATTGGCCGATATCGCAGACACAATGATAGTTGTGGTGCCATAGTGAAAGTAAAAAAGAGATTTTCTCATGTAATACACGATGTGTGGACCAGGGCATCTCTGCAGCCCCTTCTTTCGTTTAAAATATTTTTCTGCTCATATTTTGTCTTTAGCTAATATTGCTGCTCCTGCGTTATGCAAATCGTAAATTGTAGATTGCATTGTGATTTTTAACAAATTGATGAGCTGTAATTTGTATTGGTTTTAGTTTAATAGTTCAAATATGTTAACAATTCAAGAAGTACTGTTGACTGTGAGCTCAAAGTTGTCCATCATTTCTTCCTCATATGAACGCCCCTTTGCCTCAATACCAACTTTATTTCTGTAAGATCGAATCTTCTTTTATGGGAAGGTTCGTTGAGGGGTTTGGTAGACTAGTGTAAACTGTTTGGCCTTTGACCTTCGAATGCGTCCGAGCTGATGACTTTTGGCTTTGCGTTTGATCAGCGATCTGCTGGGAGAACATTTGTGGGTTGGATGATGTCAGTATGAACACTCGGGAGTGGTCTCTATTCCAACCATGTCCTAAAAATAGAATTAGATACCACCATTAAACATGATACTTGCATTAAATGCAATTTTTAGTATTGTAAGAAATGCAATGTTTAATTATTTGGGTAAGTAACATAAAATAGCATTTGTGTATTTTGTCCATCACATCTCTCTTTTCACCAAACTGCTCCGTAAGAGACTCCAGACTTTTTATTATTTAATTTGTCGTCGCCCCAAAACCGCAGCAGCAGCGAGACAGACGGCAGATTAACAGAAAGACTCAATTCTTCCCTGTCCTCTGCAACCCTCCAGCTTCGATTCAGAGAATGGCCCCTCGCCAGGACGCAGTCCCATGGATTCGCAGGCGAGTCCCGGGTTGGTGGTCCACCCTTCTTTCCCCCAGAGCCAGCGCAGGGAGTCCTTCCTGTACCGCTCGGACTCGGACTTCGACACGTCCCCCAAAACCATGTCCCGCAACTCCTCCATCAACAGTGAGGGGTAAGCACCAAGCCATCATCATCACCATCATCATCATCCTCATCATCACCACACTGATTCAATCACGTGGCAGACAAATCGAAACATGGTTCTCCCCACACACACACACACACACACACACATTGTTCCAATCAACACAGTCGAGTAATTATGCGAGCATTATGCAAATGAAATGATGATGAATCTTCTTAACGTCGACGGTCTCTCGGCTTGTCTTGCCGTTAGAATCTCCCATCAGTGTATTTCAGGGCTTTTTCTCTGTTTAGAACCACACAGGTCTTTGTAAACATCCAGCTCACAGATGCAGCTGCTCTGATAAACACTAAAACCGAGCCGCACAAGTTGCTCACATCTATCTCATTCGACCCTTTTTGTCCCCCCCTTCCCCCTCCACCATCACCCATACTCCCTCCCCCTTCCCCTCCCTGCAGGCACGCCGAAGACATGATCGTCACCCCCTTCGCTCAGGTACGCTTTCGTTGAGCACCGTGTCTGACATGTTTCATTGCTGTATATGATGGGAAAAGGATGGTTAATTAGTGCAGTGAACTTGTCCACCCCCCCCTTCCTGTTCCCTCCCTCCTTTCTCTCCCTCCTACGCTGTCCATCCATCCCTCGGTGTTGCCAGCCTACGAACTGTAAGAAGCAACTTCACCATCCTCGCCATGTCACAACACCCACTAACAAGTCAGTATCATCCTGTCATCACACCTTCTTCCCCACCCCCCACCCTGTCCCCCCCCCCTCCGATACCCTCCTCACGACTGCCTGCTTATTCTGCAGCGCGTGTGTGCTAATGTCTACTTCTCAGTGTGCCCGTAGAGAGGCGATATAGCTGTCATGACTTACCAGTTCACGATCATCAGGCCGCGCTAACGGAGAGATACAATGTGCATCCTTTGGCCTCCCTCCAACATGCCGGCGGAGAGTAGTGAGTGCAAAGAGCACCTCGGATTGCGCGTCCCTGAGCGTGTAGCCAGACGACAGAGAGACGGTCAATAACAGTACAATCATTCTGCTCCACGGAAACATGATGTTATATATATATATATATATATATATATATATATATATATATATATATATATATATATATATATATATACATATATTTGTTTATTTATATTAAGCGGATAACACAGAATCACCACCATATATAATAATGATTATGCCTCCCTCAATGCTCAATTATGAGATCTACATGAAAGGAGAGCAGAGCTTTGTCTCTCACTCTTTTTGAATAGTTAATTGTTTCAACCATCACTTTTGTGTATCTGTAAACCCTTAAATATGCAAAGGCAATTCATTCTAGAGACTGGATCCTCCACCGGTCCCTTTTTAGGGGTATGTAACCGAACACACACGTGCACGCACTGTGCGAGCCGAGCCCTTTGTTGCCGTCTCCTATAATGCGGAGTGTGTGTTTGACGGCCAGCAGGGGGCAGCAGCGCGTGGTTCTCCCCTCTGATGTAATGCGGTGCTTTTCCACAGGAGGTCACCAGTGACAAGCCAACCCACCGTTCCCCAAGCTACACTCTCTGGTATGTTGTCAGCTAATTAAAACTCTTTGTCCAAAGAGTCCCACAGTCCCCTCACACGGCACGCTGAAGGCTCCCACGCTCCCTGAATGCATCACCAGTAATGAAAATGACTGCACAGAACATCACGAGGCTGTTTTAGAGGATTTAATTAACTGCGCTCTATACATTATGATAGAATCAACATGTACTGCTGAAGTTACCAAAGATTTTTGTGTTAAGGAATAATAAAGCTGATGCAAAGAGGAAGAGGAGACGTTAGAGGGACTGAGACAAAAGGCTGTGCGGTTTTAATTGGGAAGACAAAATGTAACCAGCACAACTAATTTACTCAAACCATCAGACTAATATTTAACACACAATCAAAGAGCTCACAGTTCCTCTACAATCTGCATAACGCAGTAATGTATTTACTATTGTTATAGATTCCTGCTCATTTCAAATATCATGATTTACAAAGAAATATACATCTCGAGGCCTATCTTTTGGAAATTAAAAGCATCTCAATTTAATATATTTTTCATTTAATCTTGTAGCTGTCATATATTTGGGATTTGAATTATACATTTGATGTAATTGAGCTTATCATAACTCATAACACAAATAACTGATTGTGTATTTTGAACTGTCAATCATTTTAAAGTGCTATTTATATTTTCAAAGCTGAGGTATATTTTTTTGTTGTTGTACAGTTCTGATCTTAATTTAAAATATTAAACATTATACTAATGTTAACCAATGTAACCACATCAAATAACCCAACTAACGTTCACACATCACTGTGTGTGTGTGTGTCCTCCACAGAGGAGACGTACCAGCAGATGGCTCTGGAGACTCTGGAGGAACTGGACTGGTGTCTGGACCAGCTGGAGACCATTCAGACCCACCGCTCAGTCAGCGAGATGGCCTCCAACAAGGTGCACACCTGTCCACACTCACACCTGGGGGGGCCTTCTCCGGGGCCGAGCCTGTTGATGAATGGTTGGGTTCCATCCGTTTGGCCGTACAAAAGGCATTATGGGTAGAACTTCCTGTTTAAGATCCGCCAAGGTCGCTGATTAAATACATTCAAAAACAAGTTTGTAAAACGTACCCATTAAAATACTTTTATGGACACATCATTTGGTCATAAAAACCCTCATCTCCAACTCCTGCCACGATAAAACATTCACACGCTGTGATTCGATGTGAGAAATAGTTCATTAGAAGTATCAATTTGTTTCCTGGGCTCATTTGGAATTCTATGGTATCAGATGTCTTGATAAAAAACTATTTTGTGATCAATTGACTAAATGCACCGATTGCTCCGAGTTAAGCAGCAACGTGTCAAACTGCAAGAGACGCAGCCCGCGTTCAGTGAGGGCCTCCACATGTGAACACGGCTACTCACGTGTGCATGTGTTTGTATTTGTTGGGGCACAAGGACGCAGAGGGAAGGTGATGGTATTTGGGTATGGAGGACATGGGGGGGGGGGGGGGGAGCTGATGCTTATGTCTCCCTGTCTGCTGTAACCTTGGTTGCTATCGAACTGCAGCAGGGTCTGCCCTCCGCCTTCAGCCATTGGCTTTCCACTCTGACCACGAGCCATGTGGTCCGCGCAGCAACCAATGAAATATGGAGGGATGCTCCTTTAAGAGTGATTTGTCTTAAAGGGACAGCGCCGAGTGCCTTGTTTGTTTTTATTCTGGGATTCTTTCCCGTGCACATCGCCCTCATTGAATGAAGGTTCTTTCTGTGTTTGGATCCAGTGACCGAGGGAGAGATAACAGGAGTGTGTTTAAAGGACATTCATTCTGTGTGTGTGTGTGTGTGTTGAGCAGAGAGATGTCTCCTGGGCTTTGACACAGTCTCTGCGAATATGTGGCTGCCTTTTTTTCGCGGCTAATCCTCCGCACTGTGCCACCACGGAGGTACACGTGAACATTCCCACTCAGTCTCTCGCCCTCACTCACACCCTTGCACACGCGCATATTTTCGACAGACGTACACGCTGTCTCGCGGCACATGCGCACTCCTTGAGGATGAGAGCGGGAGCAAGCGCAGACACACACACGCACGCACGCACACGCGCGTACACGCATGCATGCGCCTGCAGCCACACTGCCTGATTAGCTTGCAAGAGCTGTCTACAGCATCCAGGGAAATGGCGCAAGCGGCGGAGCATTGGAGGAGGAACGGCAGCCCAACGCGGCGGGATTAGACCTCTGGCGTCGTGGCCGGCTGAGGCATGGAGGGACTCGGAGCACGGGACTGAGGCTACGGAGCGATCGGGAGGCAGCCTTGACTGACTGGGATCTGTGTGTGTGTGTGTGTGAGGCGGCCGATGCACCGGTAGGACTGGGTCGGGCCTCTGGATCCGTACCGTGGGGGAGGGGCAGCCGACGCGGGGAGAGGGAGCCTGTTTTTCCGGACCAGAGCTCTGGTGTGATTCTTCAGCCTGACCGTCTGCAACAGGCCTGCCTGCATCTCTCTCCGTCTATTTCTCTCTGTCTGTCTCTCTCTGTCGCTTCTCTCATCCTCCCCGTCCTTGTTTTTCTCCTGCAATTGTCATCTGCTTCTCCCTCCCACGATGTTCCCGCTGCCTCTACCTCCATCACTTGGAACTACGCTCCTCTTTCTGCCCCGGCGTCACCATCACTCCATCCCTCTCACTTCCATCATCTAAATATTTTATTACCGTTTGCCAAGCAGCTCGGCTCTTCGCTACATTATCTTTTTTGTTCACATCGCTCTCACATTCCCACTCATTTTCCTCCATCGGCTCCTTTCTGTGCCCTTCAGACGGTCCCCCCCGCTCCCTCTCCTTTTTCCGTTTCCCTCCATCTTTCCTCTTTCGGGCCCCCATCCACCTCTACCCTGCAGTGACTGTTGATTCGGGTCAGTCTTCTCAATGGGATGAGATGTAGTCTCCACAGCAGCCGGATCCAGGGGGGGCTCCTGGTCTGCCCATCAGGGGGACCCTCATCTTCGGACCGCACTGAGGCTGGAGCCTGACTCTGGACTGACTGGGTGGCCCGCTTTGGGGTGCTGCATGTAGGCGCCGAAAGTCTGCACCAGCGTCCCCCCCCCCCCCTTTCCCCTTCCCTTCCCTCGCCCTCACCCCCTTCCCCTGTTCCTTCGCCCCCTCTCGAAGCAGCCGCCACTCTGGAGTGTCCCGGCTTGACCGGCTGCGGCCTCTCCTCACACGCCCTGACGACGCCCTCATGCCACTGGGGCCCCCACAGCGGCCCCGCTCCGCTCCACTACCGCACCTCCTGCCTGTGCCACCGGCCCAAGCCCCCCTGCACGCTCAACATGGGCGTGGTGGAGGCCATTGACCCGGCGCCATCCCCCTGCCCCTCGCCTGTACCGGGGGGCTACAGGCTGCCCCGCTCCTCCAGCTACAGCCCCCTGCAGGGGAGGGCTGGGGCAGAGCTGGACCTCGGGGGGGCTGCTGCGGGGGTCCTGGAGGGAAGCGGGACGGCAGCGGAGCGCAGGACGCCCTTAGTGGACCTGTTCTGTGAGACCTGCTCCAGGCCCTGGCTCATCGGCTGGTGGGACCAGGTAGGGCTCGGAGAGCTTGCGGAGGGCAGGCGAGGCCCGGCGGCGGCCATCTTGGATGTGGATTCTTCAAGTGTTACATCTAAGCATGCATTAACAATTCATCTGTTTTGTTTACTCCATCTTCTCATGTGTCTGTGAATGGTATGTGTTCATAAGGGATAAATGACGTTTTCATCGTACTCTGAATTTGTGTTGTGGGGGAAGGTTTTGTGGGTCTGGTGTTGGCTTTGTGAGGACCTGTAAGGTATGTGTTCCTGTACATAATGTAAACATGAATCCACTGAAAGCGGAACAGAGATACCAGCACAGAGTTTATTAACTCTGCTCAGATCCCCCGCCTTGCAGCGGCGATGTAAACAAAAAGGCAATATCACTCGTATTCTTCATCCTTCTGTATCTAATCTACATTTCTGTCCTCTGAGAATACAGCTAGCTGCTCCAAATTTAAGAAATAGCTTTGAGACTCTGTGCTAAGTAGTCCGGCCGTCTTTGCTGCAGGTACATTGCAGTATCACACAATGTCCATTTCAATCCTCCACACCTGCGTCCCACATCCCTCCGTGTGTCTCCCTCCTGTTAGCCTGAGGCTAATACAGACTGAAGCAAGCCAAGCGTGTTGTCAACGAAGGGCTTATTGTCTCAAGACTGAGTTTATTTTGTCCTCAGGTGTGCCAACACTTGCATTGGATGGAACATCTTGGCTAACTATGTTACCAAAACAAACTCTAGCCTTTGACTATCCTCTTTTTCTTGAATCAAATTGGGCACGTTGGGAGAAAGGACATTGTTCTCTGCTAACGTATTAAGATTCTGATTCAGTCAGTCCTACAGGTTGTGGTTCAAACAAGGGTCATGTTTAGCTAGTGTGTAAAAGAAAGCCCTCCTGGGTTCCTCACATATGCAGGTGTACGAGTGTGTGTGTGTGTGTGTGTGTGTTTGTGGTCATGTCTGTGCAGCGTGCCCATGTTCGCTCCATTAGTCAGTGTCATGAGGAAGAGTGTTGTTTGTCCTGGCACTCGGAGTGGCACCGTGGAAGTGTTGGTTGTCAGCTATGACTCAGCGTTACAGCATTAGTGAAGGAACGAGCGAGATGCGAGTGCGTGAGAGGAGGAGGAGGAGGAGGAGGAGGAGGTTTGGGCTGCGCCCGCTGCCTATGTGTGCCATGGGGCTCGACTTGCTTTCCTGGCTCGGGGTGACTGATTCTGCCTGACTGCCTCTACGATTTGCTGTCAGAGTACCTATTTGCTCTGCGTATCATGTGGCGAGGTTCCGGGCCGGATGGGATCTGTGGAATAAGACAGAGAACTGGGAAGAAAAGAGTGAAAGGTGGAATGCATGCAGAGTTTTAAATGCCATAGCCAAGTGCAGCCTGTGTCAGAGGAGACTGTTGTTTACCTCGTGACGGGGGGGGGGGGGTTCGGTGACAACAGTGGAGGGGAGGGCTCTGACCTTGGTAAAGGTTGGAGACACCTGCCTACTCCCTGTCACCAAGCCGCCACCGCTCTCGCATCAAGCTGAAGGACTGACTGTGAGGAGGCAGTTGCCACAGCAACCGCTCCGGTTGCCATGGAGATTGTTATGTGTGAAAGATCAGTCGGTAGGACACAGACTGAAGGGGTTACGTGCGATTCCTATTGTGCCTTGACGTGACTTGTGCAACAGGTGCCTCCAAATAACAATAAATAATTGAATTATTATAAGCTGAGAGAACATTCAGTGTTTAACGTCTGCGGGGAATAATGTATTCACGTAATCACATTTGTGCCCGCTGTGTCACAGACCTGCAGACCAGTGGTTCAGGATTGTCACTGTCAATGTTTGGAGAAGAACAAACATGCCACATTACTGCAGCATTTAAATGCATGTTAATTAAAATGCAGGCACACTGAATTGAGTGATGAACAGTATGTTCTCAAAAAGCAGACGGGTGATTCATCGTTGGTTTCTCCTCACCATTTAGTGAACGAAGCCAGACTGAAAGCGATCATTTCTTTGCTCATGTTAGACTCATAATGTTTTGTTGGTTAGTATAAAAACAAATGGAGCCCGAAGTACAATATTAATAACTCTGAGGGTTTCACCAAATCTGCACCTGTAATGTAATTCGTGCCGTCACTCACTTCCTGTCTGTCTCTGCTTCCCTCAGTTCAAGAGGATGCTGAACAGGGAGCTGTCCCATTTGTCAGAGATGAGTCGCTCAGGGAACCAGGTGTCAGAATACATCTCCACTACCTTTCTAGGTAAAACACACCCGCCAACCTCAATAGAGACCCTTCCAGCTCCTATCCCAGGCTGCGTGTCCATCCTGGCTGACCTCTGATTCCCCTCCACACCCTCCCAGATAAGCAGAACGAAGTGGAGATCCCGTCCCCGACTTCGAGGGAGAGGGAGAAGCCCATGTGTCACATCAGTGGTGTGAAGAAACTCACGCACAGTTCCAGCCTTTCGAACTCCATCACGCCACGATTCGGTGTGAAGACTGAGCATGAAGATCAGTTAGCCAGGGTAAACACATCACTCTCGTTGTGTTCATGATGCGTGTTCTTACGCTGCCTTGCTACCGACTTTTTAACCTCCAAGAAACACAAATGCAAACATGTTGTGCACTAGAGAAGAATGCAAAGAACTCACGGTGCAATGAACCTCTATGAGTGTAGGTAGATTTGGTGTGATCATGTGTGTCTGTTGTGCCTTCAGGAGCTGAACGACTTGAACATCTGGGGCCTTAATATCTTTCGTGTTGCAGAGTACTCCAATAACCGTCCCCTCAGCTGCACAATGTTCGCCATCTTTCAGGTGAGGGACAGGGAACTTTAGCGAGCAACCGACTGTGTGGTAAACCATGTAGCAAGGACTTAGCTGTGACCATGACCCCTGTGGCTGCAGGAGAGAGATCTGCTGAAGACCTTTAGGATCCCTGTGGATACGTTTGTCACCTATGTGATGACCCTGGAGGACCACTACCATGCCAATGTGGCCTACCACAACAGCCTCCACGCCGCAGATGTCACTCAGTCTACTCATGTACTGCTATCCACGCCAGCGCTAGATGTAAATACCTACACTGCTCCACCAATACACATCTAACTTCACATCCTCAGGCTTTTAGAAGTACCAGGACCTCGACAACGATTACAGTAGTCAAAGGTCAATGGTAAATAACAGGTTTAGGGATGACTTTTCTCGTGTCTTTCTCTCTAAAAGGCTGTGTTCACGGATCTAGAGATACTAGCTGCGTTATTTGCCGCTGCTATCCACGACGTCGACCATCCAGGAGTGTCCAACCAATTTCTCATAAACACAAGTGAGTCGAAATCAGATCAAAGGGACGAAGCGAATACATGTGAATTCTTAAAAATAGAAAATTGAAGAGGAAAAAAGAAAGAACATCTCAATGGCCAGGAGAAACTAAAACCACCTTTTTTTACTGGTATGTGACACAGGACTAGAAAGTCTGATCGAATCTACGAAGGAACCAATTTCATGAGGATAACGACTATTATTATTCCCTGGTTTTAGAAAGAACATGAAGCTAAGATCACTTTATGAGATAAAGACTATGCATTGGGAGTTATAAAAAATAAAAGTATACCGTGCTACTTGCTTAAACCAAATGAGTAGTTTTGAACACCTTGAAACGCTCTGATTGTAACACTGATTGCCTTGGGCATCCCTCAGACTCCGAGCTAGCCCTGATGTACAACGACGAGTCAGTGTTGGAGAACCATCACCTCGCTGTGGGCTTCAAGCTGCTCCACGAGGAAAACTGTGACATCTTCCAGAACCTGAGCAAGAGGCAGAGGCAGAGCCTGAGGAAGCTGGTTATCGATATGGTGAGACGTTTCCAGCACACTGCGTCATGCTTCTACCTCTCCATCTCGGTTTTCTTCTCTCTAACCTCTCGCCTCCATTACCAGGTTTTGGCAACAGACATGTCCAAACACATGAGTTTGCTGGCGGACCTCAAAACAATGGTGGAGACCAAGAAAGTGACTAGTTCTGGAGTGCTGCTGCTGGACCATTACACTGATCGGATACAGGTAAGAAGTAGTTACAACGACATGGAGAAGATAATGAAATGTATAAGTAGACTCCTCTGTTTAAGGGGGGGGGTTACAAGAAATCAAGACCACAATAATCAACATCTGTAGGATCTGGTTATCAAGGATTATGCTTGAGGATTTGATGGTAGACGTAGGTGAGAAGAGCTGTTAAGTGTTACCTAAGTCGATGTCAGCCTGGCATGTTTATGTCAAATCTAATAGAAGACATAACAAGAGGGAGTAAAGTAGAAACGAAAAAGGTCATCACAGAGCTGGTTGTGCACTCAGCTGCTGAAAGATTAATCATCGGACAACCTCCCTGGTTCAGCGCTCATAACGCGGCGTGCACATGACATAGACACCTGTGCCTGTCCGTGCAGGTGTTGCGGAACATGGTGCACTGCGCTGACCTCAGCAATCCCACGAAACCTCTGGCCGTGTATCGGCAATGGACGGAGAGAATCATGGAGGAGTTCTTCCGGCAGGGGGACAAGGAGAGGGAGCGAGGGATGGAGATCAGTCCCATGTGCGACAAACACACTGCGTCTGTGGAAAAGAGCCAGGTAAAATAAACCCCGTGGATGTACGGATATGTGTTTGTGCTGTGAGGATCTGTCACAGCAGTCGTCCTCGTACATATTTAATACTGATTTGCAGGGACAGAAAGGACGGCGCTGAGATCCATATGATGTCCCTCACGCTGTTTTTCTTCTGGATGCAGGTGGGCTTTATTGACTACATAGTCCACCCGCTGTGGGAGACGTGGGGGGACCTTGTGCACCCCGATGCCCAGGATATATTGGACACTCTGGAGGACAACAGGGACTGGTACCAGAGCACTATTCCACAAAGCCCCTCCCCTCCTCCCGTGTGCCAGGACAAGGATCTGAACGCCTGCATTGACAAGTTTCAGTTTGAGCTCACCCTCGAAGACAGCTCGCCGAGAGAAGAGGGCGACGAGGGGGAGCACACGGCAAACCACGTGGAACAGGACTGCAATCAGGGGGACGAGGAGGAGGAGGATGAGGAGGAGGGTAAAAAAGAGGAAGACGTTATGGCAGAGGAGGTGAATGAGGACGTAATAGAAGAGGAAGACGAGGTGGCTATGGAGGAAGAGGAGGTGGAGGAGGAGCTGAAAGGTCAGTTAGAGGTGAGATATGAAAAGGAGAGACTTTCCGACACAAGCCCTGTAGAGGAAGAGGAAGATTCTTCTTCACAAGCTGAAGATACATGAGTTCGGCTCCTGTGTCTCCCTCCTCACTTGCACACATTATCTTGTTCATCCTTTCCATGGCCAAACCAAGAACAAATAAGACTGCAATGACAATACAGACCTTTAAATATATTTTTCAAAAAGGGAATAAATTAAAGAGAAGGTGATTACACAGCAACTGTAGATTTGAAGTGGTGACGAGTCCTCCGGCTAACTTCGAAACAGACTTTAGACAGAGAGGAATTTAGGAAGCATTAGCGACGGGGCAACCGAAGACAGCGTAGCACTCTGGGACTGGAATGCACACACACAAACACACAAAAGTAACAAGACTCCAATTCGCCGTGGGAGCGAGTCATGAATACACAAATTCAACGGGCGTAGGTGCATGCATCATTCATGGAGCGCAAACACACCCCCTCCTTTCTAGCAAACACACACACACACACAGAGTATGTTTGCATGTGTGCATTTAGGGGACATTGATCAGTGATGAATCTGTTTGGAAAAAGCCATCTCTTAATGGAGTATTTACTAGTGTTCAGTCAGTATTACTAATTTGTGTTCGTTAGAACTTCGATAGAAACTGTTGTCCTCAAAAAAGCTACACATCCGGGTGACTTTTTTTTTTTCCATTTCTGTCGGAAAGAAAAATACAAAAAAATAAATATCCACAGAGTTGGAGGAGGAGAGAAGGAGATACCGAAGGCAAAGAATATTCTGGCGGGAGGGGGGCCGCCGGGTCCCGTTCCTCCTTTTCCCTTTACGAGGAGAGTGCTACTGGTGCGAGATGGCTCTGTGCCTTTCTGAAACACCAGCTTCCTGGACGGAGCTGTCGTGAAGCAATGCATTGTGGGACAGGAGTTTCTGATTTTGATATTCTTTTTGTTTTTGGTTTGTCTCTTGTTAACGATCTCTCTTTGCTGTTCACGGTATTGTGGTGTGTTTCTCACTTGTTTTTGTGGTCATATGTTTAAAGCTAAAAGTCTTCCTTTGTTGCTCTTCTGGTAATATAATAACTCAGAACTCTAGATGCAGAGCAATCACTACCACTTCTGTTTTATTTTCTTATTCCAATAATTTCTTTTTTTAACTTTCTGAGAATAAGCCATGTGATGCTTTGAAGCATAAGTTTTGCCTATTTTCTATTTAACAGTTGCTTAATATGTTAAAGGGATACATAATTACTTCATGAGCAGAACAAATTTCCACTTGCCATCTCATTCCCACTTGCACTGGGTGGTCACGTCTCCTCACACACAAAGATTCTCACCAAAGTAAAGGATTAGAAAGTCCAATGGGTGAACTGATTTGAAGGAACAGCGATGAAGAGGATCATCAGGGAGGCAGAATGTCTGGAGAAAGAAATCAGTGGTCCCCAATCATTATCGTTATATTTGACGCTTTTTTGCCTTAATGTTGGATGCAGGACACACACCTGCAAGTATGTAGATTTATAAGACATATAATAGACATCCTTGTATATTTATATCCCGTCCGTATGCCTCTTTCTTTGTGTATCAGTGTGTCTACAACGTATCCAGCATTGCATTTGGATGGGAAAGGGAAACACTGCAGCCGGTTAGTCGCCATGTTGTCGCTGTGCTCGGACCAACGTTAAGAATGTGTTGTTGTTGTTTTTTAAATCAGGACGGTAAAAGTCTTTAGCAACCTGGAGGCGTGCAGGGGAAATACGAAATGAGAACGAATAAGAGTGTTTCAATCTGACCAGATGTTGATTTGTTGACACGGCGTGCTTGTTTGCGTGACTTATTAGGGGGTCACGAGTGAGAAGTGGAGGACGGGACGCTGAAGACGCTTTCATATCCGCGTGTCATCGCTCCCTCGCTGGCATCGCCACATTGCTGTGGAGTGGCGTTCGGGATTCGATCAGCACAGCTCAGACAGGTCACACGTTGTTTAGGAGTTTGTCTTTCACAGGGTAAACAAAACAAAATAACATGAATGTGGTTCTTTTGGAGGGTAAGTTTCTGCAGGTCAGTAACTGAGTTTATCTGAAATGACCACAGCTCGGTGCAACGGGAGCCTGTGTGTTTGATCTGCTCCGTCGTAAAGGTGGAGCAGAGCAGCCGGGCCACCACACAGGCTTTCATCTTGTAGAATGGGAATCCAGGACTACTTCTTCAGTTACTTAAATACAAGATTCCCATATGCATCGGCCTTTTACTTTAAAGATGTTGCTTTGTTTTTGTGGCTTCTTGTTATGTCATAAGCTATAAAAACATTAATATTTACTTGCCATACAAACACGATACTGTAGCAATTGTTTCTTATTAAGAAAATTATTCAATTGATTGATTGCTGCCATTCTTTTTAAATGATGAAATGAAAACCATGGGAAGTGTTTTCTTTGAACAGTTTGTGTACAGTTTATTTTTATATCATTCTGGTGGATGGTCTGGAAAATGAATCATGTATTGATGATATATAGCTATAAGCATTACCACTTGTATATAATGTAATATTGGAATGTAAAATATAAATTTATCCAAGTCATAATGATTGACGAGCAACCAATTAAGGTTGTTAAGTGAGTCACTAAAATACTGCAGGCCACATCCTCACCATTCCATTCTCTGGTTATGTTCTCCCTCCCTTGTGTTGACATTTCCTAATCCTCCACATGTATTGTTAAAATCAAATATATTTGTACCAGCACTTTATTTCGTCAGGTTTTGAGGCAAACCGTGTGTTTCAGGTAGTGTACAGTCTGTGCTGGTGGTTTGGTCATTGGCAGTCACCTGTTGATTATATCCCATTGGGCCAAATCACAAACCATCATTGTGCAGTAGTCAATGTAACACCCTTTTCTAGAGACATAATCAAACAAACTAGTCACTCTCTATTAAAGGTCCATGTGTGATTGAACCAATTTGACTGATAAAGTCAAATGTAAGCAGATGTAGTCTCATGGGATGTGACAGAATTATCAAACTTGGCCATTTCGAGTACTATCAACACCTCTATTTATTAGTAACTTTAATCATTAGCCTGATAGCTTACATATCTGCCCAGCGGTGGCCTAACTAGCTGGTTCCCATCTGGGCTGCTGTCAGGTCACTTTGTCGCAGACTGACTCCCTCTGTGAATAATTCTCTGGGCTTTAATTCATGTGTTTATTCACAAGTAGGAAAGATTATTCACGGGGAAAAAAACAACATGAAATGATTGTAATATTTGTAGATGATCTTGCTGTAATGTGTAAAATGTGTCCAAGTTATTTTTTATTATATTATTTTTATGAAAGTTTTTCCTCTCAACAGAGCTGAGGTGTCATTTTGTGAATAAATGCATTTAATAAGCAAACATCTATATATAAAACAATACTATATAGTATATCAGTATATTTTTCTTTTATTTCACTGTTCGGTACTGTAAAGTGTGTTAAAAATACAAATAAAGTAAGTTTTTTATATTAAATACGATACTATTGTCATGTTTTCTGTTTTTACAGTTTACTTGCATACTAATCCACTTTTTACTGGTTTATTTATCCGTGCGTTACTTCACTGATGTAATCGTATTTCTAACTATAACAAGTCCAGCGATATTGCATTATTAAATGAATTTAACGCATCGTTGAAATACATCTTTTTTACAGTAACATCCTAATTAGGCAGTACCCTGACCTGTCTCTGGCGTGACGTGGCTGCATCCGCGGCTCTCCACCAATCACAAGAGCGCATCCAAGTGTCGTCCAATCAGAGCGAAACAAGCCAGAATGGCGATATACGCATGCGCGTTAACAGCACCGAACCAGGCAGCGTATTGACCGGTAATGATTAGCAATTAGCTCGTTTGTTTTTTAAAATGTATTTTTCTTTACTCACTTTATTATTCTTTTACTCTAAATATGCTGTGATGGTATGGTAACGACACACGCGCTCTTGATATATTTGTATTTTCGTGTTTCGTTATTGGTTGTTCTCAGCCGAATTCGCTTGTTAGCATGTATTGTTAGCTCTCAGCTAACTAAGTAGGAGTCGTTGTATTCTGACGCAAAGAGTCGAAATAGGCTTACGTGTCACCTATTTTCTGTTAGATATCGGTACCGTCTATTGCGCCACATGTTGTGACTGAGTGTTTTTAGTGTTAATCTGCCCTTCGTCTGATTGTGGTTCTTCCGGTGCAGAGTCCTGCAGAAAACAGACCCGTTGTGGAGCCGCACCATCACGATGACCTGTCAGCACCTCCTCCTGTTCCTCCTGCTGGCTGTGGGAGTCTCCGCGGTGGAGGTCCAACGTCCTCGCGGGGTCCCTTTGTCAAGTAAGGTTTTTTTATTTATTTATTTATTTTACTTTTGCTTCAATACATTCTCTGTAGTTTCGGAGCTGTTTTGGCCCTGACGCGTTTCTTCTGTTCGACGTCTTCAGAACGACAGTTCTATGAAGAGGGCAAACCTTTCACCTGCCTGGATGGCTCGCGGACGATTCCCTTTGACAGAGTGAATGACGACTACTGCGACTGCCAGGACGGCTCCGATGAGCCAGGTGAGCTAACCTGCATGTTGAAGTCTCCCTTTACTAGTTCATACAGGTATTGCTCTGCAGTGAATTTTTTTTTAAAGCAGCCGGTAATATATCTAAATCTTAACTGCACGTTTATTTTCAGGCACCGCGGCTTGTCCCAACGGCAGCTTCCACTGCACCAATGCAGGTTTCAAACCAGGCTTCATCCCTTCCTCCCGCATCAATGATGGAATCTGTGGTATGAGGTTTAAACTGGGATGACTATCGTGTGTCAGGTGTGTTTTTTTGGGCAGGATTTCTGGTAACATGTGTGTTTCTGGTTCAGACTGCTGTGACACAACAGATGAGTACAACAGTGGGGCTACCTGTCAGAACACCTGCAGGTGGGAAGGTTTTTGGGTTATACATCCAATAATTTATGCATGCTCCACAGTAAGACCCTATTTAGCCTTAAGTATCCATAAAACGTTGCGTATTTTCACTCTGTCTTAATTTGTTTTTATTCTGTATGATTTTCAGGGAATTGGGGCGCAAAGAAAGGGAGAGCATGCAGAAGATGGCAGAGGTTGCCAAGGAGGGCTTTCTGCTTAAACAACAACTTATCCAGGAGTCCAAGAGGGGCCTCGAGGAAAAGAAGGTGTGAATTATACAACTGGTCTGTTTTAAAGTCAACATCAGCGCGTTGGGAATATGAATTATTGCGTTGTCCAATACGTTTTTATTCCAAGATACTGACCCAATGTTGTGTTGATCCTAAATTGGCTAACAGTGTTATTTTTCTTTGTTTCAATAGGCCAAACATGCAGATATTGATCTGGGAAAGAAGGAGTTGGAAAATAAGGTTGAGGCTCTGAGAACTGTGAAGGAGGCCGCTGAGGAGCCAGAGAAAGAAGCCAAGGAGCGCCACCTGAAGGCCTGGGAAGGTAATTCAGGATATGATTGCACATCTCCATCTACTGTTTGTATAGAGCATCACTTTTAAGAAAAGACTGAGAGACAATGTTTGAGCTGCATTAGAATCTCTGATAGCAAAATGAAATTTATGTTTCAGAGCAAAAGGCTGTTATTCAAATGGAGAAGGACAAGGCTAAAATGGCTGAAGTGTTTCTTGAACTAGATGATGATGCCGATGGCTTGTGAGTATCCGCACTCCCAAAACGATTAGCCCCAATGACAGTTCCTTATTTTTAAATCCTAGTGATACAAAAACAAATGACTGTTTTCATGCCTTTTTAATATGTGAATGTTTGTTTCAGCGTCTCCGTGGCTGAGCTTCTCTCCCACTCTGAGCTCGACTCCGATTTAGGTGATTCATTCACAGAAGCAGAGGCTCAGGTAAATATGTCCTTTTTAAACTGTTTTTTAGAAACCCAGGTGTCAAAGTTTACTTATCAGGGTTGTTCTACATGCTGTATTTTGAATGTTAAGGAAGTTTTTAATATCTGCCATAAAGAACAAAACTCTTAATTTGAAAAAAATAATGTGTCCAATTGAACTGTCTTCGAGTAAAACTTGTCAGTTCTGTAAGATGAATGCATGTGGCTGAGGCCCGAATGCCGTAATGATCACTGTATGTTTTATAGGCCGGGAGGAGAAGAGAAGCTCTGCTTCTGTAAATTACAGATTAATTAGTCAGAATGCCATTTTGTCACCCGCCTGCCTATACATGCAGGTGTTTTCGTGTAAGCTCTTCCCAACCTGCCCGGCACGTTACTACTAGGCAGACAATCACACAATGCTAAGAAGATTGTGGAGCCTCATCTTACTGTACAGATGTACCAGGCTGTAACCCAGTGAATATGTCAGCATTCTAATGATGATCTTTAACCAACGTGCACTCTGTCTTTGGTTTGAGAAGGCACTGTTGGGAGGAGCGGACCAAGTGGATCATGCAGCGTTTGAGTCCGTTTGGAGTAACATCAAAGGAAAATACGTCTCTGAGGTAAGAACCTGATGTGGATTTTTCTAGTCGGCTCCACGCCAGAAACAATCCGCTCCTCTAAACGTGGCACTTTCTCAGCATCAGGCCAACGCAGACCCGCCGGCGCCTGTGGAGACTCCGCTGGAGGAGATCAGGGAGACTGACTCCGACCATGAGTCCGAGCAGTACCCCGAGGAGGACATCCCGGACGAGGAGGAGGAAGAGGACGATGAGGAGGAAGAAGAAGATGATGACACGGATGACAGAGAGGTAAAGCCACCGAGTTCCTCCGTCAAACTTGCGCTGGATGACTCACGAGTTGTTTTAGTGAGTCACCGTTGTCTGTTCAGGTCCCTCCGACGGCGCAGAGCCAAGAAAAGAAGGATGGCGATGATGAGGGGACGATGCCGCCCTACGACCCAGACACGCAGAGCCTCATTGATGGTGAGTGCATGTATGGAAGTGAGCGACAGTCAGTCCTCAGCTTTGAGTGAAGTGCTAAATGGGAAAAAAAGCAAATTAAACCTTATTAGTTTAAATGCTAATTCGAAACTCATCACTCAGGTTTATTCGTAGAGCAATGTGATTTATCGTACGGATGTGTCGCTTTTAGTTATTGTCTTTTACCAAAAACGTCAACGGAGAACATGATTTGCTCAGTCCTTATGCGCACACATGCTTGCATGGGTTATCACTGAATTTACATATTTTAATTGTGTGCATTTGATACCCAGCTGCTCAGAAAGCCAGGGATGCATTTGATGAGGCTGAGAAAGCTCTCCGGGAGGTTGATGATCAGATCAAGTAAGTAAATGTGAAGGAGGCTCTTTTCCGATATTGCAGTCTGTTTGTTCCCACAACTGCATTTTACCTCTAAACTGCTACAATACATTAAAAAAGATAACCTGTGTCTGCAGGAACCTCGAGAAGGAAATCTCCTTCGACTTTGGACCCAGCGCTGAGTTCGCCTACCTCTACAGTCAGTGCTACGAGTTGACTACAAGCGAGTATGTGCACACTCATTTGAAAACAGTTGTAATTCTAAACTATTATTTGTTCCTACTTCTAAAGTTAATGTTTTGCTTTCAGGTATATCTACAGGCTCTGTCCATTTAACAGAGTATCGCAGAAACCTAAGTTTGGTGGATCGGAAACTAACCTCGGGTAACGTGTGGCCTATTTTGTTATAGGCCTTGTTGTAATATTCTGTGTTTTGCACTTTCAAATTAATTTCATCCGTTTCAATCAACACTCTGCGGTTCCCGTACTTTCCGTAGATCATGGGGCCAGTGGGCCGGTCCTGAGGACAACATCTACTCTGTGATGAAGTACGACCATGGAACCGGGTGCTGGCAGGGCCCCAACCGATCCACCACAGTGAGTCCCGGACCGTCAGCCTCCACCGGATCCTCGTCCTCTCGCTGGACAAAGCTCACAAAGAAATCTGTCCCTTGTCGTCTTTCAGATTAAATTAACGTGTGGGAAGGAGACCGTTCTGACATCTACCTCTGAGCCCAGTCGCTGCGAGTACCTGATGGAGTTCATCACCCCGGCGGTCTGCCAGGAACCTCGGAGCCTGGATTCCGATCATCACGAGCATGTCGAGCTCTAGATCTATTAGATAGGTGAGTAACTCACTTTTCCTAATCTAATTTAAAATCAATTGAGACCGTCTCGCACGGCACTGTGGCATGTATTGTTGACCAAAACAAAAAAAAAAAACACGTAACCCAAATGTAAAAGCTGACTCCAAGATGAGGCAAGAAGTAGATTCTCACTTTCACTGATGTAAAAACTGAGCGCTTCGGAAAAAGAAACCTGTGGGGATTCGTATCATTTAAGACTTAAGCAAACAACGTGTGTGTGTGTGTGTGTGTGTGTGTGTGTGTGTGTGTGTCCTCATACTCGCAGGTTGTTCTTGAGGGACCACAGTCACCGCAGCAACATGAATTTGCTCTGAGCGGCAAAACCTCGGCATCGATAAACAATTGAGAAAAAAATTGACGATTCCAGTCAGCAGTTAAATTGTCTGCACCTCCAACTTGCACTGCTACCTGTTTTGTTTCCCTGATTAATGTAAAATGTAGTCATTCCATTGTTTTCCAATAAATTTCATTAAATCATATTCCAAACTTGTGTACTTATCTGAGGCGCTTGTATTTTTTGTTTGCTGCAGTAGTTCTGAGTTAAATAAACGTATAACTGTCGACGGCACACCAGGAAGCCTTGTGTAGATATTTCATATTTAAACACACTGTGCTTTTCTGCCGCTAGATGTCTCTCAGTCAGAAGGATCCCAAAAGAGGGAGTTTGGGGAAGCAGTGTGGCATCATGGGATTTGTAGTCTTCACTGCTGGGGGGGGGGTAATACAAATCTCAAAATATATGACATATTTAACATGTCGTATTTAACCATCTTTAGTATAGAAGATATACATATGCCTTGCACTAAAGCAGGGTTATATTATGTTCTTTCATACACGCATAACCGTTAAACTGCATTAATTGAACAAATATGAAATTTATGGATCCCTATTACTAAAATGAATCCTAACTTGTTAATGACAAATGTTTGGTCACATTCAATGATATTGTTTCCACAGTCGGTAAGAATTGGATCACTCAATATTTGTAACTTATTTTATTTTTTTCTGGCATGTAAAGTACAAATAATTAAACAATTCCATGAAAAAGTCTTCAAGCGTCTTCAGCTGAAATCCCAGTAATAAATATCCTAGACTAAACTGAAAGGTTTATTTTTTTTTTCTTTGTTAAATTTCGACATTGTTCATTTGGTCATGTTTGGAAGTATGAGATTTTGTATTTCTTTCGCTGATATTGGTGCCAGCAGAACTGTTTTGATCATTTTCACCTTTTGATTTGTTCTACCATTCCAGGAAAATGTAAGAAAAACATCACTAAGTTACTGCGTCCCCTCTTCTAAATAAATAGACACAAAATACAGTTGGTTGAAAAACAGAAGGACCACTCACCCCTTCACTACCCTAGAGACCCCCAAGAAAACCTTCCTGCAGCTTGTTCTGAGCTCTTAACATTTTACCGGAGCTCTTTGTTCCAATTGCACAAATTGACAGATGCTTTTTGCAGAAATAGAGCCCATAAAATCTTTTTTTTCCCCCCCCATAAGTCAACCAATCAGCATAAACAGGAAAGCTTCTTGCGAGCTAATTAAAGCCAGGACATCCCCTTAGTTGCTGGACCCTCGAATGGGCCCAAAGCATCGCTTGCAGGGGTTGTCCCGCGTCTCCGGGGGGCCACAGAGTGGTTGAAAAAACAAGACTGTGATTAGATTAAATAATTAAAAAGATTTTCATTGAACAAGACAAACAGAACACAGGCAGTAAAGGCATAACATCTAGCACACAGCATGTATGTTTATACACTTCAATTAGTTAAATATAGCAGTGCATTCTTTGACTATGGAGAACGTTTCCAAATCGTACTTCTAAAGCTGTTTTGCTATTTGTCCCCCTTTTTAAGAAACAAAATGGTGTAACCACAATTTTGGCAAACTTAAAATCTTTTAAACTTGCAAATATAATGAAATAAACCATAAATATACACAAAACATACTTTATACGAGGCAATAATAATAATCATAATAAATAGTTTTTAAGTTAACAATAAGTTAAAACTACAAGCTTAAAGTCGCCCAAATAATACAAGTTTGTTGGCGCTATTTTGAATTTTTTCTGTTTAAATTATTTTATGTTGCAACAAAAGCTACCACAGACTTTTACAAACACAATTGAACACATTTGATTGAAATAAAAAAATCTAACTAAGTCTAAAATCTGCATACACCGTAAAAACTGCAACTAATTAAATAATGGAAGAAAAATAACAAACTTTACCCAATCAATGCAACCAAACAGAAGCTTTGACCCATGTGTGTTCTCTATGGCAACATCAACAACACAAATACGCTAATTTAACAAGTGAGTCTGATATGGAAATGAAATCAATAAATTACATTAAAAAAAAATGATAATTGAAATTGACATGGGCTAAAACTGATGATATATTAGACAGTATTCCTTTCAAGGTCGTGGAGAATTGCTCTGTTAGGCCAAATATGCAGTTTGCTTGAGCTTCGCGTGGTCGGAGCACAAATTAGGGGCTGTGGAAGTGATTATGAAAATTGACAGATCAGACCTCTCATTGCTCGCTCCATCCTCTCAATGAGTCTGCTCTTCGAATGTTTTTGTCTGAACCTCTGCTCCTTTCACCGTCCCGCAAACCTTTTCCGTGTGACGTTTAATTTCTTTTTTTAAAAATATATATCATTTGTTCTCAGTCAATATAAAAACAAAGCACATTGCACTTACTGTTCCATAGGAAAGTTTTTTTTTTCTCTCTTTAAATGATAATTGGTGTTGCTCAAGCAGTGTAGTACTGTTTCCTGCCGTGGTCCTCGGCTCTCTACTGTACATCTGGTGTACGACAGGTCGTTTTGGTCGACTGTACGACATCGGACGCGGCCTCCAGCTGCAGCTCAACGTTGTTATCTCGCTCGTTCCTAACGTCTATCACTGGTCTGACCGAGTGCTCGGCCCTGCGACGCCCGTCTCCTGCAAGTCGCTCGACCCAAAATAGCTGGATTAGTCCTTTTTATGTGGTCAACTCTGGAAACGCCAGCAGCAATCATTCAGAGTATTTCGAGGATGAAACAGTAAAAGTCAGATGGAAAGATGCCAGAGTAAGTGGTGCAATGCTTTAAAGGATCAAATTGGTCACGAGACAAAGCAGATGATGTAAATGCTGTGGGGGAATACGTTATATGGACGAATCCGATTCTTTTATGATATGCCTTTTTATTTTAATATTCGGGTTGTGAATGAAATGTGTGCAAATGGGATGACTTGCAACTGTTTCATTTGAGCATTTGGCGTTTATAGGATTTACAAACTGATATGTGCAACTTAAGTATTCAAACGTAATGATAACTGAAATTGTAGAGGGTCCTATTTCAATAAATAACATAGATTTGTACAGCAATTACTCAGGGAATAATACAGTTAGACTTAATTTATCCATCTTGGTACTGACTTGCAAAGCAATTCTTTGGCAAAAATCAAATCTAATCTAATCATAACGATCATGCTTAGTGTTCATTACAATTCTGCATAACGGATTGAATCTGCTTTTTTACCTTTTTGTATTTGCAAGCAGCTATTGGGTTTTTCAGCTGAGCAATTTTCCGGTGTCACTGCAGCTTAATCTGGGATTCGTCAAGTCAAAGAACTTTATGTCACTGCACCATCGTTGAAGCAACACTGTACACAACTTCGGGACGAGAGATGAGTGCGCCTAAGCTCTCCAGCGTCGGGTCGTGTCCCCCGACTGTTTCCTTTTACTGTCGTTTTTGCGTTTTTTTTACATCAATTGTTTTTTTTCTGTTTAGTTTGTTTCAATCAATGTGATATGGTTAAGTTTGTACGAGATACAACGTTCCTCCGCCCCTTCCCTAAATCCCCACCCATACACCGCATGCTTATTCCCCCTTGCTCTGCGAAGAGCAGAGGGTTTAAAATAAAGCCGTGCGATGTCCCAATTTTTTCCAAGCTTAAGAATCTGTAAAAATTCAGCAGAAGGTCTTCGTCCTTTGTATGTATAAAAATAGATTTATCTCTAATGTAATCCTTTCAAAGAGATCGTCCTCTTTGGCTAACACAGCGTCATTTAGAAAAGCAAAAGCAAAAAGTGTCTTGAATATAGCTGACGTTATTTGAATCTATTATCATGTGCGGATGTCTCGATATTGAAAGACATCAGCTCTTCCCGTGGTCGATCTAGACAGGTTGGCCTCAACGTTTCATCCGGGGTGCCGTTAATCATTTTCCTGCAACTGGGTTCGGGCTATTTTGAGAAATGCTATTTTTGTTTTAGGTGCCAAACAGATCTGAAGCAAATAAATAAATACCTCTCTGTTGTAAACAGAAGGATTATTATAACGCTTATTTGCAGGCTTGATGTTGTACAGTCATCTCTTCAGAGGGCAGCAGGTCAAAGTGTCTTTTAGGTCAAGTTGAGGAGCATTTGACAACGCGGGAGGAACTGGTCATCTTTCTCCTTCGAGGGGGTCGGCAGTCATTTTAACGTTGCCCGATGTCGTCGGTCACACACGAGACTCTGAGTCAGTTTTAAACGTCCAGTCATTTGGAACCGAATTCCTCTTAATGGGCTCTTTGCATGTGATTGCGAGTGGATGGTTGGACATTTTCACCTCATTATTTTGGGGGAGCTGTTTTTTCCGCTGCACCGGACAGAAGAATAATACCGGTGCTCTTGAGTTTTTTCCCATCTGTGTTGTTTTCTCCTGTGTAGCTCAGTCCGTGGGGTGTGTGGTTGGTTCCTGCCTCCATTCGTCTGAATGAAGATGAACTTTTGGATGTGTTGTTTGCTTTTTCCTCTCTTGACCTCTTCACACCTTTCAGTTAAAGGGATTTCACGCCGGATGGTGGCCGACCAAGCCAAGGACGAATGGCCTGTGAGTATCACTAATACAAAACAGGTGCAGTGAAAAATGATGATGCAAGAAAAGTGTATAAAAACACCGGTATTTTCCTTTTTCCGTGTTATGGTGAGACGGTTTCCCCCATCTGGCCCACCAGAGATTTGCTAATGAGCGCCGTCGCTACGGGAGCACCGCCGCTCCGCTCCGAGTTCACAGACGCTCTGCTTGAACCCGTCCCGAGGATGGACGCGAGGAAATAAAGGAAATGTTTTTAAATGTTTTTTGTGGACTAAATATATCTTCTCGTTATGGAGCCGCGTGCTCGTGACGTCGGGTCGGTGTGAGGGGATTCTGATGGCTTCTCTTTTCTGTGACCGGTATTCGTCGGTTCACCTAAATCTTATTGGGTCTGTGCTAACAAGCTCACGCAGGGTAGAGGAACTGCCTTCACGCTAGGCACCACCTAATTCAGGTCAGGAAACAGTAGTCAAAGTTTCTAGAAAATGCTTACATACTCGGCTATTATAACCACCTTAAATATTGAATATATAGTTATATTTTAATAGACGTATATAAGAGAACACTGTTTTTTTAATTTCATTTTCTTTGATCTAAAAAAATCGCTGATTCAAAATGCCCAAGTGTAAAAAAAGTGACTACATCCTCTCCAGCAGGATAATAGGAGAGATGGCGGGGTAAGAGTTTGGGTAAATTGCACATATTCGTTCATTAAATTTCTTTTTTTTTGATCGTTTTGTTCAACAGTTGTCATTATTTGCCTGAATTCAATCAAAGCAGTCAGTACACATTCTCTGTCACATTCGTTAGACTGTCTCCTAAATAGATAGCTCTTGCCCCTAACCCAACAAACCAGCTACGTACCCCCTTCTAATTCAATCCAGGCAAATACAGGGAAGGACTAGCATGTTGTGTAAAGAAAAAAAAGAAAAAAAACTCCTCTAGTGTGTTCGTTTGATACTCTGACTCGTGTGGGCTCGCGCGTATGGGAATGTTTGCTCATGTCTGTGCGTGTCTGCGTGTATCTGCATGTTCGTGGTGTTATACTATAGATCTGATGTGTGTGAAGGTGTCACAGAGAGACTCAGTCCAGGCCCGTAGAGAGTGATGGCGCAGGGAGCTCGGGTTCGGCTCCCCGCAGGTGGAAGAAGCTGCCGCCAGCCGCCTCTCTCTCTCTCTCTCTCTTTCGCTCTCTCTCTCTCTCTCTCTCTCTCTCGCTCACGCTCGCTCGCTCAGGCCTTGTGCTGCTTGCTGGTCTTGAAGGAAACCTGCAGCACGCGGTCGCCCAGGCGGTAGCCGTTGAGGCTCGCGATCGCCATGGCGGCCTCGTCGTAGTTGGTCATGGTGACGAAGCCGAAGCCCTTACATTTGTTGGTGGTGAAGTCGCGGATGACCTTGACGTTGGTGACGGCGCCGAAGGGCCCGAAGAGCTGCCACAGGACGCTCTCGTCCGCCTCGGGGGACAGGTTGTACACGAAGATGCACCAGCCGGCTCCGGTCGGCCCGGTGAGGTTGACCCCGGCCAGGCTGGTCATGCTGTCGATGGTGATGGGGGAGAATCTGGGGAAGAGAGTAGGAGAGCTACCATGGGTGTCATTCTGAAGTTCCACATAGGATTCAGTTCTCTACGCTGTATGTCTGGGGAGGGGGAGGGGGGGAAAGGGGCGATTGGAGTCGGAGGACGCCGTCTCCATCCCCTCTGCTGTACAGTAGGTAGATAAATGTGGGGGGGCCCCGCTTTCATACACAATGACGCTAGTGTGCCCTGAGACACAGACACCCAAACAATGGGAATGTTTTCTCTGCTGACCAAAGCCTCTGGAGGAATTAAAGACATGAATCACAATGTTCAACGGAAATCACGGTATTGAACAAAACACAGAAACCTAGAGAGGGATGAAAAGCAAATTGGAATAAAAATCATACACAAACTGGAGCAAACAGAGGAGACGCAAACGGAATCTGGTATGTCCATGCTGGTGAAAAAAAGGGGACATTAAAGCAACTGAAACTGATAATGTTAGTTCATAAATAAATACATAAAGATTATTTCTATTAATTGAAATGAAAAGAACGAAAAGGTTAAACAAAGCCATGCCAGAATACCCTGCTGTTAGAAGCCTGGATTGTTGCTTATTGCACTTTCACTAGTATTTTGTTGTCTGGGCTGCTTCTGTGACATGGTTTGAACGTATTAAAAATGATGGCCATTATATCTGATTTTGAGATGAAGTCAGCAGGCGGTATTCCAGGCACTTTGTTTGTGAGATTTTTTTTTTCGGCATGGATGCTTTTGAAAATACACCTTTGGCATTTACCTCTTGACTCCGTAGCTGGCGTTTAGTAAATTGTCGAGTCTGCAACGCAAGAGGGAGAATGAAGGGGGGATGCAGAAGTTAGTTAATGAGGTCTACAAGGAAGGGGGGCTTTCAGTTAACATGTTGTTCCTTCACCAGCTGGCCTCCAGAGGGCATCCTGCACTGCGGGGCAGTCCCCCCAAAACCATCCGACCACAAACGGACGGGTGTGAAATAGACCTGAGAGTAGATACGTCTCAGCTGGTATTTATTCTTCATTGTGAGGGTATTTAATAACGGAAGCCTTTGATTTTCACACCTTTTGTACCTTTATTCAAAATGCATGTCAATTTTACTCTTTACGACGCCTATGTGGTATAGGCAAACTTTAAAGGTTCAGTGTTATTCTTCTTAAACCAAGATTTACTTAGCTTTAGTTTTTTTTATTGTATTTGGAAAAGTCTGGTCTCTTACATTGGTTTTGAGCTGTTATTTGGATCTGGTCCCTTTCCAAGTGAAGGGATCATGCTGCAGTTTAAAAGAAAGTCAGAGAGAAAGAGTGAGAAGGAGGGACAACGCAATATTGCCAATTCCTTCCGTACGGTAAAGCTATAATATTGCTTGAAGGAACAGTTTACCAATAAGTTGTGTTAATATTGACAGAAAACGTTTTTTTTTCTTCTTCTTCTTGAATGTTTTCGATTACACAGTTGTCCTCAAAGACACACACCACATTTGCTGTTTTCCGGGTGAGCCACCTCATCTGATTGCTTTTTCTTTCTCCCGTGTGCTGCGAAGCTGCCAAAAGGTTCAGTACCTGAAACGCTGAGTCTGGTGGTGCAGGGGCCCCGTGTAGCGGCGGGCGGCCGTCTGGTACAGCTGAGTCAGCAGGGCCTGGCCCGTCTTCTGGCTGGGGTTGTTGGCGAACTTGACAGTGATGGGCTCGGCGGCGCCCAGCGGCTTCTGCCCGTTCAGACCTTTGATGGCCTCCTCGGCCTCGTTTCGCTTGTCAAACCGGATGAAGCCCACTCCTCGGGATATGCCTGCTCCGATTCAGAATGCAAACCAATGTTACTACCTTGGCATCAAGGACCGCCGTGGCCGACCCGGCCTTTTAATCAGGGACGGACGTGGCGCCTGAGTGACAGCACGGAGGAGGGAAATTAGGCTATACCTGTGACTTGGTCCACTAAGATGCGGGACGTGATGATGCGACCGTATTGGGAGAACAGCTGCTCCATGTCCTTCTGGCTCATGGTTTTTGGGAGTCCACTCACGTAAAGGTTGGCATCGCGGATAGAGGCCGAGCTCGGCCGGGCATACGATACCTACAACACGCCAATAAAATCAAACAATGTGCATTACAATTACATCACCCAGAGGGATTAAATGAGTAAAGAACAGCATGTCAGAAAGTTTTTGCTGTAACTGCAGTGACTTCCCAACAAATTGTCCTCGTTGTGGCTCCTGCTGATTCGTCTCCACAAACCCAACTGCCCCTTAGCTGTCTGTGGACTTAATCAGTGCCCTAAAGAATGCGCTCGCCACCACATTGAGACCGTCACAGACGCACAATGAAGACCGCAACCATCACCCAGAATGAAAACAGTCCTTCAGCTAACAAGCCAGAGTGTCAGCTTTGTTTTGCACCAAATTACACATCAGCCTTAGCTGGTGTGTTTTTCTGAATCCACTGGTGACTTAATTAGCGCGCGGAGCTTTTTTTTTGGTGCGTTTGTGTTTCTATCCCTTAAGGTTTTCTGTTAGCGTTTTGGATAGATCTCATCTAAATGATAGAAAAAGGAAAAAAAGAAGATCATACTCTCGTCCTCTGGTGTTCATGGGAGCGTGTGCACATTCGCCTGATAGATAATCCGGTTCGGCGCTTTGTTGTCAGCGCCGTGCTTGTTTGTGTGTGATGGAGGGACAGAGTGAGTGTTGTCTGAGATGCCTTGCTCGTCCTGCCTCCTTCCTTTGTCTCTATCCTCGGGGGTAGAGCAGCTCCACTGGCAAGCAGCGCACAATGCAAGCGCACCACGAGACTCGCAAGATGCTCGACAACTTTTAAACACTCTGTTCACACATATGTACTGGTGTGATAAATATAATTCGCTTATTTCTCAAAGTATTGACTGTGCTCATTTCACAGGCACAAAAAAACGCTCTGATGCAGATCTAAAGGGCTTGTGTTTTTCAGATGAATACAGGTGTTCAGATTTCACCCGTCGGTACTGAGCACCAGTGTCTATTGTGCACGCAGACGTATGAGCAGCCGGGTTGTGTTGTGCGGTGATTAGGGTGTTCTGGATGAGTCAGGGGGGAGTGGCTGTGTTTGGGGAGCAAAGGCTGCCCTATAATTAACCCTCTCCCCGTCGCTCCCACAGTACAGATGGTGCCTGGAGCCCATATGGCCTCTAATCCTGTCATTGGCATTCTGCTCTCTGAGCTACCCCCCCTCTACCCTTCCACTGCTGCCCCCCTCCCTCACTGCCTCACAGCCTCGCCGCTCTCTGTTCGGGCTCCCTGCAAGACCAGACAGATAAGACTACGCTATTGAGCAGAATAATTCATTTCTCACGTGTGAGAGGTTCATTGAGGACGGAGCGATCTGTGTATGGATACATCAATGGTGAATGTCATAACACGAGATGAACAATATAAATTAATATTGTTCATGACAGTCAACACCTTTAATACCTGCTTGCTTCAAAGTAAGAAAAGCATTGGATGTTATAAACAGACTGAATCCAGTTATTTTCCTGCTTGTTGGTCGTCAGAATTAACGTCCGTGTTGACCAGCAGCTGTTGCAGGATCACCTGCTCTGATTTCCTAATCCTGTAGTTTGTCTCAATCTTTGATCTACTTTGATCAGGTCGGGGGGGGGGTGGAAGGAAGTCGTGTCTAATAATATGCCCCTCTTTGCCTCATCTGATTTTGGGACAAAGAAGTCCCCTAATTAGCCCAGATTGGAGGCAGATGGGGTAACCAGGACTGACCCCGGTGCAGCGCAGTCAGACTTCCTAATTACATCTCCATCACAATAATCCCTGCATGCTGTCCGCCCCTTGCTTTCTGACCTCCACTCTCTCCTGCTCTTTTCACCCTTTCTCTATCTTCCTTTGTTCTGGCCACCCCTCCCTTCTGCCTCCTCCTCCTCGCCATTTTCTTCCCCTCCCTCTGTGACGTCTGACGCAACCCCCCCCTCCCACAAAATCTCCACTTCCTTTCCTTTTGTACAGAATGAAAAACACGAGGAGCAGATATGTTGTCGAGAGTAGAAGCCTGCTCACCTTGATTGTTTTAGTCTGCAGTTTTAGACCGTTGAGTGTGTTGATGGCCTTATCTGCGTCATTTGGATCCACATAGTTTACAAAGCCATATCCCAAACTCTGACCTGGAGACAAAGACCGAGCCGGTGCTGTTAGTGGTTCTCAAAGCCGTGAGGTGAGGATGGTTTGGGTTTTTTGTTCTGAGGTGGACCGAGTGCTGTACCTGTTATCTTGTCTCTGACAAGCTTGCAGGACTCGATCTCTCCGATGCTACCAAACAAACTTTTAAACTCCTCCTGGGTCATGTTCTGAGGCAGATAGTTGACGATCAGGTTGGTTTTGCTGTCGTCTGTGGCGCCGTTGGAGCTAATGACTGGACCGTTGGGCAGACTGGTTCCGCTCGGACCGTTGGACACCTGGGTTTCCATGGTGCTGATTATCTGCTGAGGAAGAGGGGGGTGTTAGATTCCTCGCTCACAAAGACACAGCATATGTAAGGCGGTTAAAAGCTGCATCTGTTCATATTTAACTTATAATACATGCACGGGTATAAGAAAGGATAATCCTTTCTTATTGTGAGCGACGCACGCGGGCCGTCCACTCCGTCACTGTCAGAGGGAAAGGTCAGCAAGCAGCGTCGCTAAAATGAATCCGAGCTCTGATTTATCGCCTCCCCCTCCCCCATTTTACACCCCGTCCTTCCTCCTCTCTCGCTCCCTGCCTCTGGTCCTGCAGATGTCACAGTCCCTTTTCCCTGCTCCTCCCTTCCCCCTTCTTTCTTCCAGGGTCAAACTTCATTACATCATTACACAGCGAGGGATGATAGTGGTGGGGGAGTGGGGGAGGCCGGGGGGGGTTTGGGGCGGCGTGGGTCGAGAGGACAGACTACCCGAGTTTGACGTATTGAAACGGATTTTGAGCTAAAATAATTAGGGAATTTAAGGGTTTGCTAGAAAGTCCGGTTTACACGTTTGTCCATGACACATTGTTCTGGTTTCTTCGAGGTCAACTGACTTCGGTTGTTGAGTACGGGTGTGAGGTCGACCGCTGTGAGATGTTTGTGTCGCTCCGGAGGACGACGTGTTGCTTAATTTGATCCACAGAGGCTTCTCGAGGATTATCCGTGTAGTTCAAAACAAAACTTCATGCTCCACTTTTCCTTTACCTTTCCTCGCGCTCACCACCCAGTTCTCTGCATCGTTGTTTCCAGTGTAAGCACAAATTTGTTCCTGTCTAATGTTAGATTTTTACATTTTACATTCTATTTTATTACATCTGTGTTATGTTATTTTCATGTTCAAACATCATTAAATTAAATATTTGATTAGCAAATATATACATGCATGTTTAAAGCTAGATAACACTAAAGAGTTATTGATTTTTGATTTAAAAATATCTAACTGTTGGTGTTATGTTTGGTAACAAAGGGACTCAATGAATGAAAAAAAGAATCATATCAAAATTATTTTACTTAATGGAGAAATTCTCTAGGTGTTATTGAAACATAAATATGATTCATAGCACGAGCGTTTACCTGGGAATCGGCCCCCGTGGCTTGTTGGATTAGGTCCAATAAAACCATAAACAAACAACAAGCCTGATATTTATTCCCTGAGCTCTAAGATCTCTTGTCAATCCACCAACAGTTTGTGTTTCTGTGGGTTATCATCGCACATATCCTATCACATAGGATAATAATTCATTTCTTCACATCCGTGTCTCGTTTCATGTGTCCTCTCTCTCGTCTGTCTAACCTGCCTTTTCTCCTCGTCTCTGTAATCCGCCGTCTTGCTTCCAGCCTCACCTCGTCTCAGGTTGCCCAGGTAACGGCCCCTCAAAGACTGCACTGTTTTAATGGCTGGCTGGCTTTCTTACTTTCAGTGTGCATTCGTGTCTGTGTTTATTAGGAGCAGATGCACAGGTCAGACGTTTCCCCTGCGTGTATTAATATTGTATGGCTTTGCAGGAGCAGGGAATATCAGCAAGCCAAATTGACAAAGACAAGGGGAGGAGGAGCGCGGTGACAGAGTTAAGACAGCTCTAAAAATAAAATACTTCAGACTCACATCCACACACAAAGGCGGTGCAACATCCCCAGCAATCTGTCACATGATCGTTATGCTCGTTATGACTAAAATGCCTGCTGGATATGTTTTTTGTGGAGGGTGCAATAAAGATTTTAAGTTGCATTTATTGGACGCTGTTATGTGTTGAGGTGCATCTGACTGACTAGAAATGAGCAACTGGCTGTGTTGCAAACATGACAAAAAACATTTTGAAGGGAAAAAAACATATTTAGGGAAATTTGAATCACCAATTGAAGTAACCAACATGATAGAACACATACTGAACACTGTGAAGTTATATAATTCACAGAACGACTGAGTTAGGGCTGGGCACACAAGAGTTGTCGACACAAACAGCAACAATAAGATTGAGATGCCAGAACAGGGAGAATTGTATAATTCTTAGGCCGTCATATTTCTCATTCCTAAAACTAAAATCCAATTGCTATGACAACGACACAATAAATCATTGTGATGCTTCAGCCTACAAAGGGATGAAAAATCCTAACACGCCCATTTTAGATCTACTCAGGGCTTCAGACACGTTCGACTACCAGAGACGATAAAAATACCTGCATAATGTTCTCTGAGCAAATATTATCCCCCTTCCCCCTTAACTTATTATAAGCTATATATATATATATAATTATAATGTAAACCAGCTGTGAGAATATTCTTTAAAAAAATCCTCTTTCATAATTTCCTAAAAGATTCCAGTTGTTAGCATAGCACTATGTGTCCCACACTCTTTTTTCCTTCTATTTTGGGGTTCTGCGAGATTTCCCTTAATATTTAATGAAGTGCATCAGCATCGCCCACACATGGTCCCAGACTTGCACGCAAACAAGAGCCCTGCCTCCTCTGCCAAACACATGAACCCAGACTTGCACGCAAACTAGAGCCCTGCCTCCGCTGCCAAGCACACGTACCACCACCTACACTGCACACCATTTAATTACAAAACGCAAAAGCGTTGCATGACTGAATGTAAATGCAGTCAGGGTTCTCTTGTCTTTCAGATGCTTACAAACCGCTTTCTCCAATTCATTTCTGCTCCAAATGCAGCTCAGCACTGGAGGCTAATGTGCAGAAGAATACTTGTCTCCCAGTTTGAGTCATAAAATGAGATGTACCACATTACATGTTACAGTTAGCTGACAATCCCAATTTGAATGTGAAAGGGAGCGAGAGAGAAAATGACACGGTCACCTTCAGTATTTTTCTTTGACATGCAATTCCAGCAAAGCTGGGAATTTCTGTATGTGTGTATTATGTGGGCATTAGTTATCTTTGTGTTAACAGAACTAAACATCACTCAAAATGATGAGCACAGACTTCACCAACTGGATCCTTCAAACTAACAATGATGAGAAGGATTTCTCATTTTAACATTTAACGTAGTCCATATTATTACACATTATTTAAAGTTTTTTTTCTGCGAAATGCATGAATTAAAACTGAAAGCTAGGCTGAAGTGTAAATGAGCCCTCTAAATAACACAGATTACAGGATTATCCCAGACAAAGGGCATTAGCCACACTCTCTGCAGCTTAAGGGATCATGGTGGCAGCTGTAAAACAACAGGACGACAGGAGTCACAGCCCCCGTCGGCCGCGCACCGAGCCTCCGTCCTGTTCTCCGCCCTGCACACTAAAAATAAAAACATTTCTAAAAGATTTCAGCTCACTGAGTACGCGCCGCTTTGATAAGATGGGAGCAGACAACGTCGAAGGCTCAGGGAGACAAGCGTGTCCTGCGAGTCCTTGTAGCGCGCGGGGCGCTATCCAGCGTGCTGAAAAAGGGAGTGGCTTTCGGACGGCAGCTCGAGGCCACAGAGGCCCCCGAATCCGGCACAGACCCTCCGAGTCATTTTCTATATTTTTGTTCTCTTTGAAGACGTTTTCATTTAGAGTAATTAAGAAAAATAAATTAAATATGCTATTGTGCGTAACTGTGTAAATATGGTAAAATTCATCATCACTCCTCCCCCTCCGGTTCTCTTATTTAAGCCCCTTGAAAATAAAAAAAGGCGAACTCTGAGCTCTGCAGGCATTCATGAACCAGGGCGCCTTTTTGCTGAATAAACGTATTGAAACGAGCAAACAAAAGAGCCACCCGTTCCTCCTCTTCTCTCGCAGAGGCAATGGCAGCACTATGAATATTAATGTAAACAGTGGCGCTTTGTGTGGTGGCCGAGGGGCTGCAGGACTCTCCGGGAACAATGACGGTTACAGTTGCCAGCCACAAGTCAAAAACGCCATTATAGGTCAAATAAAACATGATCAATCCGGGACATGTTTTTCCTCCAAGCGTAAAGTCTTGTATTGTGTTGATAGTTGTGTCGAAAAATCGAAGTGAACAGGCTTTAACGATCAAAATGACAATGGCCTTAAATTGTCAGATAAAAACAACGTTTTTCCACAACGCTCACGTAATCAATAGATCAATATTAACATATAACACGTTCTATATGTATATATTATATTGCTGATGAAGTCGTTACGTAACATTATTACATTAAAGGGCTCATATTATTTAACGTCGGGCCATGTCTCGACTGAAAAGATGCAATACTGGAAGGTTTGTGGTGGTTTTATTTTTGACCGAGAATTAAAAAGCGTTCTCCGGCCTTAAAGGCTTTACATTGCGCCGCGCATTTAGCACCAAGCAGCCGTGTGGGGGTCGGAAGCGATGGCCTCGGTTGCCCTTGTCCTTGGATCGCATAGGTTATCTGACTCAACGCTTTTATTCGCTTGGCACTGCGGTACCGGCACGGAGGACTGCGGACCATGTGGAGGGGAGCTGTCCTCTGTCTGCGGGAGTCTGCCTCGTCCTGCCGGGGGACAATAGGTGGTGTGCAACAAAGGGGAAATTAAAGTGGGGTGGAAGGTGTGTCGGCTGGACGGTCCGAGCGGTGAAGCAACGCCTCCATTTTGCATTTGTTTTTTTATTTTTTCGAAGTATGATTCAGATCATTTCAAATACGAGATGCTGAAGTTGTTCACGAGGCTGACTCCTTCTCTCACATCCTTCTGTGTTAAATTATTTATCTTGTGTTGCTATTCGTCACCGCCTGACATTTTACCACGTGCAGACATAATTCCAATTCCATTTAATAATTTAGTAATTCCACAAAACCAAACTGATGGGTATATTTTAGGTATGTTTTATGCCACTTTAATACCTGCGGGTTTAACACCTGAATGGGATTTTTCAAGCTTTTACCGACCAGCATCCACACTGAACCTTGGTTCCGTATTTATTTCCTGCCCTCTATAATTAAATGTAAATGTCTCTTAATTGCTCTGTCTGCTGCCAACCGTGTCAAGGGGGAAAGCGGTGTGGGCCTTTTGAGGCTGCGAGGCCCTCGTTCGGTGCTTAAGTCCAGCAGAGACACGCCCAATCCAGCCGTCGGCTCAGAGCAAAGCTAATTCATCACCGCTCACATCCCCCTTCCATCCGACACGCGCGACGCGATGGCATGGCCATCTTTGTACGTATGCGCCACGGAAATGCGCTTAAGATGGAGATGTCCGTGCGCGTCCTCACGTCTGTCGCGGCCTCTGAGATTTCCAGCCCCATTCACCCGGTTGCATCGCAACGAGAACCCGGAGGAATTTGGACTTTGGGTGATTCAATGCAAACCAATGGGTGCGTAATCTCCCTCCTCCCCCCTCCCGGAGTGACTCGACCCTTTTCTTCTTCTTCTCGTGCCTTGCTGGATGGGCCCTGCAGCCTCCGAGGCATCATTTTGTCTCAGAACCGTTCCACTCTCTTGTGTGTTCGAGAAGAGAAGCCAAGACACCCCCCCCCCCCCCCCCCCCACACTCCCCTCTCTCCACACACACACACTGAACCAGCGCCTCGTCGCCTCTCTCCATCACCGTAATGCTGCGGAATTCCTGCATCTCGACTCCAGCGGTCGTTCGGTGACAAATAATCAAAGCATCGACACGCGTGCAGGCGACGTGGCACAAAAAGCGCAACGGCTTGTGCCACCTAAGATGGCAGAATAAAGACTGTATCCTGCGCGCACGGTGACTGCGGGCTGGAGCGCAGCCGGCATGGCGCATCACTCAGTATGAGGCTGCTAATTGCCGCTATCGATCGTTAATCTTATCAAAACAATACGGCACTGCAAATCGGACAAAACCGTAGGACACCGATCCCGATCGTCCCCTGTGCTGCCGCGGAGATCCCTTAAAACACGTATTCCTAATAGGTGTAAATTAGGGGGAAATACATCTGTGTGTGGCTACATCGTATGTGTACATGCATAGTAGTAGTAGTAAATATATCCATGCAATGTAAGCGTGCTGCTACGGCTTCCCCTTTACAAAACCCAGAGAAATGGAGTCATACGTACAGTAACCATTCTTGACGTACAATGAAAGAAATCTAGGTCCTTCTTTGCGCTGGTCTGGAAGCTGGAGGCTGAGTCTCTAGCTATGATCTTCAGCCTTTAAATTGTATGGCCCTTGTGTTCTGTCACGAGTCCAAATGAAAAGAAAAAAAAAGAAAAAAAGGAAAAAAATACAGTGTTCGCCAGGGATTCTCAGCCCTCTGAGATTGTAGGTGTCCTCTATAGGATGAAAATGAGGAGAAAGGGGTTTTCTACTGGATGATGGTGAGGGAGAGCGTTCTCTCCGAGTGGCGTGGGCGATGGTTTTAGAAAAAAAAGAGAAGCAGTGATCCTCAGCAGGGTGTGTCCAGGGGAGGGTGTTCTGGTTCTGCTGTGTTTGTGTGTAATTCCCTGCTCCTCTCGCAGTCTCCTTCTGTGCCTCTGCTGCAATGTTCTTCTTTTATGCGTCCTCCTGGCTGGCAGAGCACGCCGCTGATTGGCTAATTGTGCAGGGAGGGTACTACATGGCAGCCATTGCAATGCGCTCCTCTCCCATTATCCCCTTCAGGGGAGAGATCACCAAGAGCTGCCCCCCCCCCATCCCCTTCAACCACCCCACCAGCCCCTCCTTCCTTTCTCCATCCCTGCCCTTCCATCTCTCCACTCCCTTTTCCTCGCTGCCCTTCCTTTCTTTCTGCCCCCCCCCCCCTCCCACCCTCTTCACACACGCGCACGCACATGCACGCACACAAACACACACCCATGAATAGGCGCTCCACCTGCACTTACAGAACAGATGGGTGCAGCATAAGACAGCAGACTTGTCCCTCATTCGCCACTCTTTGCCCTCACTTCTCCATCCGCGCAGCCCCTTCCTTCCTCTCGGATTCTCCCTTTAGGTCTGTTTTGAAACCGAGGCAAACCAACTTCCCTCCTCGGGCCTTTGTGTTGGCCAATAAAAGCCATTTTGTAGCAGCGTCGATCAGCAGACTCCCTGAGTCCACAATTTTCTCTGAGAATCACAGACGCGTCAAAAGACAAAATATGCAATAATTGGATTTGAATTGTGGCAACAAACCAAGCATTGAATCCATAATGTGACTGATGGGTGGGTGATTTCTGGACCTTTCGCGTGCAGGGCAGATGGCCCGCTAGCTTTAGGGTCAGGTGCAGACATGAGAATAACAAATTAGATGCACCCTAAATTCATTCCTGTCTAATCAGAAAAGTTGAGAAATGTACAGATGTAACATGTGACCGAGCCATTTTGAATGGTCTCTTCTTTTTTTTCTTTATGAACAGAAAGTAGAAAGCAGTGATTTTCGTCTCATGACATCTACGAATCCCTTCCTGAGGAGTTGTCGTCCCTCTTTGCCCACCTCCTGCTGCTCCCTCCTGTGTGGTGAGTGCTCACTGAGACATGCTGTTTGGGCTCATCTATAATGCATCCCCCTGCCCCGGGACATCATGTGTGACAAATGACCTATTTCTGTGCAGACCCCCATAGGGCCTTGACCTGAGGGGGGGGTTGGGGGGGGGGGGTCTGCGTGCAAGTGTGCACAAATTAGTGTGTGTTTGTTTATTTGTTTCTCAGTCGAGGGTTTGCGGTCATGCGAAGAAGTGAGATTGTAATGGGAGTATTTTTTTTTTTCTTTCTCTGACCAGTGGTGCAGATGTGAGTGCTTCTGCGACAACGTTCGCTTTCTCCGCTTCGCTCTCCTTGCTGACCTTGAAGAGTCCTCACATGTCTCTGGCTATAGTGAGGGAGGGGATTGCATGGCATTATCGCCACTGACCACTCGCCTTTAAAGGGACACGTGGACGCTGTCTGCAATCAGATGAAGACAAAGCAACAGGACACGCGAGTAACTCGTCTCCTCGCACTGTATGCCTCTTATTGTTCCTCCCACCTTCAGTCACTCCTGCGTACCCCCCCCCATCCCCCTTTCTCTCTGTCATTGTCCTGCAGCTCTCTTCCAGTCACATTCTGAACATGGGCCCTGTCTGATATTTTACATAATTGCCTTACATAAGTAGCAGGCTTGGCTCAGAGCTTGGGTGATATTAGCAGAGATGAATATTGCATGAGGAAAGCACTCGTTAAGCGTTAATAAGAGGATAGAGATGGAGCCCCACTGTCAGTCCGTCTTAACCCCGCCCCCACCGTCCTGTCAAGCAGTGACTCAACTCAGCCTGGATGCGTTGGAGCCTTTGAGTCAGTTTGTTAGAGAGGGAGGACGAATATGTGCGTTTCTATGTGTGTGTGTGTGTCTCTCAGAAGAGATTCGGTCATTAGGTGCTTGTGTTTTTTTCCGTCTTTGTTTGCTGAATAAAAGCGGCTCTTGTATCACAAAAGCACCCAGGTCCGTCGAATGACTGCAGCCCCACTCACAGTTCACACTTAATGTGAATAAATAGGCTTAATTGTGGCCCCTCATTAGAGCCGTGGTTGGTTGCAAGGCAGCTGAATCCTCCCCGTGGGTAAGAGGGCATTTGAAGCGGCCATTGTACATTTCTGAATCAAACAATCAAGCATTGGGTTTCGCTTAAAAGCCTTTTTGTTATTCTACTGATTATTTTCTTAGCGTAAAAAGGGTTCCTCCCCTAGCGGTCATTAGGCGCCTTGTTGCAGCCGTCCTTTTCTCTTAGCATATCGCGGAATGCTCCTTGGTGCCAGAGGGATTTACTCAAAGCATTTACAAAAATGAGTTTGCTGATTATTAAGTTCATCAGCCCCGCAGACGAAACGCGCAAAGCAGCAAAAAACAGTAGAAGGAGCAGAGACGTGCATAAATGTTGAGCAGCACCGCTAATGTTTTATCTAATGAGTTCACCCGGAACTGCAAGAAAATGCCAGTAGTACAGAAGGAGGAGAAGTAAACACTCAAGTTTATTACAAAAAAAGCCCTTTAGGTCTGAATCCCCCCGCCGAGCCTCATCTCTCTTATTCTTGTGTAGTATTACGTCAAAAAGAATGCCTGTTGCCACAGCCCTGCGGTAAGGTAGTGGCCTCGTGTATGTGTGTGAGGCAGAGAGGGGGGGGGGAGAGTGACACTACGACAGTGTGTGTGTGTGTGTGTGTGCGTGGGGGATGGGGAGGATGATTCAGCCTCGGGTCTGGTTAATTCAGCGGCCTCTCCACTAAGGCTTGGCTCTTGGCAATTCAGGGTTTTGGGGCAGCAGCAGCGAGGCAGTTATTGCGTTTCAGGAAAGGATCCAAAAGGAAATTAGCCTCTTTTAGAAAGAAAAAAACAAAAAAACATTTGTTGATGATGGCAACTGGCCTAATTCATTCCTTTTTGTGTTATTTGGCCAATTTTTTTTCATGGCGTCCCTCATGGCTTCACTCTTGCACTTTCTCCCGGTGTCTCTCGTCTCTTATATCTTTCTCTCCCTCCGTGTGTCTGGATGTGTTGTCTCTGGGCTATTATTAGAGTAGACAGGCTGGTGGGAGGAAGTCTCTGAAGTAGACGCTCCTGTCATCTTTTCATTTATGGATTATATTCTGCTTTCCATGTGCCTGTTTAAGTCTCGGTACATCGTTATCAGTCTTTTGTTTCCGTGAATTCAGTGCCGCATGTGACATTTGACCTCTTTTAGGCAATGTTTGTGTGCCCTTATAGTTATTATTTCACCAAGGAAGAAATTTGAGGTGCTTTGAATGTATATTTAATACCACTTAATCACAACATTAACCGCGTGTGTGTGTCTGTGTGAATGTTGGCGCGGCTTTGGGGTCGGGGGAAGCAGGACTAACCTTCCCAGAGACCACGTTATACTGAAAACATTTTAAAATATCAAGCCGTGGTTATTAATGTTTCATTTTGTCCTGTCTGAGCTGGTATCTAGGGAGCGTCTTTAAATACACAAAGCTCTTAGACATTCTCTTTGTTTTTTACACGCTTCTTTTCCTGCTGAACAAAACACACAGACAAGACAGACAACGGATAGAAAACACACAAGTACGTCAGCCTCGTCAGGCCCAGAGGTGTTCACCTTCATTAGCTGTTTCAATGCCCTGACAATAAATAACACAAAACGCCGTTCCTCGCTCTACCTGAAGTGTTTGTTTTACATTTACATGACGGCGAAAGGGTCGATTGTAAGATAGAAAACGCTGGCTGAGCAAATGAAATGTGAGAACGTTTCTTAGAAAAACTCGCAGGTTCAGCCGTTGCACTCTTTGCCCCACCCCGTCTTCATCCGCCTCTCCTCTTTCAATCTCCTGCTCTCACTCCCTGTAGTCCAGCTCTCGCCCCATCACGCCTCCCCCCCCTCCTTCCCCCCCGTTTCGGTAACAGGAGACTTGAAATCAATAGCACATTAGTCTGGCCGGAAACTCTTGTGGAATTAAATATGAATGACTGAGATTGCAGCTCTACCTGCTGCTGAGGGAGATGCATGATGGCTTTTGGGGATATGAGTTTTAGTTTTCCCTCCAGTGGACATTCAGGCCATTTTGTGCGGTTGTTCCATCTCAGCGGATCGCCGGCCTCCATCACACAGTGAGTGTGGGAGATCCGTACGGCTGTCGACTTTGATATCGTCGGAGGTCGGTCATCTTGTTCTCGGAAGTGGACGGTGGCCGGTCCCATGCCATAATCCGATAGAGCAAATATGATTGCGGACGTCACAAAGAAGCGACAGCTCAGAAGGCAGGAAAAATCAGCGGGCCACACCCATCCTCCAAGCAGCAGCAGCAGCATTTCAATATGAAAGAGCTCTCTGGTTATTGGCAGATTGCATTTTACTTGTTTTCAGTATTTCCTCCAAATACAATATGTGTTGCCTCTTTCATTACGCTTTCAGCTTCTCCGCTCTGCACATTCACTCTGGAACTGTTTACATGCAAATTTCATTACTTGGTAGGGTTCCATTTTCATTAACTGGTTCACTATGTAAAGTGGAATAATTTATTTTAACATGCTGTTTGGCTTAAACGCCTAATTTTCAAGGTGGTTAGAGAGAACTGGCTGGTGGGAGGAACGTAATATGAGACAAAAAGCCACTGCATATTCTTCTGGGAATTACTAGAGGCTTGGGCACCAGTAAGCCAATACACACAGATGAAATAGAGGTAGATGTACATGTGAGCCATATTTCATCCCATCAGAGATGAAACGGTTTGTGACAGATGGAGTGATATTGTTCCCCCGTACTGCCTGTGAGTGCGGCCCCTCCTGATTCCCCTCTCTGACAGATGTAGGGGGAGGACCACATTGCACTCCTCTTTCTTTCAATTGATTTGGGTGCTTGAACCCTTAGGGACTGGAGGATGGTGGTGGGATGGGGGTGGTGGAAACAGCAATGGGGGTTTAGTCTTGCACGCTGTATACCTGCATATACTCCAACACGGAGCACATTTATAGCCGTGTGCTCGGCGCACTACGCTGAGTGGAGCTGGAAGGGAATATTTCCATAAATCTTGGTTAGTGAGTGACAGCGCAGCATGCAACCATGCATGTAATGTAGGCAGAGGAGAAAGTGTGGCTGTGCACCGTGGTGGCTCAGCCTTATGTGTTGCTACAAGATACATTCACTTCATTCTTTACAGTCGATCGGTTAACAGGAACAGAACTGCAACAGATTTTTCTTCTGTCTCATTAGATCAATATACTGTTTTTGTGTCCAGAGAAGGGGTTAATACCAAGACGTGTGGGGTTGTGTGTTTTGTATAAATTAAGCAGATTTTAAATGATTCACCAATGATTATCTTTACACCCCCCCCCCCCTTCCCCCATCCCCAGCTTCCAAACCCTGACTGCAGGATCACCATTAGGAGACGTAACAGCTGTCTTGCAGCAGATGTATCCTGTTGCTATACCTCGCTCTCTGTCCCCAGAGGGGAAAGGTCGTGACAGGGGTGCAGGTCAAAGCAAAAATGTTCCTGAAGATGCTACATGTTGATGCTTTGAGAGAAATAAACAAATGAGCATCTGCCTCCCTGTTATGTAGGACAGAACCACCACAGGACACTGATTAGAATCAGCATTTTTGTTTGCCATATTCAGTCTTGTGTAATTCCTCCATCCCGCTTGAAGAGCAGCTGAAATAAGAGCTAAAACCACCTTTCCCTTTTTCACTATCCCTCTTTTTTTTAAATAAGCATATGTATTTTTTCCATTGTTGGCTGTTTCTTTTCCTTTTCATCCCAAAGGTAGATTGCACTTTATTTCAGTTAATGCTGTTAAAGTTTTTACTGCTGTCCTGGAAGCAAACCCCAGTAAGAAAGTGCTTAATGATTTAAACAGGACTCCCTGGTGGGGTGCGATAGAAGGGGGACGTGCCCTGGCTACGGGCGTGTGGCGCCGGAGCAGGTGGATGACGAGCAGCTGAGTAGTGGGCTCCAGCGGGAGGCGGGGGGGGGGCCTCCATTTCGGAGGACTCTTGGGGTTGGGAGAAACCCTGAAAAAAGGCAACCCCATCTGGAACTGAGGTGGGGGCTCTTGTGTGAAAGAGATCTAGTGGGTGGCGTCTGACACTCTCTCTTTTGTTCTTTGGTAACACAGCAGCGATAGTGGTGGTGGTGGCGGCGGCAGTGGGGGCTCTTGTTGCCGTGGGGGCTGGGCGCTTAAACAATAGTGCAGATCTAGGAATTGAAAGCCTTCGATGAAGAGAAAAGCAAGGAAGCACGCTGGGAAGGTGGGGACAGAAGGATAAAGCATTCATGGGTTCAGACCACTTATAGTAGCTGCGGGTTTGCCAACCATTCAAGGACACTGCAATGTCACACAAACACGGCGTGTATTTACTCACTGAATTCACACAGAAATCGTCACAGGGAAGAGAAATATATTTATTTATGCTAACTATAGTTTAGTTTTGATGGAATTGATGGAGAACTACCATATATTGTTTCTTTAATAAAGATAGCATGGACCGCACCATTGCACAGTGGAATTTAGAATTAGCTGGACCTTTGGAGCAGTAGAGGGAGAAGAAAAAAGCTTCAGCGTGAGCTTCATTTATTTTCATTAGCTGTGTCTGTGGTACAGACTCACGCCTGCTGCAAAATTCGGATGCTGCTCTGACTGCTGCTCAATGCATAAACACATCACCCCGAGACGTCTGTCCTTGCTCGACTACCGCCAAGCCTCTGTCACGCGAGGATAATTTTACCTCTGTCGCCCCTCTTTCTCCCATTTTTCACATCCCTTCTATGCACTTCATGCCATTCATCAGCCGTCTCACAGAGGACGGCCTGAGTACCTGCAGCAGCTCTCCAGGGTGCTGAATAGGACGACTGTGGGGGAGGAGGAGGGGTCAAGGGAGGGGGTGGGGGGGCTGCTGCAGCAAGTATTGCTATATGAATTCCTCTTAGGCTTGGGGGTATGGAGTGATAGCAAGCAGGGAGGAGGGATGTGTAGATGCAGAGCGGCCTTTGCAATAGAATGACATGTCCTCCATTAGTGGGAGTCACAAGCAATATTATTCCTCGTTTGCACAAGCAGACACAGAAAGGGCCTGTCAAATATACTGTTTCTGAAATGTATTTTACCCACAATAATCCAGAATCCTTTGTGTTGCTCGTTTCTTTAGAGCTGTATGAAAAATTTCACATCATTCGTCACACTAATCTGACATTTAGTTACTGCCAGGCTGCAGGCCAGTAAACAAAGCTGTAGCTATTTCTTATCTCCTTGTAGAGGTCAAATTTGAGGAGTGAATCTGAAACAATCCCTGATGATGCAAAACTCGCTCTCTTCTCCAATCATGGTGAACAGCCCCACCTGCTGGTGTCTTCTCCCCACCGACACCACGCGGTGCATGGACTCCTCTAGATGCTGCTATTGTGCAAGTGTTTTTTGTTGAGATTAAATTCATGTGAAATATCAAATAATCTCCCAAGCAAATAGGACCGTTCATGGTGGTTGGTTTTTATCAGTGTCAACGCAATGTCGCCAAAGTGAAGATCCTGTTTTCCTTTTTTACATTGTTCTTTCTGTACACATGGCATCCATTGTAGTCTGTCCATCCCGGGAGTGGGATCCCTCCTCTGACGTTCTCCCTAAGGTTTCTTCCCTTTTTTCCCTCTTGAGCTATACAAAATAAAATGAATTGAATTGAATTGAATTTTTAGAAAACCCTTTAAGCAGGACATGCAACTTGTTTGTGCTGCTTCCTAAATATTATACAGAATTGAAACCAATGAAACCATAAACCGAGGGGGATATTCTCCATTCATAGGTCTCTATGCAACAATCAAGTGAGTTCACTTCGTAGACAGACTGTTGATAACCTGATGACCTGCCCCGTGTTGAAATAGTGTCAGAGAATAGTAAGACCGGAAGTAAAGGGAATACTTACACCAGGCTCTGACATTGAACTGCATACATACGCTCGTTTTAAACTGCTCCTTTTTTATTAAAACGTAGGGGTTTGGATACATTCTATAAAACAAGTGCCTCAATATTCAGTATAACGTAATACATCAATTGAAATCAAAGCAAATTGGATCTTTTATTTTGTATTTTATTCTGAAGTGTCGCCGGAAGTGGTGCCCTCCGCGGCTCGGCTCCTATCCGCTAGGAGGAACCAGGAGGGATCCATGCCCGTTCCCAGCGTGGAGAAGGAAGCAGTCCGAGAGAGAGACACACTCACGACGGGACTTAACCAACGCAGAGGAGGAGGAGAAGGAGGAGAAGGAGAAGTGTTTGGCTTTTTACTTCGAAGAGCTTCCTTACATGGGGGACGAGAAAAATGACGTCCACCGCGAGCGAGAGGAGGGCGTTCGCTCATAAAATCAACCGGTGAGACCGCGACGGAAGTTATTGTTTAACAGCCTCAGTCGCGCCGCTTCGCCGTGCGCGAGAGTGACCTGCCGGACGCTGCACGCGCGCGCGCGCGTATGCTAGAATGCTAGGATTTAAAAGAAAACGGGGGGGCATCACTGACCGTAACCCGCTCAGATTAATCACGAGGGAACTTTCCAGTCGGGAAAAGTAACCATTAGTAAAGCAGAGTGCGCGCGCGCGCAGTAACGTCTCTCTTTCTCTTTGAAGTAGCCGGTTGTGCGCGCGACTGCGTAGCATCGCTCGCGCTTTTGTCATCAACAATGCTCGAGCTACTCGAGCGTGTGATGGTCAAGCCGAGTGCTAATCCGATGACCCGGGCTTGTCAGCTTCGAGTACGGCAGCGCCGAGGGAAATGCTCTTCACCTCAGGACATGTCACAAAGTGGGAGAATAAACGTCCGAGTCTTTGTTTTTGAGGCGTGCGAACGCCTCGCATCATCGTAGCAACCTGTTTCCACATGTTGTAAACTGGTTTTCCCTCTCCCATGCAAATGCGTAACGTCGGCAAGCCTCCCACCTTAATCTACTATATCTTATTATACCGAGTTGCCTGTCAATCAACAGGCAAGTCACATGTGTCAACGGACTCTTTGAATAGCATGCCATAACAGCCCCGGTGTGTGTTTGCAGCCATACCTTGCCGCAATATACAAATACAACATTATTTATAATTAAATGGGGATCCTCATTTTTCTCATTCTTAGATTCTTATCATGGACTGAAATCATGTCAGTGCTGTGGCTATTGTAAACTTTGGCCCAGGCTCCATCGCGAGCTGGTTTTATTTTGACATATACGTTACACTCATCGGTAACCCGTCACTTTGTTTATATGGCTGTTAATATCATGTTTAAAAAAAAAAAGATATCTTCATCGAACAGTCTCCCACTGCGTTCCCCAAGTGCCTCTGTCCTCTCCTTAGTGGGACCCGGACCATTGTTTGGTGCCGGATGCAGGAAAGGGAGGGAAGGGGTGTTTTTTTTGTTGCTTTTGCCCTCGCAGCCGATAGCTTTCCTTTTTCCTGTTTTAGATTGAAGGCTGCAGAAATATTTTGTGGATGTAGCAATCGTTAAACTCAAAGCATGCAAAGAAAGGCTTTGTCGTCACCATTATGAAGTCTTGGTGTTCCTTGGAGATGGGAGTAGAGGTCATAGGTCGCCTTTGCTGCATTACAGTCCATGTGATGGCATCAAGGCAGCAGCCCTAGCTGTGAAATCGTGAAGTCTGTGGTTGGGGAAATGTTGAAGCCTTTGCAGCTGTGTATATGAGAGAGACGTTTTGCGGTTCTAGAAGAGCAGCTGCTCGCGGACTGTGTGAGGATCGCTTTTCCTGCTTTGTCCCTCTTTAAGCCTCCCATTTGCCGTTCATTCCATGTCCATGAAGGCCGCGCACAGAGTTCTGGCTCTGTGCCTGCTCCCCGGGGCCAGCTCACCACCCCTCTGTGAGATCCACTCCAGTCCCTATTCAGAGCAGCTGCCGGCCTCTGGCGTCGCTACTCCGGACCGGAAGCCGAAAACTTCTTCCGCTTCGCACTTCTACCCACGAACCCTGAAAAATGTCAATGAGCTGCATCAATTTGAAAGTACTTTTTATCTATGCAGATTTCTCCAGGATTGTAAAACAAACAATTTCTTCTTATTTATTTATCTATAACCACACCAAACATCTCGTACATTAACAGGATTTTTATTCATGCCAGTAAACTTGTGCCTTTGCTCTCTGTTAACTGTCTTTACAAACCCTTGTTTTCCTTCTCATGCTCAGGACGGTAGCTGCAGAGGTCCGAAAACAAGTGTCCAGAGACTACGGCTCTCCCCTGCTGACCAAGAAACGAGGAGGCGCACACCAGCCTGTGAGTCGCCTTGTGTTTGACCTGCCTCGGTTCCAAGCTCGTAGGTCCGAAGCTCCAGTTAGTCGTGAGGTGATGGGTGTATTTTAGGTTTAGGGTTTGACAATAATAAAGTGCAGATGAGTGTACTTTTAATTAGTGTGGAGGGAGTCTTTGAAACATGAGAAACCTACCCTCGCTCACCTGATTTGTTTTACAGCCAAGCAAGGTTTTTGCATGGATGCCTATCCAAAATAGAGTAATGGGAAAGTTATACGGGTATAAGAGAGCGTGTCGTGGACTGTTTCTGTTTTGTTTGACCATGAATAGTGCATGGACTCCACTGTGAACCACAAACCAGACACAAGTTGTTGAGTAGAGAACGCAAACGCAGTTCATTCAACATATTCTCCATGAGAGAGATGAGGGATAATGAGATTTTTAGGCTCATCTATGTAAACTCTAATTGCTTTTGCACCCAGTAAGTGACTGCTAGTAGTAATTGCTGTGACAAATGTGTCTACTGTAACATTAACTAGTATGCAGTAAATGCACCCAGATTGGAAAACTGGAGCATGCTTCAACAGCGGTTTGCCAGGATGAAATATGGATTAAGATTGTCGAAAGAATTCACACAATATCAATCTTTAACTTTGCGAGTTTAGGGAGGTGGAGAGAGAGAGTCCGTAGCTGTAATTGTAATCTTTTAAACATCAGTTATCACAAATGATGATATATAGATATATATGGCGACTCCCCTAATTCAAATTCACCGTCACACTCCTGCTGTCACATCTTTTGTAAATGTGCATTGTGCAGGTCTATAGAGGAAATATTGTGCTCATTTTCTGGTCTATTCATGTATTTGGGGTTTGTAATAGTACTTGGTGTCATGTAAAACAAAATAATATACCTGTATCCGTGAGAGGTGCCCGTACACTTTTATTTTAATTAGTTGACGTTGATTAACCTGTTTTCAATGTTTCGTATCGGTTATAAATGCCTCTCCTCACAGCATCCTACCATTGTCCGTTGTAAGTCCTTCTGGGCAGATTCGGATGTGTCTTCATGGCTGTGTCCTAGTTATCGGTACATGACAGTCTAATGTTGATTGACAGCTGCCCCTGACGGAGGTGGTGGAGCCGGTGGACTTTGAGGAGTATGTGAGCAGTCACGCTCCCGGGGTGGAGCCCGGTCCGCTCAGACAGCTAACGGAGTTCCCCCACGACGACCTGGAGCTCCTCCAGCTGGACAAAGAGTGCACGACACTGGAGCCTCCGCTGCCCGAGGAGGACGAGTGAGTCCAGCCGCTAATGGCCAGGGCAACACATGTCTCGCTGTGGCATTTACACTACCCCACGCACAAATGATCAAAACCACTGTAATGGAGGACAAACATCACGCCAGAGAGCAACAAAGGCTTTCTCTGTGCGACGCTGAACGAACATAAATATTAAAAGCATGCTTTGCTCAATTATTCATGTGTGTCTCTCTGTAGCGCCCTGGATCCCAGGGTGAGAGACGCCCTGGCAGTCTACACAGAAGACTGGCTCGTCATTCAAAGGAAGTAAGTGGCGTCGGCTGCGGTGCGAGCTGAATAAACCTCCAGAACATGTTTCGGTGTCCTTATTTCAAGTAGCTGTCACCGTTCGTGTGATAGTTGCATTAGTACTGGGCCAACTTTCCTTTTTGTCTGGCTTTTCTGTAGATATCTGCCCTACAGCACCACGTACACCCCTCACAACTCTGAGCGCCAGAGGGAGAGGCAGCGCGGGTTGGTCAAACAGACCTTTGAGCTGGATGAGGCTGCTGCTGCTGAGCGCCAGGACGACCAGGTAGCTGATGTTCAAAGGACTCCGGGTTCATGAAACTAACCCTAACAGTGCTGCCAAGAGTTAAAGCTCCGAGGCATCGTCACCATCATCATCATCTAATACCTGGACAAAGAGATGTGGAGAATGTGTCTCATTAATATAGGAAAGACATTATGAGTAATGGATTAATGTATGCACGTTGCCTATTATTCATTAAACAGTCTCTGTAGGAGTCATATTCAATGAGTAATGAGGTAATGGGATCCGTAGTGTATTCTCCTTGTGTTTCTAAAACATCTTCCTCTGGGATGAGAGAAAACGCATGATCTCACTGCCCGTCTCTCTCTTCTGTGCTTTCAGGATGACGCAAAGCGCCGGTCGGTCAGCCTCGACGAGACCCCCCGGGGGAGCTGGGCCTCCAGTATCTTTGACCTGAAGAATTCCTCCCCGGACGCTCTCCTGCCGTCCGTGCTGGAACGTGCGGCCGCAGAGGAGATGGACCGGCGTAATACCGAGGCACGCCTGCAGGGGCGCCACAGCGCCCTGCTGGGCCTGTACCCGCCCCCCGATGAGGTGTGTAGTAACCCAACCTGAAGCTGTCTCTGCTGGAACAGGCTTTGTTAAAGGGATCATTTGAGGCCTTTGAAGTGGGGTCTCATGAGCTTAATACCCCCGCCGGTGTATCGGCTAAAGTAGACGACGATCGGCACCCAAGCGCTTTGGGGGAACAGACCGGAGAACCAGCGCGGGAACACAGGCACTGCTGGACACCCGCAACATTATTTTTAGAAACCTAGAAAAATAAAAAACAACAAGCGTACGCTGTTTTTAGAATATTTCTCCCATTTTTACATTGTGATCAGAAAAAATACTTTATTTTACAAATAAGTATCCTTAATGACTACATCATTATTGTGTTGAATAATACATCTATCTGTTATGCTTTACCAAAGGATGCAGGGTGTCTAGTAGCTCTGTACAGACTTAAAAATTAGATGCTATCACAAGGCACATACGTAGTGAGGGAGGGGATTATCTAAAGCTTAATCTAGCTACCAACTACTACCAACTGAAACGTGTTTGACAACACAGATTAGTTTGAGCGTAATCTCAGAGATCACTACTTAAAAGACGCTCACTTGGTAGATGTAGTTGCTATTTGTTCATCTCTAGGTAACGTTGAATGTTCCCTTAAAGCAAACGTCTGCCAACCTTTCCACTTCTGCACGGAACGGTTTGCTTTTCTCTCTCCTCTTTTCTCCTTCCGTTCTCCTTCCTTTATAGCTGAGTACACACTGTCTCTCTCTCTCTGCCGCTGCGTTGTCATGACATCTGTGTAAATGTTTTGCCGGCGTGTGCATTGTACATGGCTTTTTTCTGTGTGTGTCGGGCAGGATGAAGCAGTAGAGCGATGCTCTGTCCCTGAAGTGCCCAAGGAGCACTGTGGCCAGAGAATCATGGTCAAGTGTCTGTCACTGAAGTGGGTAACATTTGGGTTATAATAACTGAGATTTATTGTAAATACCTGCGCCGATCCCCATATCGAACTTAATTTTGTTTATGTTTTTCAGGTTTGAAATAGAAATTGAGCCGATATTTGGAACACTTGCCCTATATGATGTCAAGGAGAAGAAAAAGGTATTTGTTTTTGTTCCAGCCAATCATTTCTATTAGATCAAATTAGTATTTTTCCTACGACCACTCCGCAAAACTGATTACGTAATGCTGAGCTCATGCTTAACTAATTGAATTCCCCTTGTCTGAAAAAGGTCTAAGTGCTCTTGCGGTTTAGATCACTGAGTCCAAACTGAATTAAAATCCCTTGAGGTTCATGTCCATTTTCGGCTTTCCTTCCCCTCCTGCTGCTGTTTCCCGCTTATCTCAATCTTCCCTCCAACAGATCTCTGAGAATTTCTACTTCGACCTGAACTCGGATCAGATGAAAGGGCTGCTCAAACCCCACACACCTCACATAGCCATTTCCACACTGGCGCGGTCAGCCATTTTCTCCATCACTTACCCTTCTGCTGATATCTTCTTGGTCATCAAGGTACTGAGAGAACCCACTTTTACTCAGATGAATGAAAATGTTAGTTTAATGAAATGATGTTTGCTCTTGAAGAACTCAGAGGCTTCTCAACGTGACAAATTATTACTCTGTGATAAAAGATGCGCTTCGTGTATTTCAGCTTGAGAAAGTCCTTCAACAAGGAGACATTGGAGAGTGTTGTGAACCCTACATGGTCATGAAAGAGTCCGATTCGTCCAAGGTAACGGAGCCAAAGAATGTGTTATAAACTGTTGCAATGCTCGGGGGGCCTTCGACCAGTGCGCACACGGGGCCCTTTTCGCTTCCCAGCGACAAGCGTTGCTCAATTCTGTCTGGGCCGCTGCAATATTTACCATCGTCTGAGGCAACTCATCCCCGTTGGCCACTGCAGATAGTTGATATTTTATCTCGCCTGCTCTTCGTCCCGCCGCAGCACAAGGAGAAGCTGGAGAAGCTGCGTCTGCAGGCGGAGCAGTCGTGCGGCCGTCTCGGCCAATTTCGAATGCCTTTTGCCTGGACGGCCATTCACCTGCTGAACATCGTCAGCAGCGTGGGCGGTCTGGATCGGTCGGACCCCGACTCTGACTCTGGTACCGCCGAGTTCAAGCACCTCCCCATGTTTTACACGGGCTCATACATGCCTGTGCAGAGAGCATCATTTACCGCCATGCACACGTAACCCTAACGTATGAATTCTCTTCCCGCCAGAGCGGAAAGGTCACGGGACGTGGAATGAGAGGAAGAAGAAGGGCTTTGAGCGGATGAGTGTTGGAGATGAGCTGTGCAACTTTGCCACTTTCCGTCCAGCAACACTGACCGTCACCAACTTCTTTAAACAGGTCCGACCGACGTCTTATGCCTCATTTATCGGTTAATATTGTATATTGATGTGGGATGTAATTTAGCTAAACAGAAGAAAAGCTATATTTAATTTTAATACATAGTTTATTACAACTGTCTCCATTGAGTTGAAAAGTGTCCAATTACCTTTTTTTGTAACACGTCATTGCTTAAGACTTGTTTGACAATTGGATGAAAACATTGCTATTTCAGTACAGCACTGTGTATTTCAGCACTAACACCCACATCACACTTAGATATTTGCACGAGCAAAAAGCAGCTGTGCTCTTGTTTGTCTCCCTGAAGGAGGGGGACAGGCTGAGTGACGAGGACCTCTACAAGTACCTGGCAGATATGCGCCGACCGTCCTCCGTTCTGCGCCGACTGAGGCCCGTCACAGGTCAGCGCCGCACGCTCACGCCGTCAGCATGTGTAAGTCAAAACCCTCTTTGTTTTCACGTTGAACTGATGATTTGTAATTTTTGTCCCTCAGCCCAGTTAAAGATTGACATCTCTCCGGCTCCGGACTCGCCTCATTACTGTCTGTCACCTGAGCTGCTTCACGTGAAGCCGTACCCCGACCTGCGTGTTCGCCCGACAAAGGACGTGCTGGAGTTCCCTGCTCGCCACGTGTACACGCCCCATACCACCTACAGGTGAGTGATTTCCCCCCCCCACACACACACACACACACACACTCATGCACGCACACACACACACACAGTCACCCGTGTGCACATACAAGTTGACCCTTATAACACATGTCCTGCATGTTGAGTCGTTGTCCTGCTCCCTTCTGTCTGCAGTTTTAACCTTAATTGTGAGATGTGTAAATACAAGAAACAAGCCATTGTGTCTGTTTCTTTTCTATACATGTATTGACATATTACACATCTGTACAATCTTTAATAATTTAACAGCTTTATTTAAATGGCTCTCTAAAAAGTTCTTTACTTGTATTTCAAAGTCAAGATAAACAAAAGGCATAAAATTGTTGACAGCCACAAGGACAAAAACATAAGACTACTAAAAATATATTTTCTGTCCGTGTAGTAGTTTTATAGCAGTCATCGTGGGGTTGGAAGGGAGTGCAGTGACTTTATACAGATGAAATCCGGGAGAATAGTAAAACTATGACATAGTTTCACTCTGGAAGACAAATGAAACAGTTCCTTGAATTATGTGAAAAGGTTAAAGGTTCAAAACACAACATGATATGTTTACTGTCTCACCATCTTCTGGAGTTGGGAGAGCTTCTTATTCTGAGTCTCAATATTCTCTTTTTGGTACTGGGTCAAATGCTGTAAACCTTTCAAGAGTTTGGCTTGCTCCTTTGCTCTTTCCTAAAAACAGGCGTGTCGTTAAATCAACTTTGTGTCAGCAAATCAGCGGCTGGTGTTCGAACATGCAACGGCGCCGCGTGCTCCAAAAGCAAATATTGTCCGCGAGGGGGGGTTCTGTTACCTGCAGCCCTTTGATGCTCATGTTGGAGTGGAGATACATCTCCAACTTCTGCACTTTGGTTTTCAGCTCCGCCTCTTCCTGCTCCAAGCTGGCCAGGCAGTCTCTAGTCATCTTGGTCTGAGCCCGTTGCTCGGCCATCTGGTTCTGTCAAAAGAGCATCTGCCAAAATTATCCTCCTCCCCCGACCAGGATCCCCACAGTGCGAGAGGCAGCTTTCCAATGACGCGCTCGCTCTCTTATCTCGGATGAAAGCGCAGCATCCATCCATATGCATCACGGAAACGCATTAAAGAATATGCTGATTATTCGTCTTACAAAAGGAAAGCACGAGACGCCAGAAGAAGAGCAGTTAAAGAAGTTTTTAAGTTTTTAAACGTGTAGTTTAACACTTTTGCAGCTGAAGCAAAAGTTCAATCAGATTCCACATACTTGACGTACTGTCTCTACCTGCATGTTGTGCCTTCTTAGATCTCGGTTTGATTTTAATCTTCCTCATAACCGTTGAACAGCACATAAGGAATATTTCCTTACCTGAAGCAGCTGTATCACCTCTTTCATCTGTTTCTCCACGCGGGCAGCGTGCTCGGTCTCCCTCCCCAGATTTTGGAGAGTCCCCTCGTGGCTCCTCAAAGTTTGATGTATTTTGGCGATCTTTGCCTCGGTGGTTTCAAAAACATAGTTCAGGGATTCGCTTAGCTGTATGACACCAAACATGAGCACGTTGACCTCTTGCTCCGGCGCGGCCTTGTCCTCCGTCCTCCCGGTCTGCACGACCGGACCCGCGTGGGCCGCTTGGAAGCTCGCGGCCAAGCAGAGCAGCCACGGACCCCAGATCGTCTTCATCATACCGGTCTGATGCAAGATTTTTTTTAAATGAGGAAATCTTTCTTTTTTTATTTGTCTATTGCAGCTGTGCAGATGTTGGCAGGAGGATGAAGTAGGAGGGTGTTGCGTGCGCCTTATATCGCATGTGTACATGCAATACCGTGGTAAAACATTAGCTCAGCTGTGGCTTGATAGCAGGTCTTGTCCGTGGCCTCCGTAACCTCGCCTTGAAGTTTAACCCCCGGGGGTCTATTTCTGTCTTTTTAGGACAAAAAAACATATGACATTCATAACAATACGCATGACACTGTGTAATGATGCAGAAATGTACTGCATGAGCGAGATGATCTGCGTGTTAATTAAACTTATTTTAAAGAGATCCGTCACTGCCTCTTGACAAGCAGATAAACTAAACTGTTTCAAATATGAACTAATGTTACCGTGAGTAACATTGTTTATTTTGGACAGGAGTTGAGGTGACATTTGCCAACTCAAATACTGAGTCACACTTTTCCCATGTGCAAAGCTGACACTCGTTATCTCTTTTCTTTTCTAATAGGTACAACGTATAATGTCACATAAAATGATAAATACTTTCGTAGGCTGTCGGGAAGAATACAAGCTTATACTTTGGTGTGAAACTGTCTCCCTTTGACTGAGTATTCATAATTTAATTATCCAACACACATTGTTCCCTTTTACTCATTAATGCATTTTTTATTCTGTCCTTGTCATCTCTCTCTCTCTCTCTGCGTGGCATAATTCCGCCCTTCAGAAACTTGCTGTATGTTTACCCACAAAGTCTGAACTTCAGCAGTCGTCAGGGCTCAGTGAGGAACATTGCTGTGAAGGTCCAGTTCATGGCGGGCGAGGACCCCGGGCAAGCTCTGTCGGTGAGTCGCTGCCTCCGTGAGAGCAAAATGATCATAAAAAGCTCGAGGCAGAAACACGATGTACCTCTTCCTCGGAAGATGGGTCTTCTTCCCAGGGGAGGTTTTTATAAGCACAGAGGGAAGGAACGTTTTACTGGGGCCGCTTTCTTAATTGTGTCCTAAATGTTGAAGGATATTCTTGTAGTTTTCTCATTTGTGGATAAAACAGAAATGTTCCTCTAACTCGAGTCTAAAATATACTCTCTTCCCCTTTTAACTAGGAAGATAGAATAGCAAGTCACAATTATTAATATTGAAAAAGATTTTAATACAATAAGGATAATATCAATAATTGTCGCTGTTTACATTTTGATTACATTAGTTAATTATTTTCTGTTTTCTGTTATTTAATGTTTAATTTTGTATTTGTTGATGATTACCAAATCTTTTGTAACATTTTAAGAATTTTTAAAATTGATCATTTGATTTAATCATAGTGTTTACAATCCAATTAAATAACATATTATCCAACCGACTATCAAAATAATATACTAATACATCCAAATAAGGTTTATAGACTGTTTATACATGTTGTCCACAATATTTAAAGATGACTTTCATTAAACTATTTAAAGGCATTTGGTAGAACGTTGAATACAAACCGTTAAAACAACTACAATCAACTACAGCATCACCACAAATGATCAAATATTATTAATCATCATTTCAATATTAACAGTACTAATACTGTGCTGTTTGACCAGGTCATCTTTGGGAAGTCGAGTTGTTCCGAGTTCATTCGAGACGCGTACACCCCCATCATCTACCACAACAAGTAAGGCTCCGTCACCCGCCGCCCTTCGATTCGAGTCCCTCCAGCGTCCTCGTGTCATCCTTCCAACGTTGTGTTTAACTCTCACCTCCAAAGGTCTCCTGAGTTCTATGAGGAGATTAAAATGAAGATTCCTGCCAACCTGACAGACAACCACCATCTGCTGTTCACCTTCTTCCACATCAGCTGCCAGACCAAACAGAACACTCCTCTGGAGACGCCTGTGGGCTACACGGTGAGTGGTCTCCCGTCGGCCCGCCCACGCCTTCCACTTCCACACTCGCACGCCGACTTGTCTTCTGGCTGCTCCTGATCGCGTGTCTCTTTTCTCCTCTCTCCGCCCGCAGTGGATCCCTCTGATGCAGCACGGCCGACTCCGCACCGGCTCCTTCAGTTTGCCCGTCTCGGTGGAAAAGCCCCCGCCCAGCTACTCCGTGCTCACCCCCGACGTGAGTTTGTTTTTAAAGGGCTTGTGTCGGTCTGCCTGCCGTTGCCCTCCTGCTGTGTGAAGTGTTGAATGGGTTGGATGTCACTCTGCGGCAGGTTCAGCTCCCGGGCATGAAGTGGGTGGATAATCACAAAGGCGTGTTTAACGTCGAGGTGACGGCGGCCTCCTCGGTTCATACTCAGGTACACACATTTATGTACTATAGGTTCTGCTTTTCCACCTGCTTTTTCCTCCCACCGTTTATTCAATGCTGTAGTTTTGTTTACTAATTTAGGAAATTATTCAGCTAGTACGTCTGTACATGTGAGTAGTTTTTATTAACTTTATTAGTCTCTTTCTCTCCAATCAATATTGGAAAAGTCACAGTCACTATTTTTTTTTGAGTGGATTTCTATTGAATTTAATTCCTGGCAAGTTCAAATTCACCCAGGTCAAGTGATACTTAGTCTGTATTCTGTTGTTAACACCAGGACCCCCACCTGGATAAGTTCTTCACTCTAGTGTACGTTCTGGAGGAGTACTCCTTCCCCTTCCGCCTGAAGGACGTCATCATCAGCGAGGCGAACATGGAGGGGGAGCTGAAGGCCAGCATGGCTGCGTTGAGAGGAGCTCTGCTGGATACCTGTGTCAGGTTCCTGCACCAGCTGCTCAACAAGCTCATTCAGCTCATCATCTACCCACCGGTCATCGCCGGGCAGATCGGTGAGCGAGTTCTGAAGGACCGCCATTTGGGATTTGAAGTGCACTTCTCGGAGCAAGGACAGAATGCTAATTCTGCTCATTTGAGTGGATAACGGGATGGTGGTTAAGGAGATGACGAGAGCACACGGGTTGATTTGCAGCCTATTAATGTGACGCGTTTGTGTGTTTGCACAATTAAAGGCCGCGAATCCGAGAGGCAACGTGTTTATCTGCACGCTGCTGGTAAATGAGGGAGGAACCCTGTTTTCGAAATGAATAATGATGTTTACGTTGATTTAAGCAACACAATTTACTGTACAACCAAACATTTCAGCACAAGACAATAACTGTAAGTCACTGTCTGTCATCTGTCTATCAGATGTGGTAGATGCCAATATCATAATCAATTTAAAAAAGGTTCCCAGTCATAGTTTTGAGTGCTGCATCCACAGTGAACCTGGGCCGGGCTGCATTCGAAGCTATGGCCTTATTGGTCAACCAGATCCACAAGAACCTGGAGGGCAACCAGGACCAACACGGCCGCAACAACCTGCTGGCGTCCTACGTCCACTACTGCTTCCGCCTGCCGACCGCCGAGCCGACGGTGCCCCCAGCAGGTGAGTCTCCCGTCCGGAGCGCCTGAGAAGCGGAGAGAGAGTCATTCCATTGGGCTCGTGCATGTTGTTTACTTTGTGTAATTTCTCTTCGTCCGTGTCCATGAGAAGCCGGCGCGCAGTCCTACGACATGCCGATGCAATACGCCACCTTGTCGAGGACAACCGTCCGGCCGAGCAGCCTCCAGCTGGCCCGCTCCAAGAGTATCAGCAACTCCAACCCGGACCTGGCCAGCACCCCGGTTTCTCCCGACGAGGAGGTGCAGAGGATCATCGCCGGCAAGGTGAGCTGCAGCTCTCTTTCAAAATATGTGTATCTTTTTAGAATTACAAAACTATTGCTGGAGTTTATTGTGTGTGGAACGCTTTGAAGTAGGGCTGTACAAAATTGTTTGTTCATTCATGAAAATTACATCATAATTCTAAAACATTTGCATGACATTCCTTTTTATTTACTTTTTATTTTTTCCAGCATTCATGTTCAATGTTAAATAATGAATTTTGTCACACACTTTATAATCCTGGACGTCTGTGATGTGTTTGGCTCCACTGATGTATTATCCCTTTGTTTTTATTCTGTTAGAAAGAAACAGGTGTTCGTTGTGTTCTGTAGATTTAATGCGCTCGGGTCGACCGATAACTTGCCAACAGTTAACGACGCTGTTGTCAAATTTGCAGTTGCACTTTGTGCCCCCGTCCCTCGTGTTGCGTTCAGTTCCTTTGCTCTCCCCTTTGCTGATTCAAGCTTCACTTCTCTACACCCCCTTTTTTTTTTCCTTAATTTTGTTTCTCCCCGGTTTTATCTGTCAAATAATCTTGTGTGGTAATTGCCCTCCCTTTACTCACTGTACCCTCGCCTCTTGCCGCACTGTGTGTTTGTGTGCGTGTGTTTTTGTGTGCGTCTGCGGTGGCTTGCGGCAGGGTATTGACCGTTCCCACTCCTGGGTAAACTCTGCTTATGCCCCCGGGGGCTCCAGATCTGTGCTACGCCGAAACCCAAACTCCAGCTGTGAGCTCAAGCAGGTGCCAAATCCCTCCTCCTCCTTCTCCTCCTTCTCACCTTCACTACCTCACCACCTCCATCCTGCACCACCTCTGATCAACTCTCGTGGGTCTTTTCCCACCTCAGACCTCAAAGGTTTTGTCCGTTTCTGTGTGCCTCTCCCTCTGCTCGCCGTGTCCTACCTGTCAGTTTCACGATTCATCCTCTCACCGCCAACTAACAGGCCAGAGCTGCTGTGTTCGAGCGACATAATCTCTGTCCGGGGCTCTTCAGAGTTCCTGCCAGAGTTCACAGAGTTCTCTGTTCAACCATTCATTTCCATTCATCCCTTTTCACATCACTTTGTCCTCATCTCTGTGTTCACCTCACCGCCGCTCCATGTCAGGCAAACCACCGCAGCTGCAATCGCATGTCTGCCTATCTGGACAGCGTGGCCTTGTTTTCAGTTCCCACAAGGCAGATTACAAAGAAGGTAAAACTGACTTCTCCCGTAACAAACTGTGAAAGTGTCATTCTCAAAAGAATACAACAATTGATTAACTTTCCGTGTCATGAACACTAATCACATGACATTTCAAACATCAGCTGTGTCTTTCTGGGGTGAATTGTTCTTTTTTTAATACACTGACATGTTATCAGCCCTGCCTGAAAACTTGAGGCCTGAGGCAGACATACTAATAAATAAGTCAAATGCATTTTTAACATGAATGAATCATTTTAATAAAGCTTCATTTATTTATTTACAGTCTCACTGTTATCTTTTACAAATCACAGAGCCAGTTCATCCTGTAATAACAAACCAAATACAAACCCCTTTAACCCTTATGGTTCATCTGGTCTGTAAGCTAAAGTGACCTGTGTTGGTTCCCGTGTAGCTGCTGCACGAGGAGCTGGCGTTGCAGTGGGTGGTCAGCACCAGCTCGGTGAGGGAGGCGGCGCTGCAGCAAGCCTGGTTTTTCTTCCAGCTCTTGGTGAGTCGCTCTTTGTGCACGAATTCTCAAGTTGCACCACTTTCTCACATGTTGACTGGCTCACCGGCCCCCTATCCAGTCAGTGAATGAGCCACAGTAGATGGATAGAGACGCACCCCGTGTTTGGAGAATAGAGTTGCGGAATGGGAGCAGCAGAGTAATATTACCCGGCCCTGGACGGAAGGAGGCAGCAAAACCTGTTCACGACACTAAAGGAATAAATATAATTTAGTTAGTTTTTAACTATATTTAGAACATTTTCACTACTTAACAACCCTTTAGACTGCCCTGTCGGATGGGGAACGGGAGCGGTATCTATTCTCTCTTCAAAGCAACTAGAAAAACCTGTATTCTACTTAAAAGAACATGTGAGTAGGTTATAATCCGCTGCCTCGATTGGTCATTTTGTCAGTGTTGTTGTGTAACTTGTTTTTAGAAGCTTTGCTAAAATGTAATCTGCAATCCTGGTGTTCTTCAAAGTAAAGGGACCGTTATTGACAATGGATGAACTCTTATGACTTTTGAAGAGACAATAGATAACTGCTTCACCTCCCTGGCAGAAAAGGGCTGTTTGCTCCCGTTTTGGCATTAGTTTCTTTGTGCCGGTCGCTAATACGAATGTGCTAAAACCCACTTCAAAACATCCCAAAACAAGCCTTCAAAACACACATACCAGATGGGATTATCAAAGCAGGATGTTCCTGCTGAAGTGCATTTCTCATTTACTCCGCCCTCTAGACAAAGAGCATGACCCATCACTTATTCCTGACCTCCAAATTGGACGTTCCCCGGCGTCAGCGTTTCCCAGACCGCTTTGTGGACGACGTCGCTGCACTTGTGTGTGCCATCAGTGCAGACATCTCCACTCGATACCACAAGGTAAGAGCCCACACTGCACACTACAAGCAATGCTTTATCCGTTATTGGTATCATTTATTTAAATAAGCCTGTTTATCTTTTGATATCACATCTCTTTCATGTGCTCCTGCTCGTTGCCATCCTCTCTCTCAGGATGTGGAGCTTGTGGAGAGGCTGAATAGCAGTCTGGCCTTCTTCCTGAACGACCTGCTGTCTCTCATGGACCGGGGCTTTGTGTTCAACCTCATCCGCTCCTACTACAAACAGGTGGGTCTATTTCTTCCCTCTTGTTTGCCTTTCACACCGAACACTTTGAATTCCAGCGCTCCCACGCACATTGTGGAACAGCTTTCACTGACTCGAGCAAACGTGTGTTTTTAACAGATTGGCAACAAGCTTCACACGGCGCAGAACCCCAGCGCTCTGATCGCCCTGAGAGTGGACTTCACTCGCATCGTCTGCAGCCACGAGCACTACGTCGCCCTCAACCTGCCGTGCTCCACCCTCAGCCCTCCGGCCTCCCCCTCACCCTCCACCTCCTCCACCACCTCACAGGCACTGGAGGAACAATCCAACCGATCCAAACTGCTCACGTTTTATTTTCGTGTACTTCTAATCTCAACTTCTTCCCCCCCTATTGTTTTTTGATACAGAGTTCTGCCTTTTCCAGTATGGTGCAAGACCAGGGAGTGGCCACCATGTTTGATCTCTCCGTCCCTTTCCGCCAGCAGCACTTCCTGTCCGGGCTGCTGCTTACTGAGCTCGCGCTCATCCTCGACCCCGATGGAGAATGGTAGGTTCCCACTCGTTGCTCAATAATGCAATAAGCAGCATTAAGTACAGGTGCACAGCGAGAAACACACAAAATGTGCTGATCCACTTTTATTTTTTTTACCCGTAGGGTTTTCTTCCTTCATAAAAAGGCCATCAGTGCTGTCCACTCCCTGCTGTGCAGCCACGATGCAGACCTTCGTTACACTGACCCTCAGGTCAGAGCCCACATCGCTCAGCTCTACCTGCCTCTCATCCCCATCGTCATGGACACGTTTCCTCAGCTGCACGACTTCTCTGGTGAGCACAACATTGACCCACCGGCCATCCGCCTCCTCCGCACATTTATTGCACAATGGGTTTCCTATTTGTTTCATATTTATTTGTTTCTCATTTCTTTCTAGACCCCTCTCCTGCTCGGTGCCGCCACGCTTCAGCCCACGCCGACGATACCGACCCAGACAGCGGCAACACTATCAGTCAGTCTGTTGCCATGGCGATTGCCGGCTCCCCGTTGCCGCATGTCAAAGCCAACCCGTTTGCGCTGCCCACAGCGGTGAGTGATAGCAGCCGGGGTCAGGCTGTCTCCCCCTCCCGGGCTTACAGACTGACAGGTCACAGATCAGCTGTTGTGTGGGAGGCGTTCACTCTGTACAGACACTCACTCAAAAAACATTGGCATTCCTCCCGTGTTACTCCTCTTAGCCTGTAGGTGTCTCTCTGTCCGTTTAGTTTATATCTGTCTGTAAATCTGACATTTTGAACGCATCAGATTAAAAGACTGGCACTGGGTCTGGGTGTTTGTCTTCGGCAGGCCGGGCGCCAGTCCAACTCTCTGTCTGCCGAGTGCAGCAGGACTCTGCTGGTGAGCTTCCTGTGGGTTCTGAAGAATGCAGATGCTGTTCTCCTGGAGCGCTGGGTGTCCGATTTATCCGTCCTGCAGATCAACCGCCTGCTGGATCTGCTGCATCTCTGTGTGTCCTGCTTTGAATACAAGGTACAACAAACCAGGCTCTTTACCGTCTATGAGGGTCCCCCACTGCAGGCAAAACTAATTTACACATGACGGAGCTACACAAATGAAATGAAATTGAAATTTCCCATTATATCTTTTGTGGTTTTCTTGCCCCTGTCCTGTGGTGTTTGATGGTTACTGTAGGGGAGGAAGTCTCTGGAGAGGATCAACAGCCTGACGTTTAAAAAGTCTCAGGACATGAAGGCCCGACTGGAAGAGGCCATACTGGGAACCATCGGGGCTCGTCAGGAGATGGTCCGCCGCTGCAGGGGTGGGCAGCATTAGAGCAGCCAGCAGTGTGTGAGGGCGTGTGTATAAACATATACTCATGGGAACTGTGATTTGTTTACTTTATCGCAGAAAGGAGTCCCTACGGAAGCCAAGAGAATGTCAGGTGGAGGAAGAATGTCACTCACTGGAGACAAAACACAGACCGAGTCGACAAGTATGTTTACATGAGTAAAAATACTGCTAGACTTCTGGATTAGACTCTACATTAAATGCGTAGCATAATAATAGGTTATCTCTTCGTTTTAAGAGTGTTTAAAGGTCACTGTGATGGTTGTGAAACGCTTACAGGACTAAAGCTGAGGTGGAGCAGGAGTCGGTGGTGGATGGCAACTTGGCCACTGAGGCCTCTCTGATCGTACTGGACACACTGGAGATTGTAGTCAAGGTAAAGTCGTAAAAATCGGCGTTGTCACCATCACCGCACACGGTGGCGTTCCTGTAGACTCACCTCGCTGTATTTTGTTGTGTATCTCCGTCAGACTGTGGTGGCTTCAGAGCTAAAGGAAAGTGTTCTGGGTGGAGTGTTGAGAGTTCTCCTCCACAGCATGGCGGGCAACCAGAGCGCCCTCTTCCTGCAGCACTGCTTCACTACACAGAGAGCTCTGGTCTTCAAGGTACACGTGTGTTCTAGTTTACTGTCTGTTTTAATAATTGTTTTACATGAACATGGGTTCAGTAATTGAGATACAACTGGTGATTTTGAAGTATTCCTTTCATTGGCGTTGCATGTACAAAGACCTTACATTTTAAAGTACCAAAAAGAAAATGACACCCAATATATTTGCGTACGGAATATACAAAGTGCGGTTTGTGTCTGTAGTTCCCAGAGATGCTGTTTGAAGAGGACACGGAGCTTTGTGCCGACCTGTGCCTGCGGCTCCTGCGTCACTGCAGCAGTAGCGTCGGCTCCGTCAGAAGTCACGCCTCCGCTTCTCTTTACCTGCTCATGAGGCAGAACTTTGAGATTGGAAATGTAAGTTTGAATGCTGTCTTTACATTGTAGATTTTTATTTTAATGTACTCGTTCTAACCAGGAGTTCACCAGTAAAACAAAATAGATCTACCAGACACATACAGGGTGTTTAAGGAAAAGATGTGGTGTGTTTAGTCTCCTCATGCACATGTGCGTGTAGTTAGATATTTCTGTTGTGATACAAACGGCACAATTCAATAGTATTTTTGAAAACGTTTTTATTAAATGTACATCTCTAGGTGACACGCAACGTACGAGCATGAATCAGCCTTAGCTAGTGAGGATACTTTTCTGTGCACCCACCTGTAATTTTTGAGAAAATGGAAGTTTTAATCCCATTGTGAGTCACAATCTGTCCTTTTTTTTTTAATCCTTGGAGCAGAACTTTGCTCGAGTGAAGATGCAGGTCACAATGTCCCTCTCCTCACTGGTGGGAACGTCGCAAAACTTTAACGAGGAGCATCTTCGACACTCGCTCAAGACGATCCTGACGTACGCTGAAGAGGACCTGGAGTTGCGCGACACGCCCTTCCCAGAGCAGGTACGTAACCGTAACTCTGTCAGTCTCATCTGAAGCTGCAAGACCTATGAAGTGATGTCTGCTGTGTTGCACTTTTGAAAACACGCAGGTCCAGGATTTGGTGTTCAACCTGCACATGATTCTTACTGACACGGTCAAGATGAAAGAGCATCAACAGGATCCAGAGATGCTCATTGACCTGATGTACAGGTACTGTGATGCACGTTTATGCAGCCTTGTACGCAGCAGGAAAGTGTCAGAAAAGAACTCTGATATGTAACTATTTTTCTATCGTATAGGATTGCAAAGGGCTACCAAAACTCGCCTGACCTGCGTCTGACGTGGCTCCAGAATATGGCAGGAAAACACTCGGAGAGAGGGAACCACGCCGAAGCGGCCCACTGTCTGGTCCACAGCGCAGCGCTGGTGGCTGAATACCTCAACATGCTGGAGGACTGCCGCTACCTGCCAATTGGTTGTGTGACGTTTCAGGTCGGTGCATGCTTTTTTAATATGGTGACTCACTCTAACCGCGGCAGTGTGGCAGAATGAGATTAGAGGCTGTCCCTAAACTGCACCACCAAGACTAAAACGGGCAATTGATTAAGAGTTGTGGCCTTTAAATTTGTTCTGTTGCCCGTTTGTTACCTCAGAATATTTCGTCCAACGTATTGGAAGAGTCCGCCGTATCCGATGACGTGCTCTCTCCAGAGGAGGAGGGGATTTGTGCTGGGAAGTACTTCAGTGAGTCCGGTCTGGTGGGCCTCCTGGAGCAAGCGGCTGCCTCTTTTAACATGGTACGACTCAAATTCTCCAAACACAAAGCCGCAAGGCTACAGCGTGGACGTGGCTGCGGCGTGTTAGGAGATCGGGTGGCATGTGTGAAACTAGCTCTCTGTTGCGCTGTGACCGCAGGCCGCCATGTACGAGGCCATAAACGAAGTGTACAAGATTCTGCTGCCCATCCATGAAGCCAACAGGGACTTCAAAAAGCTCGCCACTGTGCACGGCAAGCTGCAGGACGCCTTCAACAAAGTCTACAACCAGGTGAGTTCAAGCGTTTGTGTCTGAAATCAGCAGCAATTACCTGCACTGTTGATGAGAAAACTGACTTGAGTCTAATGTTTGACCTCCTTTTTTCAACTTTTCCAGAGTTCAGGATGGGAGGTGACACATTTTTTTGTTATATTGAGCATATTACACTCCAGGTAAAACAAATTCAGTAGTTCTTTTTCATTTGTATTGACAATGTTGTATTTCTTCCTCTTTTCTCCTCTGTGAACAACATTTTAATGGTGAGTGATACACAAGTTGCCTTTATGATAAAGTTGAGTCTCTGGCAAAACAGTTTGCATCCCTTTTTGTGAAACTACTTTTTATAGGCAATATGTATTTTCTCTTTGTCCTATAACATTTCTTGTCTATTAGATTTGATGTCATCTTAAAACAGTAACAAGATCTGTGGCATTCCCTAAAGATTATCTCCCATCTCTAACATGTGTCGTACCAAATAATAGTTCACTCTAAAACCATCTCAATTGTTGTCCTTCCTGTAGTGCTAAGAGGATGTTTGGGACCTACTTCCGAGTGGGTTTCTATGGCTGCCGGTTTGGAGACCTGGATGAACAAGAGTTTGTCTACAAGGAGCCATCCATCACCAAATTAGCCGAGATCTCACACAGACTGGAGGCACGTTTACTACTCAGAATACTTACAAAGGTTTCAGTAGGGATTTGCGTGAAGCATATTTCTAAAGATGACATCTCTTTCGGCGTACAGGAGTTCTACTCAGAAAGGTTTGGGGATGAGATGGTTGAAATTATCAAGGACTCCAGCCCGGTCGACAAAAACAAACTGGATCCCAACAAGGTAACATGATAGATGAGTCGTTTGCGCTGGTGGCAGCTACGTGTCACTTTAGCAGAACGATTTAATCCGTTTGAAACTGCAATTTTAAATGAAAAATGAGCTGTTAAAGAAGGCACCGTCTGTGCTCCTTTCAGGCCTACCTCCAGATCACCTACGTTGAACCATTCTTCGACACGTACGAGCTCAAGGAGAGAATCACCTACTTTGACAAGAACTACAACCTGCGTACCTTCATGTACTGTACTCCCTTCACACTGGACGGCAGAGCCCACGGCGACCTGAACGAACAGTACAAACGCAAAAGCATCCTGACGACGTCTCACGCCTTTCCTTACATCAAGACGCGCATCAACGTCATCCACAAGGAAGAGGTGGGTGTCTTTTTTCAGGGGGGTGCGGGGGGCTTTGGTTTTGGTTTGCTGTTGTAAAATAAAGTCAACTTTTCTTTGGTTCTGCAGATCATTCTGGTCCCCATGGAGGTGGCCATAGAGGACATGCAGAAGAAGACTCAGGAGCTGGCCTTCGCCACAAACCAGGACCCTGCAGACGCCAAGATGCTGCAGATGGTCCTGCAGGGCTCCGTGGGCACCACAGTCAACCAGGTACCTGTTTAGATACCTGCAGCCGATGATGTTTAACCACAATGCGTTCGGAATAATCCCGCATCCTCCTGGGATGTTCACCCCATTCAAATAGCGTTGAGAGTCGGTGTCAGATGAGAAGGGAAAGACATTCCTCAGCAGATACGTAACAGGTTCTCCCCCACACAGGGCCCCCTCGAGGTGGCGCAGGTCTTTCTCTCAGACATTCCTGATGATCCAAAGCTGTTTCGCCATCACAACAAACTGCGCCTCTGCTTTAAAGACTTCACTAAGAGGTGATGACACACTCGGCGTCCCAGACAGCTGTGTAACCAGTAAAAACAAAACCCAAATCACTGCATCTTCTCTGCTTGTTTTCTGTGCAGGTGTGAGGATGCCCTGAGGAAGAATAAAGCCCTGATTGGACCCGATCAAAAGGAGTACCACAGAGAGATGGAGAGGAATTACAATAAACTAAAAGAAGCTTTAGGTCCTCTCATCAACCGCAAGATCCCCCAACTATACAGAACCCTGCCGGCTCTGGCTACACAAACACAACGGTAACTTGAGACGACAGCACACACACACAATGCCTGCGCACAGGAACACACACAATGCGCTCATGCTAAAGCAACTTTAAACCAAACTTGATCATAGACCCACATGTTCTAAAAAAGTTGGTGCAGCTCTTCAAGTTTTGATGTGCTTTTACTTTGCATCAGCTTTTGGTTTCAGCTGTGTGTTTAATGTGAGGACTGCTGCTTCATAATGAAAGACAGCGCTACTGCCAGAAGCACCTGCCAGAGGTGACCTTTTAATACAGAGGACAAATGTTTATTTAAAGGTGCCCATTCAGAGAACATCTATTGCCTCCGCGTGTCCCTTAACATGGCTACAGCCGAACCAGTGGCTCACCGCCAATGATGCTAACGGCGCTAACAGTACAAGAAGCAGCAACCGTGTTTACTTTGGGGAGGACGGGTCCGACAGGGCGTCTCATTGGCTGTCATCGCTGTACAAGCACGGTTTATAGCGGCGTCCGTAGCCGACCAGTGTGCCACAAACTCGTATATGAATATAGGCCAGTAAACATGACATAGCACTAAATGAAGTATGAGGTGTTTTTTTTACGTTATTCCTTTACTTTCATAGAAGATACTCATTTAAAGTCCTAAAGGCTGTGATTGGGGCGCAAAAAGACGGCGATCACAGCTACGACTCACATAATAAGGTTCACAGATCCTGTCGGTTTCCTTTTTTAAGATACACCTTTTAACACGAAACAACCTGTTTTCTCTCGCAGGAACTCCTTCAGTCGGTCCAGTCTCCGCAGGGCTGACTGTTGAAGGACAACAAACCGGACGACAACACAGGAAAACAAGCTTCAGAAATTACCCCCCCCCCTCCACCCTCCCATCTGTTCCCCCTCTCCCCATTGACTGCACACCAACTGTCGCAAGCACACACACACACACACACACACACCGTCCTCTTCCTCGTCCAGCTCGTTATTTTCCCCGCCCACCCCGCGACGCCATAATATCCCCCCCCAAGCACCTCTGCCACCACACACACACACACACACTCACACTCGTCACCTCTCCGCCTCTCCCACCTCTGTAGGAGAAAACCCCGTCTGTTTATCTGCACTGTAAACAGCGGCGTTGGGAGCGCGGCTCCGACCTCCCTGCGTTTTAAACCGAGCTTTAAAAGTGGTCCTCTCGGTAATCTCGCTGAGCTTGATCGGGATGAACTTAAGTTTTTACAGGACTAGAACTGACAAACACGTTTTGCATCCAAATCGTTTTGGGCTGGGGGGGAGTTTGTTCATCTGTTGTTGTCTTTTTAATCTCTTTTGCTTCTAGTGTTTGCTTTTGAAGAGACTGTAGTTTGTCTGTTTTGTGTCGAGGCCTTATTTTATTTGTAAAAGATATTTTTTTCTAAACTATGTCTGGCCGTAGTCACTGCCAGACTTATTCAATAGTCCCAGGGAGTTTTATTTTGTTATCAACAGACCAAATAACTGACATTCCTCCTTCCTCAAGTTGTCCCTTCTATCTGCCCATCTCTCGTCATGAGAATGAATTAATGAGCGACTGTGGGATTGTTTTCCGGCAGGAATGAACTGCACCGGCAGTTTGAGAAGAAAGCGTTATGTTAGTGGAGAAAAGGCCGAGATGGGACGTTAAATCGTGTGATTTTTAAACTGTGAAATTATCTTTGAACGCACTACAGTCACATCATGTTTATCACAGAAGCACCGGCGTTGACCCCCCCCCCCCGCGGTGCAGTCAGATAACTGAATTCATTATTACATTATGTGTAGTTCAAGTCTTCTTTTACCTGCGTTTGATCTGCTGTCACTCCTGTTGTTTTGTATGTGTACAGTTCTCTGGTTTTGGCGTGTTTGGCTGTTCGTTGTAGCTATTTCCAACTACTGTTTCAATTATATTGCACTATTTTAAACTAACTGCAGCACATTAACACTTTTATTTTACAAGGCTGGAAACTGTTTTTTACCAACTACATGCAAGGACATTTTTTTATTTATTGTCTTTTATACTGCCTTCTATTAAATTTCTCTTCATACGCCTCTGGTCATCTTTTATTTGTGTGCAGAACAATAGATCTTCATCGGTATCGTACATTTATCAAGGTTTTGTGGTCTCAAAAGCTGTAAAAAAGGCAATATTTTCTTTGTGACAGTATAACATTGTGATATATGAGGCCCGTGTAGTATCTCCAATGCTGTATCACAATGATAATACAAAAGGAACATATATTCAGATTAACTATTTCTGTTAAAGTTGTACTTTTTGGCAGACGTTTTGTTTTTGTGATCGGTCTCTATTGTAAATTCAAACAAAGAAAAAAGAATCATAACTTATGAGAGATTCAGACAGTACTTGAGAAATGGGACCACCTCCGTGTTTGTCAGTTCTGGAGTCGAGAACTCTGCTGTTTTTCTTTTCCCATTCTGGCATTTAATCTGAGAACCAGGAACCTCTGGTACACCTCGTGGTAATTAAACACGCTGCAGAAAGTGAGTGTGGATTCACTGATTGGTTCACCTTGACCTTTTTGAAAGACGACCTGAAGCCCTCTGCTAAACGTTGCTGTCCACATTGACACAAACACTTTTCCGATAACGTTTGTGTTAAATGGAGACACGGTACAGATGTGTGTGAACCAGATGTGTGTGAGCCAGATGTCTTCCTCACCTCCCTTTTCTCCTCCATTAGTCTTAATTTCCTGTGGCGATGTTGGAGGACTTTACCAGAATGAGGGGCCCTGCGTTTATATCCAGGTTCTTTACCAAGACTTGCGATTGCTCAGTAAATCAGACCTGGACTGGGACTTTTCCATTTAACAGGATCACTCAGTGAATGGTGAAGTTTAGTTGGAATGAATTAGGTTTAAATTAAGCAAAGAAAAGTAAATACCACTGTAAATGTCTTTTCATTTGTCAAACAAACTTACAAATATTCACACCTTATTTTGGGATTTTATTTGATTTAACATCTCTTTGTTCCCCACTTTGAGTTTATTTTGAGGTTTGTAGGTTGTTTCATGTCCTCGGAGTTTCTTACTGGTACTTGAGGAATCTTGCAGGAGCTTCCCTGCTGATCCTTGCAGGGATCCTAAAGCGTTCAGGGGATTTCTTCGGTGTCCATGGAGACCCCCGAAGGTCATATGGTGGTCAGAAGTATCTTATAAAATATGGACCATAATAGAGTCCGTGGTTTTGCCCCTTTTACTAAAGTAAGAGAAGCGTCTTCGTCACGAATGGAGGTCCTTGGACGGCCTTGAAAGCCATTGAAGTGTTGGTGGAGGTGTTTGGAATTCCTTTCCAGCGCTGTATGTTATTTTTTGAAGAAGCATGGAACCCCCTCCTCCCCCCACGTGGGCTGATGGAGGCCCGGCGCGCGCCTCCTGATTGGCCTCGTGCTCGCTGGCCCTTTAAGAGGAGGCGAGGCGGAGCGGAGCGCGCTTCGGAGCATCTCGGCTGCGGTGTTTTTGTCCCCGGCAGTGAGACGCTGCTCCCGGGCCGAGGCGGCGGAAAAGGGAACGCAGAGGGCAGGTAAGCACCGCGACTGAACCCCCGCGAGTCGTGCGCCCGCAGCCGGTCGCGCTGTGGTTTCGGGAGGCGCTCCGGACGAGGCGCCTCCTGGAGTGCGGGACTTCTTTTGTGAAGCGTCGGTCCTGCCCGTCGCCCCCCCCCCCCCCTCTCTCTCTTATAATAACGGGTCCTTTATCCGCTCAAACCTCGCCGGCTACAATAATACGCGTATTAGGACCTTCTCTTCGTTGCAATCAGGTTTCATAATTCCCATCGGAGTGTTTCTTCATCTTTTAGGGGATATTTTGGTCTCGTGGTCGCTTCTCCTCATCGGAGCATCATCGGAGGCGACGCGCGGCCGTGGAATCACTATAATATAATAAGCACAACTAATAATCCGATACAAACTATCAGTGGATCTGTCGATTGGAAATGTAGACCTGCAGTGACCTTAGATTACAAAACTATCAAACCCAAAATGAATCAAAGTGTCTATTAAAGCGGTGCATATTCTATAAAAGCGTAAATATATTCAGATCGTGTCACGGAGGCGGTTTTTCCACAACTTTTGTTTTCGCATTGGTTAATGTCGTAGTGAGGTTACTGTAGTTGACCCCCCCCCCCTCCCCCTCCCCCTTCTCCTACCCACCGACCACTTGGTAGCTCCTTTCTTTTTCCTCTGCATTATGAAACTTTCCCTCCGTGCATCACACGTGGTCGGTTGCAACATTTTCTACTTTATGCATTTTTCTCCTGAAATGAAAGTCTCAGTGAGGACTGAAGGCCCGGGGGAGAGGGTGGGTCCGTGCATTCTGCAAGTTTCCATTACCTCCAGATGTTCGTCAGCTTTTCGTGGCCGACTCTAGGCCTCAAATGTGCTCTTCTCACCGGCCTGAGCCTCGATCCTCAGAGGAAGATGGATTAAGGCTGATGTCAGCTGGAAAGAAAAACGTATCCACGCGCATAAAAGGCATATACGTATAATCCACTCGAATGTGCAATTCTTATTAATATGGAGGATTGTTTGTTTAGAAATGAACTTCACTTGCCAGCAGGTCTCATGGTACCCTGAATCACCAGTAAACACATGGGATGTTCTGGTGATTAACGACATGACGGCGTTGGCAGGATGTGGGGGTGTGTAGTCATCAGCTACACCGCCTCACACATACAATACAGCACTGTCCTGCTCATGTGTAATAAGCAGCTGGCTGTATTAAATCACCGCTCAGATGGGCTCCGTGGCTCCGATATTCATTCTAGTATTTACTTTTCTGCAGGGACGTGTTGCAGCCAGGTGCACCAAATAAACAGGCGACTGAATATTTAGCTGTTTTGAGATGAGTGCGAGCGTAACAGTAGTGAAACCCATCAGAGACCCCGCGGGGGTCGCACACACACACACACACACACACACACACACACACACACACACACACACACACCACAGTTTGGGATTCTCTGGTTGCGTTTGTGTGCAGCTGTAGTTTTTTTTTTTTTTTTTACCGAGCTGGAATGTGATCGTCTCATCACAGCCCGCGGACCCTCTGGGGTGCAGTGGAGGAATGCGGGGTTATAAATCCCATTTGCACACTGGGCCACACGCCGGGCGTCTCAATGGTTTAGGTGAGGTTAACGAAATTACAACCCGGAACCTGCGTGAGATTGTCTGTCACTGTCGATAAGTTCGACCCCCTGATAAGCAACTCCTGTTTTTACTGCGAGGGGTTAAAACTACACGCAGAATTATTGATCATTTATATCATAAGGGTTGTCTCACAGTGAAGTGATGTGATTTTACTTACTGTACTGTTCTCTATTACTTGCCGAGAACCGATTATTTTATCAAATCTCAGTGTTTACATATTTTGTAAAAGCACCAACCTACAATATCGTCACAATATCAATACAGACCTGATGGATTCTGTCCTTCTCCTTTGTCTATTTCGTGTTGTGATGATCAAACCCGAAGTTCCGAGTCGTATTAGTGGTTGATTGGTTCAAATTGGCGATCAGTCTGATTTATCTAAGACAGAGAGGGTTAAATGCTCCCTACTTCACTTTATTGATTGGGGACGTTTTCGGTGAACATATGTTCTAATCTGGCTTTCGAGGTATTGGGGACTGTGGTAATCTGCCTAAATAATCTCACTTGATCTCCTTCGATGCATTAATCACTCAAAAAAAGCAAGATGGACTTTTCTGTGGAGGAAAGCTTACACCCGGCGGTTGTAATCGTCGGCGTTGTGGATGTTTTCTTGGTTGTCTGTTGGCTCGTTGGAGTCTTTAGATCGACGGCTCTCACTCAATCAGGAAGTAATCGATCGGATCGCTGAGGCGGAACCACTTCAGCACAACGCCGCCGCTGTAAGGTTACTCCGCTCGGTGCCACAACACACGCCGACCTGATCTTTTGACCCCCCCCCCCCCACCAGCTCTGCTCTGACCGGCTCGCTTACTGCTGCCATCTGGACTTTGTCTTCCTCCCCTCCAGACCCCCTCGGTCCTCCGCACAACAGCACAGAGCTCCGACCTTTCTTAATCTCCACCTCCGCAACAGGAATTCTCTCCCAAATTTCCTCCCTTTTCTTCCTTTTCTTTCTTTTTTTTTTTTTTTTGTCCTCCTTCCCGGTGCCGCTCAGCCCCACCCTTGCTCAGCTTCCTGTCGGAGGTCAGCACGATGACCAATAGCAGACTCCGCTCCCCTTCCAGGAGTAATGGGAGCTGGCCGGCTCCTCCTCCTCTTGGCCGTTCTCTAGCCAGACGGCGTCTGCTCCTTGATACCGCCACTCCTTAATGTGGAAAACGGGGCTTTTAGCTTAAAAAAAAAAGAAAAAAAAGGCAGACTGTGTCCTGGAGGGGACGTCCCACGGGATTATGATTTCACTGTCCTGAGCTTTAAAACCCAAATTAGTCACAAACCACAGCGGCACAGGAACACGCGGCTGTGAGGTCATCTGGCCGCGCTCCACCCGGCGAGGGCCTCTTGTCAAGCGGTGACGTGCGGCGCTCGGGCCGCATTTCGCTCAGCGACAAACGGTCGCTTGTTGCTTCCACAGTTCTGTAGCTGTTCGTGGGAGAAAACTCCTGGTCATTTCGTCTGATGTATAATTCATGCAGGACCGTTCGGCTGAATGACGCCATCTGTGCTACAGCGTGAAGAGGCGGGGCACAGACGTCTCATACATCAACAACCGTGCGTCCCGGGATCTTTGTGGATCCTTTACAACTCTCCCGCACGTCTATATTGAGGTCCTGGTGGCCTGTTGCTCTGAGGGGAAAACCTCGGCACAACAATCATCTCTATTTGGTCAGACCAAGTGCAGCTTCTCATAGGGATTCTCTATTGTTGGGCTATTTTTAGGGGAGGAATGCACAAATGATGGTAATCTTCTAGGCGTGTTTAGGCCTTTCAAGATTAAGGAAAGGTCTTTTAAAGAGTCCTGCTGAGGAGATGTTCCTGATGCTCCTGCGTAAACAGTGCTGTTGGTCCCAATCGAGAACAGTGGTGGTCTTCTCGTTCGAGAACTTTCCATCCAAAACTCGGCAGCATTTCTCCCCACCTCCTCCTGCAGTTGTCCCTTTCTTTCCTCACATTCCCACTCTTTCTCTCCCTCCCTCACTGCTCTCCCCTGCTTTCTCTCTTTCTTTCCCCTTCTTCTCCCCCCCCCTTGTTACTCTTTCTCCCGGCCTGGGAGGAAGTGACTGGGTTGTTTCGGGACCCTTTGGGAATAGTAAGACGGAGCTCCCTTTTCCTGTAACCCTTTTCTTCCTCAGACATCAAACTATCGGCAGATATCGTCTCAGTCCGGCCTCTTTGTGCCCGGTGCCTCTTTCTCAACTGCAATGAGTGAAAGGTTACTAGTGTCTGATTCAACGGACTAATTAAAAGCGGTTGAATAACTTGACTTATGGGTGTCAGACTTGACTCCTCTTACTTGAGTGAATCCCCTTAAAAGCTGCTCCAGCTGTGTTTGTCTCCAGTGTTGTTATCTGTGTTGTGTAGGAGTCGACAGGAGTTCAAGTTGCCCCCCCCCCCGTAACGTTTGCTGTTTGCTTTACTCTCGTATTGTTCCAGCCGGCTTTGCTTTAATTCGTTCCTCCGAGAGCAGCTTCGGACATCGATGCGCTCTGGGTGCGTTCATAAGGATTTCTGACACAATCGGCAGCACCGGTCGTCGGCCACTTTTGAGATATCAACCACACGGAGCTTCTAATTCCAGTCCCGGTCAGGGTGTGCGTCCATGACAGCACTTCATCAACTGTTTGTTTGTTTTGAGGAAAGTTTCCTCCCCACACACTCGTACACACACCCTCCCTCTCCCTCTCTCCCTCCCTCTCTCTCTCTCCCTGGGATGCCCCTCCTTGCTTTCTATTAGAACCAGCTGTGGAACTGGGGGCTGAATGAATGGCTCTTTGTGATTCGGCTGTCGTACTAGTCCAGAATCTCTGTCCCCCCCGCCCCTCCACCCGCCCCTCCACCCCCGGTGGTATCGGCATGACAGCGAAACCAAACAATGCGGCCAACAACAGCGTGTGTTGTTATGAAGATATGCAGTGGGTCACCCATCGCTGTTTTTTAAGGCGGCGCGACCCCCCCCCCCCCCCCCTGTTAAATAAAAACAGGGCGACCCCTCTTACACAGCAACCCCGCTGTGAGCAAACGGAGCAAAATGTATGAAAATCAGCAGACGCAGTCACGCCCCTTATCTGATCCGCGCGTTGCAAAAGCCCCAAAATGCGTTGCCCGTGAAGGGGGCAAACACACACACACTTTGGGCCCCGGGATCCGTCTGGGTTCACGGTGATCCGCTTCCACAAAAAGAAAAAAACCCTTTGGGTGTGTGTGTGTGTGTGTGCGCCCTTTTGATTCTGGGGGTGCGAGTTGCAGGGGAAGGAAAACCCCAAACTTTGATCACATGGCCACACGGCAGGGAGGCTCCCAGGCTTGACTTGATTAGAGAGCTTTGAGTCGGAGAGAGGAATGGGGTCGGGGGGTCGGGGGGGGGATCAGGCCGCAGTACAAGGAGATCAGACCGTGATTGGCATTTCACAGGGGTACATCTGTTCACATCTGGGTCTTCTGTCAAAACCTCTGGAATGCCTTTCTGGCTTAGCAGCCTGTGTTTATAGTCCTGCGGTGGCCACTCTTTTGTAACCTGTTTTTATATCTGTGTCAACAGAGCTACACACCTCTTTGAAATGTTTAGCCGATGTCTTCTGGGGGCCACTTATCTCCGTTTTATTCTCATGCGATCTTGGCTACAAACTGCTACTGTCAAAAGTTTCAAAGTTCCCTTTTATCTGGTTTCCCACAGGTGCTGACTGCAAGAGTGCAAGAAAAGGAAGGGAGAGCAAGGAGCCTTGGGAGGAGAGATCCCATCCTTGCAGCTGGTATGAAAAATAAATCCCCCTTCCGTATTTTTCCTAATTCACAAACCATTCCCAAGCTAGAGCAGAACAGTCACCAAAGGCTCAGAGTCTGCAAGGCAGTGGAAAGAAAGCCTGGCGTTTCAGACCTTGCTATACTGCGGTCTAATCCTTTGTATTGGCAATAATAATTTGCTACCTCAATGAATGGAAGCAATGAGTTTGACAAACTTGAGAGGGCTGACCTCGAAGTGAAGCGTGGCGACTTGGAACGTATTCCCGCGGTGGTCTCAGTCCTCTGATGCACTAAGGGCACACGGATCTGCGGCCGTGCTGTATATTAAGCAGAATAAAAAGCAAAATACTGCGTGTTTTGCAGTGGTTTCAGTACGTTGCAGTTATTCGGTCGCGACCTCTTACAGGACACGCCGCGCATGTGTCATTTGTGCCGGTTGGACAGCATCTCGTCTCCCCCCGAGGACAGTCTTAATTGTAATCGCAGGGGAAGGAGGGAGTAGAACTTCCGTTGGTGTGGTATGTGGCGTCACGGGGGGGGGCAACGAGGAAGGACGCACACCGCTTTCTTTTCAGATGTCCACTCGAAGGGACTTTCTTTGAGAGCCGAAGGAAAGGGAGGAAGGTCAACCGCTGCTCCCCGGCCACACGTGCCAACACATCTAAAACACCCCATGAGCCACTGTGGGAGAAGCAGATGTGGAGGGCCTGCTGCTCGGGGCGTTTCGGGGTGGGGGGGGGGTTGATGTGGGTCGCAGCAGTATGGAGATATTTTGAAACGCTTCACGTGATGTGATTTGAGCAGAAAGCTAAGACTTACGGAGCCGTCAGCGGTCTGCTGGGCCGGGCGGGACGTTTGGTTGCCTGACTGCAGATCCTAATTATATCTCCTCAACCGTCCCCTGTCAGCGCCGTCCTCCACCCTCGTGCTCTCACACTCGCAGCCACTCCTCGTCTCCCTGTCCCGTTCTCACGTTCTCACACATGTGGGCCTACCCAGACCGCACAACATGCCGCACACAATCAATCTGACACTCGCCAAAGATAAACAGACGCTCACACTGCCAAACCTTTAGTTCGTTATGTATATCGCCGCATTATATATATTTTTTACTACTAATGTACTTATTTACGTGAGGAAGTCTTAAGTTGTTGATATCTAGGACATCTGATCTATTTGGTTTAGTGTCAGAGCCCTTTACGGTTAATGGTGTGATCATTTGTCTATGATAATAAAGGGTGTGCGTGTGCGTGCATGCGGTCCTTCCGTGCCTCCCAGTGCGTGCAGTGATGGTGATACAAGAGGGTGATGAAAGGGGGGGGGGGCGCAGATAAGGGGACTCGCTGCAGGACACTAAACTCACTGCACGACTTCAAAAATACCGAGTCAATTCAGTCAGTGTTTCCAAGCGGCCTACTTTGCACAAACGAGCAACCACTGGCGGGGGGTCACGTGGGAGCACGAGAGAGGCGAGGCGGAGGCTTGCAGTGCAAACCTCTGATCCCAGGCCCCTTAAAGTCTACAGTAATATAAGGATGTTCAGCTGGGTGGTGCTTTGGACGGCTTAAACGCCACATCCTCCATTCCCACAAAGGGATGACCTAGAAAGTTAATCTTTGGCCGAGCACACAAACTCACAGGCATTGGCATTGTGGGCTCCGAGCGGTAAGCGAGCGAGTCCGTGACCAGCTGAAACCTCCTGATTGTCAGCTGACGTGGAGAGAGGAGGAGGGGGGGGAGCACCAGAAAAACACAAAAAGAAGACAAACAAGAGAAAACGCAGGAGGGGAAGCAGTGAGGGGGAGAAAAAGAGAGAGGGAGAATCTGTAAACGAGGCGAAGTTAGTGCGCACCGATGATTCCTAATAAGGTTGCAACTGGCAGTCTCAAACCTCTGTCTTGGATTTAGCTGCCAGGAAACTTTCCTCTGCTATTCCTCCTCTCAGAACAGAAACAAACACAATTGACTGTGACCCACTATGCTCCCAAAAATGAACGGATACAATCCGAAAGGAAGGCAGGAGGGTGAACAGAAAACACTCTGTGACCTTTGCGACAAAAATACAATTTGGACAAAAACAGTTTCCTGGCAGAATGCAAACCGCAGGGCCTATTCGCACTACGGCCGTACGGACACTGGCAGGTTCTTGTTGGGTTTAAGGCAATGTGCGATTGCCTGAAACCCAACACAGGGGAACTGATCTAAAGTCTTTAGGGCGCCTCCTTCGCGTTGGCGATGACGTGCAGAAGTCTGTCCAACAGACACTGCAAAGTACTCCAGAATGTGATTCTCAGTCTCGAGTTTATTCTACCCACGACTTGAGTACTACCTTCGCACAGGAGCCCATCAGAGCAGGAGGCGTGCTTAATGCTGGAGGCGTTACAACTGAGCGGCAGATAAAATGAAACAAATACTACATGTTGTAGTGGAAACCCCCCAAAATACAAGAATCAAGTCATCCATGTACTCCTATTGTCAGAAACGAAGGTCTATGAACCAAATCCTATTTATTAAGTATCTGTGAAAGTCTTATTGTGTATTAACACATTCAACTAATGTCTCTCTACAGGCTCATTATGGCTCAGGTGCTGCATATGGACCCCGGCTTCCCAGGTGCAGCTTGTGTTTATTCTAACTTGTTTATTAAGATTCATAATGTCAAATAACTTCCTGGTAGATTAAGCGCTGTGCTGTCCGGATACGTACGAGGTCATGTTAGAACTGTGCCATTCCACTCTGTGCCCAATTTACGCTGCCAAATACACTGCAGCCCACAGTTAATGCTGTTATCTAAAGTCTGAGCCCAAGATTAGACGCAGATTTCCGTTTGTTTAAAGTTGATTTCCTTCCCCCCTCAGGGAAACTCAACCCGCCTGCTCCCCCCTCGCTGCACGGCAAAGAACAGGAGGCGCCCTACTCGGTGGAGACCCCCTACGGCTACCGTCTGGACCTGGACTTCCTTAAATATGTAAACGACATCGAGAAGGGAAACACTATCAAGAAAGTACCCATCCAACGCCGGCCCCGCTATGGCTCCCTGCCCCGTGGCTACGGCTACACCGGCTCCTGGTGGACCTCCACTGAGTCCCTGTGCTCCAACACCAGCATGGACAGCCGACACTCGTCCTTCTCCTACTGCGCCCCGGGCTACCACACCACGCACAGGCCCAGCTTCAGCTCCGCCCGGGTGGAGAAGACCCTGTTGGATGCGCGCAGGAAGCTGGAGGAGGAGAGAGAGAGCCGCAGATTCTCCACGCTGGGCAGCATGCACAGCAGCGTGGCAGGCTCCAACACCTCGCTCAGCAGCGCGCACAGCTTCAACCGAGCCCACGGTGGAGGCGGGTCCTACACCCCGATGAGCTCCGGCCTGTCCACGCCGGTGACCCCGACTCCTGCCCACCTGCAGCACGTCAGGGAGCAGATGGCCACGGCCCTCAGGAAGATAAGGGATCTCGAGGAGCAGGTGAAGACCATCCCCGTGCTGCAGGTGAAAATCTCCGTGCTGCAGGAGGAGAAACGGCAGCTCAGCGTCCAGCTGAAGAGCCAGAAGTTCCTGGGTCACAGCCTGAGTTTCAACCGAGTCCGTCCGCGGGGCGAGCTCTACATCGACATCCCCGAGGAAGAGGTGATAACGGGGGAGAAGAGGAGCAACAAGCCCCTGTCCCCCGCCACGCCCGACGGCTCCAAGCTTCAGGACTCAGGCTGTGAGATTGAGGACACCGTGATCGTTGGCGGAGCGCGACCAGATTCAAAGCGGGACGTGCGCACCATCGCAGTGGGACCGGAGGACCCGAGGGGCAGTCGTCACGTGGGAGTCGGGGTCCGGGAGGAGGATCTAGGGCTTCTGCCAGAGACAAAGGCGCTGAGGAATCAAGTGGGTCAGCTCGAGGGCCAGCTAAAGAGGACGGTGCAGGAGCTGCGAGATGCCCAGAAGGCTCCTCAGGCCGACCGCCCAGTCATGGCTACCAGCGTGGGCTGGCGGGAGCCACAAGGCTGCAGCCTGCACACCCTGGTCAGCTTCACGCGCCCCCCGCAGCAGAGGGAACAGAGGACTGTGGGGATTCAGGTGTACACGCTGGAGCAGCCCACCGTGGTGGAGGTGGGCACGCTGCTCCGAGCGGAGATCTGCAGCTCCCCCTCCCTCCTGCCAGCGTGTGGAGCCGTTGAGGGCCACCACAGAGGACAGGCCGAAGGTCTCTGAAACTAAACTGAATACGAGTTTATCCAGCAAACTTCCACAGTTTTACTTTTCCTCTTATTATACTCTATTTGTTTAGGTTGAAGCATTAAAGTGTTATTTCTGTCTCGCAGACGCTCCAGTTGAGCTGCCGATAGCAGTCAGCTCCAAGCAGGTGCGCGACGTCCTGAAGAGCGAATTGTCCACTTCGGTGCCGGTAGCCAATCCCGCCTTTGCTGTCGGCACGTCCGGTAATCAGATGGGTTTGTTACACGCAAAAGAGGACGAGACAAGCGTTCAAACTCGCCCTGAGGCTGTCCAGTCACAAGAAGGCCCAGCGACAGGTAACAGGGCGGCTCCCTGATCAAAACCCCCACTGATCACCGCTGCCTTTGTTCCAACCACATCGCGTTCCTTTCCCCAGCCTCGTCTCCCCAGTCGTCCCTGAGGTCCATTATGAAGCGAAAAGCCGAGGGCGAACCGGGATCTCCCTCTACGAAGAAGAACCTACAGTTCATTGGCGTCAATGGAGGGTACGTATCAAACCTGCCGCCCACTGAACCAGCGAGCCTGAACCGGACCCTCTGACCCTGTTCTCGACTTGCAGCTACGAGTCCACATCATCAGACGACAGCAGCAGCGAGAGCTCGGATGAGGGGAGCGACTCCAGCGAGTATCACGAGGCCAGAGAGAAACTGCCTGCGGCGGCGACTCGGCACCAGCAGCAGACCCCCAGCGAGGCGCCCCGGCCCCCGGAAAGCAACGGCGTGCCTCAGCAGACCGCTGTCAGGCCACCAGCCGCCGTCCCAGACTCGCAGCAGAGTCCCAATCAGTCCGCGACGGTAGGCGCAAAACTGCCAGACAAAGCCCGCCAGTCGCCAGCAACGGACTCCGCCTCCCCCGCGAGTCCCCGGTGTGCGGCGGGGCAAGCTGCCGCTGACGGGGCCGGGTCATCGCAAGAGCGCGCGGTCGCCCCGGCGGTCGCGTCCACCATCGTCCACCGCCCGTCGTCGAGCACCGAGTCCGCTCCCGACCGGAGCTCAGCCTCCCGCTCGCCGTCGCCGCGCGTCACTAGGACCCCCGAGATCACCACGCCGCGGCCCACCGACCGGTCGGAGACAACCGTCCCCGGCAGCCGGTCGGAGCCGACGCCGCCAGACGCCACTGCCGCAGCGCCCCCGAAGCAAGTCAGGTAAACGCGCACGTGACGGGTGGGTCAACGTAACGGTCGAAGCGGCGGTAACTGATGTTGTCTCCTCGTGCGTCTCAGGCTGGACCTGAGTGACAGCCTGATGTCCACTCTTCACGCCCTGCAGAAAGCCCTGGGGGAGCCCAACGCCTTCAGCCAGCAAGGAGCAGTGAGTGTCCATTCAACTCAAGATCCACTCAGTATCATTTCCTTCAAATGTTCACTCAGTTATTCAACATCATGAGCTTTTTATTATTTAACTAGGGCTAAATAACTAAAGCTAATGTTAGAACACAATAGCTTTTGTTATAAAAACAAGAATACCGCACCGAGCTTTTAAGTAAATGAAGAGCACACGACAACATTTCCTGTGTGTTTAATACGGATGTTGTGATGTTGAGCCGCTTATCTCGGCCCGTCCGTGATCCAAATCGTCCTCGTCGCGTCTGACCCCAGAGAGCGGCCTACACCACCGTGCTGCAGGAGTGGCTGCGTGTGTCCTGTCACAAAGCCGCCGACACGGCCGTGGTCGAGGCCTACATGGGCGCCTTCGCCTCGGTCTCCCCCCAGCTGCTGGAGTTTGTCATCAACATGGCGGACGGCAACGGGAATACGGCGCTCCACTACACCGTCTCCCACTCCAATTTCCCCGTGGTGAAGCTGCTGCTGGACACAGGTGTGTGTGTGTGTGTGTGTCATTACACAAGGGGGATTTTAAGTGTTAAGTTAAGCAAGTTAACGTATAAAATTGCCTTTTGCTCACTCTGCCCGAAACATTCCCGCCCCCCACGCGTCCCCGTCGCTGCTGTTGTGTCTCCCGTCTCGCTAATTGTGCCCCACTTACCCGACAGGCCTGTGTAATGCTGACAAGCAGAATAAGGCGGGCTACACGGCCATCATGCTGACCGCTCTGGCTGCCTTCCACTCCGACAACGACCTTCAAACCGTCCTGCAGCTGCTGCGCACAGGGGACGTCAACGCCAAGGCCAGCCAGGTGCGCCCCCTGCTGCTCATTCGCTCCCACTGAGCCCGCGTGACTTAAACAGCAGCTAACGTGTGCTTTTGATGATAAAAACCGCTGTTTGCGATTTGAACTGTGCGTTTGTTAGGCCGGTCAGACGGCGCTGATGCTGGCGGTCAGCCACGGTCGGGGGGACATGGTGCGGGCGCTGCTGTCCTGCGGGGCGCAGGTCAACATCCGCGATGACGACGGCTCCACGGCGCTCATGTGTGCGTGTGAACACGGACACGTGGACATCGTGCGTCAGCTACTCTCCGTGCCGGGCTGCGATGCGACGCTGACCGACAATGTAGGCGTCCGACTCTTCATTTGTGCTTTTGAAATCTGACAAAACCTGACCTGCGCCGCCTCACCGCCATGGCCTCGTTTGTCTCTCAGGACGGCAGCACGGCTCTGTCCATCGCCCTGGAGGCCAGCCAGAACGACATCGCAGTGCTCCTGTATGCTCAGCTCAACTTCGCGAAGCCTCCTTCCCCGGTGAGTCCTTTTGATGATTTCTTGTCCTGAGGGTCGATGCGATTTTACAGCAGCATTCAACAATCACCACAGGGAAAATCTGCCACAGAGGAAGAAGATATTGACTAATTTGTCGGCTTATAGCTGAACCGCTCACTGTTTATTAAATTAGTTTATTTAAATTTGACTGCAAACTATACGATGAAGCTAAAACGTATCTGAACTCTTTACGTCTCACAGATTAGCTGTCGTTTTTTCCTGCAGCTTTACGACAGCTGTAAGTGAAACAGCCCAACTTGTCTGCGGCATGCAATGAAAACGTATTCTACTTTGTCCCAGCGGGGACATACAGTGCGTACGACGTCAAAGATTTCAGAAATGACACCATATTTTCTTTTTAAAATGTCTTTAGGTGTCTCCGAAGTCTCCTCTGTTGGGTTCCTCTCCTCCTGCCGGTGAAACCAAATGAAGCGTCCAGCCGATCCCCAGCAACTACTCATAATACAGCACATCGATGAAACTGCAACAAACGGGGAGTTTGTGTGCGTGTTTGTGTTCACCCACCATCATTTAAGTGCATCATAACGTGCTGAAATGTTCCGCGTTTCTTTTTGTGCGCTGCGGTCTTGTTTTAATCACAGCGGAGGCTGAAAACCTTTTTGTGGTACAATCTAAAATAAAACAAACATCTGGCGGCTGTTGAGCCACCTGTCCAGTCATGCGGGGATCCAGTCATCAGCACTGTTTTTAGCGTCACTTACCGGTCAAAACCATTTATTACGATACACCTTTTAGTTTGATCCATGTGAGACTCATATTGGTTGCTTGATAGCGTGTTTTCGTTGTAATGTGCACATTTGGAATAACAAAAGCCACCGCTGTCATGGATAAGTGTCCTTGCATCAAGTTGCTCATTGGTGCTACAGTAATTTAACTTCGACGGCAGATCAATATTTCTACACGAGTATTTTTGATATTGATTTTTTTCTAATTTTGACTCAATTCAGCACCTTCAAGGACCATATTTTTTTAATTTCCAAAACAACGGTCAAATTTTTTTCACCTTTTTGTAATCAGCAAACTTCTTACAGCGACATACATTTCCCCAAATAAACCGTATGTCCCTCCTATCACCTCTGTGACACTAAGAACAAAGGCCCGGGACCCGTGTGACAGAAGAAAGACGGCGACAAGATGCTCGGCCAGCTGTGGCTGTTAGTGGTTTTATACATGAAGGTATTTGGGAAGGTAGTAAGGAAAGATTAGCGTGTATCTGTGTTTGTAATATTCTGTGCTTTTAAGATTTAACGAGACTTTGTTGAGAAATGGCTGAAGGCACCGGTGTGGTCCACCTCTGTGGTCCTGCTGGTGAGACGTGTCAGGGAACCAGAAAGTGTCTGATTGGGGTCTTTAAAGGAAGTGCCGTGTAAGATGTGAATATTAAAATAATATATGTCAATATAAACTGCTAGTTTTTATGCCGAAAATGTAATTCTTCAAACAAAAGTGCATAGGCTATTGGTGTCAAAATTTATATTACTTTTTAAAGACTTTTTCACAATTTTCGTATTCACTTTTGAGCAATTGAACTTTAATTTGTTTTATTTAAGTATCTATCTTTTTATACATTTAGAGTTTTTAAGCTCACGCCTACTTTATGTAATCGCACAGCTCTGTAGTTAAATCTTTTTATGAAGGTTTATGTGTTACCCAATTTGTGCATTTTGGAAAAACAAAGAATTAATAAACGTGGACCACACTGTTTATTGTAATCATTCAATATTTATATTGTATGCATGTCAGTTGCCATCTGTGTTCGGTTTCCCCAGTCCAATGTGTTACACGTTAGTTAGACATGTCTTCTTTTTGTCCATCTCTTTTGTACAACATTAATTGTTTTTTTTACAGACTTGAAATGATTTTATGAGAAGCACATGTGCTCGAATGTCCACCAGAGGACGTTCTAGCACAGAGGAGTACTTCCTTCTTCATCAGGTCACTGAGTAGAACTGCTGTTCTCTCATTTAAAGGGTCCTAGCTGTTCTGACCCCTCTTCAATCTATAAATAGATCCTCTCAATTTCATTCATTTTATTAATTTCTATCTCAACAGGATAGAAAATGACGATGAATGAGACGATAATTTTAATTGGATGTGCCATAAAAACATTAGCTTTTTATTTTTGGTCACCTATTTGGTCATCTTCTGTGGTTTTCAGTACATATATAATTAGTACACATATAATTAATTATATAATATCATGGTTACCTCAAACAATTCCCCATTTGTAGATGTTAAAACACAAACCTCACTAAATAAGCAAGGCGGAGGTTTCACTTTGCCTCAAAGGACACTGAGTGAAGGAGACATGAAAGGGGCTGCCGCCTATTATATTATGTATTGTTATAAACTATTACTATTCTATAACTCACAGAGAGTTGCCTTAAAGAGGTTTAATTGTGGTGCAAAACGTTTGTGTGTTTCTGTTCCACTCATTTTCTCTTCACATTGAGTTTTGTAAATTGTTCTTATTTTTATCAGGGAACAGACATGTCACATGTTAAAAGGCTGCTCTCACAATCTCAAAGAAAATCTCTCGTCGTACCAGCTGTTTTCCTCAGACAGCTGTGCGTCTTTGGGAGGAGTCGCAAAGATAACAAGGCAATGCAATCAAGCCTGTAGCCACCCAAACAGTGCTGGTATGGACTATGCTTAAGACACAGCAGCATTTTGGAGGACGGCCAACAGCCAATCAGAAATCAGTCCGCTATTTTTAACAGCTTCACGAGATCACTTCTCTTGCGTTAATCCAATCGGTAACACAATGAAACATGTAGCCCCAAAAACAGATTCATTAATCGGCCCATTTGGTTCAAATTGCAAACTTCTGTTGATGTAAAGCAGGAGTGTCGATATGATATCAGCAGAACTACACGCTGGAAATAAAGCTTATCTATTCATTCTTTGGAGGGGATCCACCCTCACAGCTGCAGCACAGCGTAGATAAGCCCTGAAACACAACGTGTGCAGCAGAAAAGCCAGAAAAAGGTCTTTTGTCATTGTGTTGGAAAGTTTCCAACTGCTGAACAAATCTATTATTATGTCTTGCTCGTAGGGCCTAGATTTTGAGTTTGTTTGGTCTCTGTATGTTTAGACATTTTAGAGAGACCAATATCTGCAGTAACTAAAATGAAATATGTTCTTTTTTTTGATCATTATATTATATTATAATTACATTCCTCAGAAAGAACAGCACACCACTGCCGGCCATACAACAGACTAACACCCCCAAATATTAATAATGATTTCCCCAGACACCAAACCACGCCGATCAAACTAAGAGCAAAATCGTATCAGTGATTTTGGCATAGTCACCCTTGAAGATCAATAATTGGGTTCCACACAGAGGAAAAAGCAAATATTTGATTACCAATTTCAACCCCAAATGTATGAATTTCCGGGTAAAGCAACATTTAATACCCATAGGTTGGGAAATGAGAGCAGTTGCCTTTATATTTGATCCATGCAGCGTGGTGGTCTGTAATTTACGTATTAACCTAAACTGGATTTCCAGGGATTAGTAAATCCTAGTTGTTTGATATTATAAAGGATTCTTCTTCCCATGATTGCCTGAGGCTGTGAGTACTTATATTACTTATATTGAAACATTTTCTATATATAAATACAATTTATTTAGTGGGTCCTGACGTGTTAATCAAGCTGTTGAAAATGATATATATACATATCCACTTGTATTTTCCTCTTATGTCATTTTCAACAACAGTTTTCTTGTTGCTACTTAGTTCTGTTTTTATCACCCCATCACATGGTATATTTTAGGGGAGGATCTGGGTGGGCCCGTGCTCTGTTTCCAGTATAAAACCCCTCACAGTTTGGGCTCATTGCAACAAGAACTATACACACAAGCCAAGATGACCACTCTCTCTACCAAGGACAAGGAGGTAGTCAAAGCCTTCTGGGCTAAAGTGTCTGGACAAGGGGAGGAAATCGGCACTGATGCCGTGGCCAGGTAACTATGATCATAAGCCGAGGGATGTAATCAGCTTTTAATTGACATTTATTGTTGCATATGTAAAACCATCACCCATTTTCATCGATGTTTTTCTTTTTCATCCAGGATGCTGAGAGTTTACCCGCAGACCAAGACTTACTTCTCCCACTGGAAGGACCGGAGCGCCTCCTCTCCCGATGTGCAGAAGCACGGCCGGACTGTGATGGCTGGAGTTGGAGACGCTGTGGCCAAGATCGACGACCTGAAAGGAGGTCTCTTGAACCTCAGTGAGCTGCACGCCTTCACTCTGCGTGTGGACCCTGCCAACTTCAAGGTGCAGAGACAGACTCATTCTGAGACACTGAACTGTGATGCAAAGTCTTCCTCAAACTTAGACCGTGGAGCGGCCACAAGCCGCCTGTGTGCATGTTTAATAACCTCCATATATGTAACATATGTGTAATTGCTCTCCTTTCACAGATCCTCTCCCACAACCTCCTGGTGGTCATGGCCACCATGTTCCCCAACGACTTCACCCCTGAGGTCCATGTGTCTATGGACAAGTTCCTGGCTGCTGTGGCTCTGGCTCTGTCTGAGAAGTACCGATAAACAGCAGGAGAAGAGGCCTAATATATAGCAGGAGCTAACAGTGCATAATGGTCAATAAAAGCATTCATGCAAAAAGTTAAGCAAGTGTTGTTTTCTGGTTACTTTAAGATGGATTGTGTCATGAGTCGAAAGTCAAATCTAGAGCACAAAGAAGACTTTAAAAAAACCAACAAGTCACATATTATACTCAGTTAAACATTCAAGCGTCAACACTTTATCAATTACTTCAGATGTAAAAATTATTATTATATAATATTTGTTCTTACTATCAATTAATAAACTCTCTTCAGTCGGTAAGGGTGATTTGTGTTTGTTGCAGCCCTACTTACCACCTTTTAATACATTTGAATCAGTTGTTACATTCTAATTATTTATAGAATCAAGTAAAAAAGAAAATATGAAACTTAAAGTATATCTTTCAAACAAAAACATGACGTTTATATAAACAACGTTTTTCATCAAAATCCAAAAATAGATGATTCTTGTGTGAGCCATGAGGAGAGCATGAGTGTGGTTGTAAATATTATGATATGAGTTCATACAGAGAACCTGACTCTTTATCCAATTTTCCCTCTAAATTTGAACTGAAATTAGATTTCAATACAATTCTGCAACAAGTACACGAACATTAAAACATTGTTTTGTTCGTGTTTTTTAATCACACAACAGTGTCAACTTGTGTTTTAAATAAGCTTTCATTCGTCTGTTTTTTAGAGCACTCGTCTTCTCTAACTAAGTTCATCAACACTTGTGTTCCCCTGAAGGTCAGCATCTGTGGATTACTGTAAAGAAACAGACGACCCACTTCATAAATTTAAAATTAATAAAACTAATTTAGAATACAGCCATGATTCTGAAACCATGTAATCAATAGAGAAATGAGAATAGTGTAAAACTGCTGTCATTTTAAAATTGTAATCAATAGAATAATAGCACAGCTATTATTGTTTTCAATGTAATGTAATTAACCACTATGCATGCATGTAATACTTGATACCACCACTTATATTGACCGGGAGACGTTCAAAATCCGAGTTACAGTGAACGCACCAGAAGGTGTCCAGGGCCCATTATTATCGGTTTCCTTGCAGTCAAAACTCATTATTTTGGGGTTTGGTTCATTGGTGACACCAAGTTGCCCGTGTGTGTGTGTGTGTGTGTGTGTGTGTGTGTGTGTGTGTGTGTGTGTGTGTGTGTGTGTGTGTGTGTGTGTGTGTGTGAGAGAGAGAGTGAAGAATGTTCGTCTCTGCGCCGATAGATTGACTCCCGCGACCCTCTAAAGACAACCGGTGTAAGACCGACTTAAATATTATTATTCATTGTCATACAAATTGTATTAGAAACTCTTGAAAAACAACTTGGGGGATTTGCTCTTTGTTTTTATTTTACTTTTGAGACAACAAAAACGAAGCTTTTCATGACGTGAGGGTTCTCTGTTGCAGCTCTCTAATGGTACTGTCTTCCCAGGGAGGACACCACCACGGCCAGGAACTTCTGGAAAGCTGCCTGGACTTCTGCAGTGAAGGCTTCGCCGAACCGAGCAGCCACCACGATGGTCAGGCAGTCGGAGAGGAGCTGCAACACAACAAGCATCAGAAGCATCAGCGACATGAAATGTTGGTCCTCTTTTTAACGCTTGTTGAACAAGATCAACATGTCGAAAGTTACCTTGAAGTTGTCGGGGTCCACGTGCAGTTTCTCGGAGTGCAGCACGCTCAGCTCGGCGTAGGTTGTCTTGATGTTGTCCATGTCCTTCACAGCCCGCTCCAGTCCGTACAGGATTGTTGTTCCGTGTTTTGCCACCAGCGGATTTCCCATAATTGCTGCGGCGTTGTAGAGGTTTCCGAAGTTACCGAAATACCTCTGAGTCCAGGGGTAGACGACCAGACACCTGAGGAAAGCACGTCAACGTCACAGAGTTAGATGTGGAGATCAAACTTATACAGAGGGGACATGTAACTGAAAGACGTTGTGCACAATGACTGAAGGACATCCTGTTTTGTTGAGGATTTGGTCTCATGCACAACTTGTTAACGCAGAGTTAAGACTCACCTGCACAGAGCTGCAGGACCTACGACATCGTAGTCGATCTTGGAGAAGATGTCCTTGATGGTGGCGCGCTCGAATTCTGTCCATGCAACCATAGTGCCGATTCTTCTGTGCTTCTCAGATGATTCTGCTCACAGACATCAGATGCTGTTTTTAAAGGCCCCCTGCTCCCCTCCAGCAGCATGTGACTGGATGGGCGGTGGGCCGGCCATGTTCTGTGTGATTGAAGCGATGATAATAGAAGGGTGAGACTTCTCCGCCTATAGTTATCTCTGCATGAAACAGAACAAGTAACAGCTGTATCCTCCACATCTGCACAAGATGCAAAGGGCCTCAGAGCCACGGTGAAAAGAGATAGCTGGTACTCTAAGAGGCAACAAGTGCCAAACTGTAAAAAAGGAAGAGGTCACAAACTGTTGAAACTTAGCAGAGTCACAGCCTGAAAAATGCAAACCCTGTGACAGACAGCTGTCCCTTCCTTGAAGACCTGAGCATCAGAACCATGGACAGCGATCTTTACATTTATTCTTAGAATGTTGAACAATCACCTGAATCACGTTCGTCAAACTTATGTTTGTTTTTCGTTTCTTCATCCGGCATCAACATCAACGGAGTTCATGTGTATTGACCTCAAAGTACTGATTTTATTTCCTTTGTTTGGTTCAGTATCTCCTCACAGCTCACCAGTGCTGAATTGAAGCTTCCACAAATGTTCCTCAAAATGTAATTTTAAAGGATAAAGTAGAAACTTATGACCCGAATGGAAAGTTAAAGTTGAAACATTCAGATTAAAATGAGTTAAATTACACAGCTCTTCCTATTTGTTCATTGTACAAAAAGTGTTGTTTTAAGTTTATAATTTGACAACTTTATACTTCATAAAATTATCAGTGATAATTAAGTTACATTTTCACATCAAAGATTATGTGATGTTCTTCTGCTACTTAAATATATTCCAATAGGCCTACTGTATGTCCTTTTACTTAAGTAAAACATCAAAATACTACTTCCACAACTCTTTTAGGGGGAATTTGGACTTCTAAAGCACCCACATGATTGTTTGAGAAGATTATGAAAATTTCCAAGAAGCTCAAGCATCACAATGAGAAGATTTTCCTTATCTTATGGGGACTGCAAGAAAACGCGTGGAACGCCTTTGAACATATCTCGGAGGAGGAACCGGGTGTGTCCATGCTTTGTTTCAAGCATAAAAACCTCTCTAGTTTGGGCTCATCGCAGCATTCAGAAGCACTCATTCAACCACCAAGATGACCACTCTCTCTACCAAGGACAAGAAGGTAGTCAAAGCCTTCTGGGCTAAAGTGTCTGGACAAGGGGAGGAAATCGGCACTGATGCCGTGGCCAGGTAACTATGATCATAAGCCGAGGGATGTAATCAGCTTTTAATTGACATTTATTGTTGAATATGTAAAACCATCACCCATTTTCATTGATTTTTTTCTTTTTCACCCAGGATGCTGAGAGTTTACCCGCAGACCAAGACTTACTTCTCCCACTGGAAGGACCAGAGCGCCTCCTCTCCCGATGTGAAGAGGCACGGCCGGACTGTGATGGCTGGAGTTGGAGACGCTGTGGCCAAGATCGACGACCTGAAAGGAGGTCTCTTGAACCTCAGTGAGCTGCACGCCTTCACTCTGCGTGTGGACCCTGCCAACTTCAAGGTGCACAGACAGACTCATTCTGAGACAATGAACTGTGATGCAAAGTCTTCCTCAAACTTAGACCGTTGAGCGGCCACAAGCCTCCTGTGTGCATGTTTAATAACCTCCATATATGACAATCGTGTGTAATTGCGCTCCTTTCACAGATCCTCTCCCACAACCTCCTGGTGGTCATGGCCACCATGTTCCCCAACGACTTCACCCCTGAGGTCCATGTGTCTATGGACAAGTTCCTGGCTGCTGTGGCTCTGGCTCTGTCTGAGAAGTACCGATAAACAGCAGGAGAAGAGGCCGGATATATAGCAGGAGCTAACAGTGCATAATGGTCAATAAAAGCATTAATGCAAAAAATAAAATGAACTGTTTTCTGGTTACTTTGAGATGGATTGTGTCATGGGTCGAAAGTCAAATCTAGAGCGCAAAGCAGATTTAAAAAATAGTCATATTTTACAGAAGTTCATCACCTAATCTATTAATTCAGCTATAAATATATTTTTTAAAAATGAATGGAGAAATATTTTGATAATCAGTCATTTATTATTCTCTAGAAAAATCCTGAAACATTAGTTTTTTTCTGCATTTACTCCAATTTTTTATTTAACTTTCTTAGTTTGATATATGACATAAGGATTTGAGCTACCACGATACCAAACATCTAGATACGTTTCAGCACAGACTTTTAAATCCTTACGTTGGACATCACACATAGTTGATTATTTGACTAGTCAGTCGTTTCTTGCAGCCCTATAGTTTCATATTTATAAGAACATTTCAATAATGATTTACATTTTCATAATTAATTTTCTCATAGAAAACAAAGAAATTGTAAATGATGTCCAAATGCATAATACATTTTTTTGGTGAAATAAACATTTTTACTGTATGACCTCTATCAAAAATCCATGAGCCACGACAAAAGTTATTTTCATTATTGTTAGTATCATTTGTAGTGTTTCTCTTTTGGGAAACTGTCACAATTTTATCAACATGTTTTTTCACGAAGCAGAAGTCCAAAAGATATAAAAAGTATTTTTTTCTGCATTTTCAATATATATTTTTTAACAACTAAAAGTAAAAACACTAAAATGATGTCCTTATGCATGAAAACCTTTTTTTGGTGAAATTGATATGTATTATTCGAAGATTAAAATAAATGACCTCTAGTATTGTTCAAAAATCCATGGGACATTATTGACGGTATCATTTTTAGTATTTGAATAATACGTTTGTTCATGAAGCAGAAGATCAAAAGACGAGAAAATTAGCCTTAAATAACCCTTGTATTAAAACGCTCCCTTTCATTTGTTTCTTTTCATGTTTCTCCTTGGAGCTAATTGTTTGAGAGCATTTGTGCACTTTATCACTTCATCAACCCTTGTGTTCACCATCTACACCGAAGGCCATCATTTTTTAAATTATTTTACATCAATATTAATATGCATGTTTATATCAATTAAATTAAAAATTCTTGAAAAGCAACTTGATCAATTTGCGTATTGTTTTCATTTTATTTTGAGACAAAGAAACAAAGCTTTTCATGATCGGCATGCAAGGGTTCTCTGTTGCAGCTCTCTAGTGGTACTGTCTTCCCAGGGAGGACACCACCACGGCCAGGAACTTCTGGAAAGCTGCCTGGACTTCTGCAGTGAAGGCTTTACCGAACTGAGCAGCAACCACGATGGTCAGGCAGTCGGAGAGGAGCTGCAACACAACAAGCATCAGAAGCATCAGCGACATGAACGGTTGGTCCTCTTTTTAACACTTGTTGAACAAGATCATCAGTCGAAAGTTACCTTGAAGTTGTCGGGGTCCACGTGCAGTTTCTCGGAGTGCAGCACGCTCAGCTCGGCGTAGGTTGTCTTGATGTTGTCCATGTCCTTCACAGCCCGCTCCAGTCCGTTGAGGATAGTTGTTCCGTGTTTTGCAACCAGCGGATTTCCCATAATTGCTGCGGCGTTGTAGAGGTTTCCAAAGTTACCGAAATACCTCTGAGTCCAGGGGTAGACGACCAGACACCTGAGAAAAGCACGTCAACGTCACAGAGTTGGATGTGGAGATCAAACTTATACAGAGGGGACATGTAACTGAAAGACGTTTTGCACAATGACTGAAGGACATCCTGTTATGTTGAAGATTTGGTCTCATGCACAACTTGTTAACGCAGAGTTAAGACTCACCTGCACAGAGCTGCAGGACCTACGACATCGTAGTCGATCTTGGAGAAGATGTCCTTGATGGTGGCGCGCTCGAATTCTGTCCATGCAACCATAGTGCCGAGTCTTCTGTGCTTCTCAGATGATTCTGCTCTCAGACATCAGATGCTGTTTTTAAAGGCCCCTTGCTCCCGTCCAGCAGCATGTGACTGGATGGGCGGTGGGCCGGCCATGTTCTGTGTGATTGAAGCGATGATAATAGAAGGGCGAGACTTCTCCGCCTATAGTTATCTCTTCATGAAACAGAACAAGTAACAGCTGTATCCTCCACAGCTGCACAAGATGCAAATGTGCAAAGGGCCTCAGAGCCACGGTGAAAAGAGATAGCTGGTACTCTAAGAGGCAACAAGGGCCAAACTGTAAAAAAGGAAGAGGTCACAAACCGTTGAAACTTAGCAGAGTCACAGCCTGAAAAATGCAAACGCTGTGACAGACAGCTGTCCCTTCCTTGAAGACCTGAGCATCAGAACCATGGACAGCGATCTTTACATTTATTCTTAGAATGTTGAACAATCACCTGAATCACGTTCGTCAAACTTATGTTTGTTTTTCGTTTCTTCATCCGGCATCAACATCAACGGAGTTCATGTGTATTGACCTCAAAGTACTGATTTTATTTCCTTTGTTTGGTTCAGTATCTCCTCACAGCTCACCAGTGCTGAATTGAAGCTTCCACAAATGTTCCTCAAAATGTAATTTTAAAGGATAAAGTAGAAACTTATGACCCGAATGGAAAGTTAGTTAAAGTTGAAACACATTCACAGATTAAAATGAGTTAAATTACACAGCTCTTCCTATTTGTTCATTGTACACAAAGTGTTGTTTTACGTTTATCATTTGACAACTTTATACTTTGCAGATGAAAATTATCAGTGATAATTAAGTTACATTTCCTCATCAAAGATTATGTGATGTTCTTCTGCTACTTAAATATATTCCAATAATAATAGGCCTACTGTATGTCCTTTTACTTAAACTCTCAGGCACTTAAACTCTCAGACACAGTCTTAAACTGGTTCAGGTCATATCTACAAGACAGGAACTATTTTGTTTCCATTGGTGACTTCGTATCAGAAACAACCGACGCAACGTGTGGAGTCCCCCAAGGTTCGATCTTAGGGCCGACTTTATTCAACATCTACATGCTCCCACTAGGACAAATCATGCAAAAAATAAAATTGACCACCATTGCTACGCTGATGACACCCAAATCTATGTAGCGCTATCACCAAACGACTATCGCCCCATAGATCTTCTGTGCCAGTGCATTGAGCAAATCAAAGACTGAATGTGTCAAAATGTCCTACAACTAAATGAAGACAAAACTGAGATCATTGTATTTGGTGCTAAAAAAGAAAGGTTTAAAGTAACTCAACACCTTCACTCTCTGTCCCTGAAAACATCAAATAAAGCCAGAAATCTGGGGGTTATTATGGATTCAGATTTACACTTGGAGAGTCACATCAAATCAGTAACAAAATCGGCCTACTACCACCTCAAAAATGTAGCACGACTTAGAGGGCTCATGTCAGCTCAAGACTTAGAAACACTACATGCCTTCATAACTAGTAGGCTAGACTATTGTAAGGGTCTCCTTGCAGGTCTTCCAAAAAAAACTGTCAGGCAGCTCCAGCTTGTTCAGAACGCTGCTGCTAGAGTTCTAACAAAGACCAAAAAATGAGAGCACATTACACCAATTCTTAAATCCTTACATTGGCTCCCAGTATGTCAGAGAATTATTTTCTAAATCCTACTGCTCACATATAAATCACTACATGGTTTATGGCCAAAGTATATCACTGATATGCTTCCACTACATAAGCCTTCAAGATCACTAAGATCTTCTGACACCAATCTGTTAGTGATTCCCAGAGTAAATACAAATCATGGGAAAGCATCATTTAGTTACTACGCAACAAACAGCTGGAACAAACTTCCTGAAGATTTAAGACTTGCCCCAACTCTGACCATGTTTAAAACAAGACTGAAAACTTTTATGTTCAGCTTCGCCTTCTGCTAAATTTTACCTACATTGCACTTTTAACCTCTGTCTTTAATTAAACAATTTAAATAAGGTTTTAATTTATAATTTTATTTGCTGTTTTTAATTGTCTTTTAATTCCTGCATTTTATTTCACTTTATTGTATGAAATGTTATGATGTGAAGCACTTTGAGTCTGCCTTTTGTATGAAAAGCGCTATACAAATAAAATTGCCTCGCCTTGCCTTGCCTAAGTAAAACATCAAAATACTTCTTCCACAACTCTTTTAGGGGGAATTTGGACTTCTAAAGCACCCACATGATTGTTTGAGAAGATTATGAAAATTTCCAAGAAGCTCGAGCATCACAATGAGAAGATTTTCCTTATCTTATGGGGACTGCAACAACACGCGTGGAACGCCTTTGAACATATCTCGGAGGAGGAACCGGGTGTGTCCATGCTTTGTTTCAAGCATAAAAACCTCTCTAGTTTGGGCTCATCGCGGCATTCAGAAGCACTCATTCAACCACCAAGATGACCACTCTCTCTACCAAGGACAAGCAGGTAGTCAAAGCCTTCTGGGCTAAAGTCTCTGGACAAGGGGAGGAAATCGGCACTGATGCCGTGGCCAGGTAACTATGATCATAAGCCGAGGGATGTAATCAGCTTTTAATTGACATTTATTGTTGAATATGTAAAACCATCACCCATTTTCATCGATGTTTTTCTTTTTCATCCAGGATGCTGAGAGTTTACCCGCAGACCAAGACTTACTTCTCCCACTGGAAGGACCGGAGCGCCTCCTCTCCCGATGTGCAGAAGCACGGCCGGACTGTGATGGCTGGAGTTGGAGACGCTGTGGCCAAGATCGACGACCTGAAAGGAGGTCTCTTGAACCTCAGTGAGCTGCACGCCTTCACTCTGCGTGTGGACCCTGCCAACTTCAAGGTGCAGAGACGGACTCATTCTGAGACACTGAGCTGTGATGCAAAGTCTTCCTCAAACGTAGACCGTGGAGCGGCCACAAGCCGCCTGTGTGCATGTTTAATAACCTCCATATATGTAACATATGTTTAATTGCTCTCCTTTCACAGATCCTCTCCCACAACCTCCTGGTGGTCATGGCCACCATGTTGCCCAACGACTTCACCCCTGAGGTCCATGTGTCTATGGACAAGTTCCTGGCTGCTGTGGCTCTGGCTCTGTCTGAGAAGTACCGATAAACAGCAGGAGAAGAGGCCGGATGTGCTGCAGCAGGAGATCAGTGTATAATGATCAATAAAATCATTAATGCAAAAAAGAAAATGAACTGTTGTTTTCTGGTTACTTTGAGATGGATTGTGTCATGGGTCGAAAGTCAAATCTAGAGCGCGAAACAGATTTAAAAAATACCAAAAGTCACATTTTACACAGAGGTTCATCACTTTATATATTAATTCAGCGATAAATTTATTTAAAAAAATGAATGAAGAAATATTTTGATAATCAGTGATTATTATTCTCTAGAAAAACCCTCAAACATTTTTCTTCTGCATTCACTCCAATTATTATTTTAGCTCTTTCTTAGTTCTATATATGAAATTAAGATTTGCGCTACGATACCAAACATCTGGATACGTTTCTGCAGAGACTTTTAAAACCTTACGTTGGACATCACACATAGTTGATTAGTTTACTAAATAGTCAGTCGTTTCTTGCAGCCCAATATTTTCATACTTATAAGAACATTTCAATAATGATTTACATTTTGATAATTCATTTTCTCATAGAAAACAACAGAAAGTAACAAATTGTTTCCTAATGCGTAATACATTTTTTGGTGAAATAAACATTTTAAATGTATGACCTCTATCGAAAATCCATGAGCCATGACAATGAAGTTAGTTATTTTCATTATTGTTAGTATCGTTTTTAGTGTTTCTCTTTTAGGAAACTTTCACAATTTTATCAACATGTTTTTTCACGAAGCAGAAGTCCAAAAGATATAAACTATTTATTTCTGCATTTTCAATATATATATTTTTTAAATAAAATAAAAAAACTACAATGATGTCCTTATGCATGAAACCTTGTTTTGGTGAAATTGATATGTATTATTCGAGATTAAAGATTAAAATAAATGACGTATAGTATTGTTCAAAAATCCATGGGACATTATTGATGGTATCATTTTTAGTATTTTGAATAATACGTTTGTTCATAAAGCAGAAAATCAAAAGACTAGAAAATTAGCCTTAAATAAACCTTGTATTAAAATGCTCCCTTTCATTTGTTTCTTTTCATGTTTCATTTGAGCTAATTGTTTGAGAGCATTTGTGCACTTTATCACTTCATCAAACCTTGTGTTCACCATCTACACTGAAGGCCATCATTTTTAAAATTATTTTACATCAATATTATTATTCATGTTTATATCAATTAAATTAAAAATTCTTGAAAAACAACTTGATCAATTTGCACACTGTTTTTATTATATTTTGAGACAAAGAAACAAAGCTTTTCATGATGCAAGGGTTCTCTGTTGCAGCTCTCTAGTGGTACTGTCTTCCCAGGGAGGACACCACCACGGCCAGGAACTTCTGGAAAGCTGCCTGGACTTCTGCAGTGAAGGCTTCGCCGAACCGAGCAGCCACCACGATGGTCAGGCAGTCGGAGAGGAGCTGCAACACAACAAGCATCAGAAGCATCAGCGACATGAACGGTTGGTCCTCTTTCTAACACTTGTTGAACAAGATCAACATGTCGAAAGTTACCTTGAAGTTGTCAGGGTCCACGTGCAGTTTCTCGGAGTGCAGCACGCTCAGCTCGGCGTAAGTTGTCTTGATGTTGTCCATGTCCTTCACAGCCCGCTCCAGTCCGTTGAGAATAGTTGTTCCGTGTTTTGCAACCAGCGGATTTCCCATAATTGCTGCGGCGTTGTAGAGGTTTCCAAAGTTACCGAAATACCTCTGAGTCCAGGGGTAGACGACCAGACACCTGAGAAAAGCACGTCAACGTCACAGAGTTGGATGTGGAGATCAAACTTATACAGAGGGGACATGTAACTGAAAGACGTTGTGTACAATGACTGAAGGACATCCTGTTATGTTGAGGATTTGGTCTCATGCACAACTTGTT